TATGGATTTGGTCTTGACTGCTCCATTTGACTGCTAGCGCTGCTCAGCGATCATCATAAAGGGGGTAAAGTAACCCCCCCCCCCCACCTCACCCCTCGCTTTTTTCTTGTTTTGAAGCCACATCCCTCCAGAGCTAAATATAGCAGCTGCAGGAAGGGCACCAGCACTTCAGGTAAAGCCGATGGTATACATTCTCCCTGGTAGAATGTATACCATTTTTTTTAGCACCATCTCCCGAAGAGATGGTGTTAAAAAGAATAACAGCATTCTTCTTATACTGTTATTAATAAAGTCATGCTCATAAAGCCCCCGCTGCCCAATTATTCAGCATAAAACGTCTTTCCCATCACCGTTTTCTTGTATCTGCTCAGTTGAAGTTATGCAGCTGTGAGCTGCAGAAAATCTGTGACAGGATTTCTGTCGCCGGCATGGAGGCGGGCTTAAACGCGTTTGACCTTAATTCCTCGGTTGCCGTTTTAAGCTTAGACTACCACATTTATCAGTCACCATGAAAGGACGACACAATCCTTACACAAAGGACTCGTTAAAGTCTATACCATTAGTATTTAAAAATCAGGACCCAAGCAGCTTTAATTATTACTTTAGAGGTAGCCATCGTTGGACTATATAGGTCTTGGATGAAAGCAGAAATCAGTTGGACCATTTCTCACAGCACATCCTAACACGCATGCATCAATGTATTTTTGCAGCTGTTTGCGGGTTCAATTCTCGCAGCAGTGTGTGTTTTTCAGAACAAATAACATGCAAGCTACTGCTTTTTATGTGGAGACGTCCAAATCAGGACGTGCAGTTTCACAGTTTATATTGAGATGAAGGAAAAACAGGCATATACATTACGCAGCAGAATTTTACGTCTATATGCTAAGCGTGCCACTGCGCCATCACTCTAAGCAGCTGGAAATCAATTCACCTTCTCTTACAGCTCCCCCCGCAGGCTACCTGTTAATACTGCAGCCCACAGCGTCGTGACTATCATGACTTCATGCATTGTTGGTGACAGTGTGACATGCTGAGGATGGAGGTTTGAGTCAGACCCATGTGAAACAGTGTTTTAAAGTGTAAGCGTCAGCATTCAGAGTCGCCTCTTGGGCTGAAAATTACTAAAACAGCTGAGTGTGCACTTATGCTGGGCTCTATAAATAGACTTCTCTCAGGTATCTGCTCAAGGTCGTTTATGACCTGTTCTTTTCTTTTCTATTTTACCAAATCTGTTTGGTTTTAATTATTTCAGAAATAAACCATAGATTTGCATACTTGATACAATTTAGTGTCTTTCCTTTGAGCACTGTATTTTCTACATGATTCAGGTTGCTGCTCAGGATTGTGAACTTCATAGAAGTGCCCAGCAGAGGGCAGCATCAGCCTGTCTGTTTCATTGAGACTGGTTTGCTTTTGCACAATGACTTTCCTCCTTGCAGCTTTTACTGAAGGATAATCCTTATGAGAGTTTGATCATCATAAAGAGTGTATGCATTTGGTAGCATTCCCTGTGAAAGTATGAGTTTTTCATATTTGTCTTTAATTACAAGCTTTAATGCAGTTTTGGAAGCATTATAACTGGGGAAAAAACAAGTCAATTGTTTTGAATCCCATTGAAAACCTCATGGCTATTTCACCAAATACTGATTTCTGAACTCTTCCTGACTTGAAACATTAGTATTGTTGTTTATAAATGAATATGAACTTGTTTTCTTTGCATTATTTAATGTCTGAAAGCGCTGCATCTTTTCCATTATTTTATCACATTCTAATTTTCTGCGAATAAATACTAAATTTTTGCTTGGAAGTTTGGAGACATGTTGTCAGAAGTTCATAGAATAAAACAACAATGTCCATTTTACTTGAACATATTCCTATAAAGAGTAAAATGAGACAAACTGATCATTTTGCAGGGGTCTCTTAATTTTTTCCAGAGCTGTATACTCATAGAAATCCTTTATCTCAGTCATTACATGCTTACTTACTATTCTGCTGGGAGGAGAACCTTTTGTCTTTTGCAGATTCAAGCTTTTTTCTCAGGACTGCAGTGTTTTGAGCTCCATCCATTCTGTCCCTGCTAAATAAAACATTGCTAATAGTTATAATGCTATCACTGACCTGCTTCACTGTGTGTATGGTACATTTCCAGTGATGTGGAATTATTTTTCGACCTTGCATATCGTTTTGCATGAAAGGCAGATAACTCAATTAAGGGCTCGTTAACCATGGGTAAGTTACCTTTGACCTTCCTGGTTCCTGTGTTCCTTGGTCTTCCTGATGCTGTTTGTTCAAATCTCTGAGGCTTTCAAGTGATTTCTGTATTTACATTGGACTCCATTTACTTATTAAATGATTTCTTAAAGGGGCAATAATATGTATTTTCTAGGCACATAGAACAATTTTATAACACAATCTAGCGATTGTTGCCTTCAGTTGTTATTAAATACTGTATATCAAAAATGATATGATGTCGCTGTATCTGAAACTCCAACATGGAGCTTTTGGTAAATATGCGCCGATTTCTCAAGTATGCATGAGTGACTCAAAGCAACACACTTGGTACGTTTTTGATGAGTGAATAAAATTTTAGCATAATGTAAAGCTAAAAAAAAAATCTTTTGCATAATCTCACCCCCGCTTTCCCTTTAAGACGACCGGTTGCACTAGATTTCATTTAGCTGTAAAGGGAGTTGAAATGTAAGACACGCCACAGTTCTGATTTTTGATTGTAAACAAAAATCACCCCACATTATTTTCATTTTGCTCATCAATCACATTAAGAATCCAACATAACCCATTGAAGTTTGTGGCTTTAATTCAAGAACATGTAGAAGGTTCAAGAGCATGTATTAGCTGTATGCTGATAGATGAATGGATGGATGGAAAGCTATAGTGCATTGCTTAATGCAGTGCTTCTCAATTATTTTCCGTTGCGCCCCCCATAGCAAGAAAACTATTCGCGCCCCCCACTCCCCACCGTGACTATCCATCTCTGCATAACATTTTTTCCTTATTAACATTAAAGACAAAAAGAAAGACATATGGTCAAACTTACAAAGAATAACTTTATTAAATTGTGTTTTAAGTCTGCAACAGAAAAGATTTTAAGTGCATCAATGCCTGAAATTAAAAATAAATAATCCATGTCTACTGCTGCAGGCAGTATCAGCTCCTCTTCTATGGTGTGGGGCTTTTTGCACTGCGCAATTTGGTACGCCACCTTATATGATGCTAGCAGCGCTCGATGGTTTACTGAAATAGCCTTCACAAAGCGGGATGACTGTTGGCAATATTCAGCACGTTTTCGCTGAAAAAACTCTAGCGGCTTATCGGCGTGATTGGGATGTAACGTATTTAAGTGACGCACTAATTTATTTGGCTTCATGCTGTCCGCTGCGAGCATTTTTAGACACAGCAAACGCACCGGTCTTTCCTCTTCTCCAACTGTAGTCACAGTGAAGCCAAGCGCTAAATACGCTTCGTCGTATTTCCTCTTCTTAGCTTTCGGTTGACTTTCTGTTGTCTCATTATCTTTGTCTCTCTCCGCTTTTCTTTTCATCCCTGTGAAAAACTTTTTCATGTTGGGGGTTGTTGAATAACGGAGGCCATAGACAGAACGCAGTTGGAGCTTTTTGTTGACTTAACACTGCTAACCAAGGCAAACCTGTTGTCTTGTAAGTCATAAAATGTTGCACTGTCGCAAACGTGACAGAAGTAACAATGAGAGCGCCACTGCCGCCTACTGTGCGCAATTACACTTTATACTAGTACGGCCAAAAAAAAGCCTGTTCCCCAGGATCACACGCGCCCTCCAAGTATCGCACCGCGCCCCCCAAAGGGGGCCCGCCCCACTATTTGAGAAGCACTGGCTTAATGCAAACCTGAGCAGCTTCGTGTGAATCTTTAAAACCTCCCACTGCGGAGTTATGCTTAGACCCAGATGACTCACCTTGTGATAAAGTGACACAAGAAATGGTTGTGTCTATGTTTTAATCACCTATATGCGATATTGCTTACTATAAAGCATATCATGACACAAATCCCTTGTGTTGACACCTACTACCTTTGTGCAGTTTGACATATTTGCTGCTACAGTCTATACCATCTGCATTCATCAGGAACAAAGAGGCTAGCATTAAAATGTTTGAAACACAATATCCATATATACTTCCTATGTGTTACATTACTGTACATGTCCATACACTGTGTGAACAGCCCCCTCTGTGGGTCAGGACCATGAGAAGATGTAGAAACTGCAGTCCACAACCTAACATGCTAATACACTGACGGACCAATAAAGCCTCTTTTTTGCCTCTGAAATCTCACCTACTGCGCTGTGTCTGATTGGCTGAAGCAAGCAGCCCATCTCAGACGGAGGTGTGACGCCATGCCCTGCTAGCTGCTGTGCACCGACGGAGGAGAAATTCATAAACCGTGTGGATCAGGTGACTGAGCAGGAAGTTTAGAGGACAAAAAATACCCCATCGTTGTGTTTCTGGAGATGAAATAAGGAGCTTCTTGTTTCCTTTTTCTGGTCTAAGAGAGAAGCACTTATGGATGTTCATAACAGTGTTGTCTGAAATCGGTGTTCAACTCCCTCTTATTAATCTGGAGGTCATTAAATGGGTCCTTTAGGATTAGGTTTGGGTTAGGGTTATTTCTCCCAAAGCAGGGTTAGGTTAAGGTCATTCTGACCTCTCCTGGTGGCAGCTATGCAATCTTGTTCGCCCATTTTACTGACGCTGAAAACGACCCCAGGGTCAGCCGTCAAAGTCGGCCTCCTCCCTGCCTCTCCTCTTCATCAATAGCACACAGTGATGTCAGCAGCCTGTCCGTATTCCTGGACTGCTTTTTGCATCCTGTGGACCCCGTCACCTCTCTCCCACTCCGCTATCCCTCTCCTCCTCCTCCTCTCAATGCTCCTCAAAGTCCCTCCCTCTCCCACCAACCCACCTGACCCTCCGCAGTCCAATTAGACGCAGCATCGCCTGAGTGCATGATCGCGCTGTGACTACCAAACACAAGCTGCAGTCTCACTCTCCTCCTCGTCTGTCTCCTTTCCTGCTCTCTTTTCCCACCACTTCCCCGTGTCTCTCTCTCTCTCTCTCTCTCGGTCTTTCTGCGTCTTGATTGCCCTACCTCCACCTTGTTTTCATTCAAGTTGTTTACCCGTGTCCTCCTCGCCTCGCACTCTTCTGTCTGTCTCTTTTCCTCCCTTGTCACTGCTGTTGCTGCTGCTGCTGATCATCTGGCAGCCTCACCCCATATCCATCCAACCAAAACCTCCTCCTCTGCCTCTTTCTCTGCCTCCCCCTTCTGGGTTTGGAGATCTTAAGAGCCGCTCAGCACACGCTTCCGCATAGCATAACAGACTCCGCTCCCGCATTGGGTTAAACATGTCAACCGTCCTGGACCTGGAGCAGATTTCGTATGCTGGAAATGATGCGGTGAGTGACTATTGCGTCCGACTAGAGCGCCTGGCTAGATGTTTAGAGGAGAGGCGTTATTCTGCACATTTTTCAATAGACTGATTGTTAGTAGCTCAATAAGTCTGTTCTGGATTGCTGGTAGAATAACGGGGACATACATGAGGTGTGTGTGTGTGTGCACACCCATAGGTCACACATCACCCAAACTTGCTCAGGGTGTGGTGACGATGTGAAAGATGCCCACGGTGTCGGTGGGTACGTGTGTCGCTGCAGATGAACGTGTTCTGCAAACGTCTGTGGTGCACCCATGCATTGTGTTCCTTATTCATCCATCACTAAAAAGAGGCAGTGGGAGGGAGGTCACTCACTCCCTCTACCCCCCATTCCAATGCACAGCATGGCAACAACACATTAAAAACATCTGCTACTGCTTCACTCCCCCTGCAGAGTCCTTGAGTTTGTAGCTCCAGCCCGCCGTTTGGATGTGACACATGCGAGCAGCATGGGGGCAGGGGAGGGCCGCCGTATCGCTGGGGGAATATGCACATGGATGTTTGTGTGTGCATGGAGGTGTTTAGTGATTCACACCCAAGATCGCCGTTGTTTTTAGCTGGAGGAGGAAACGAGAGTGCAGGTATTGATCGAGTGAGGCGTTGCGGGAAGACGATAAGGGTGGCATCGCTGTTTTTCACCGTTTTTTTTTTTTTTTTTAGAAAGAGAATAATTTGTAACCTTTCCACACTCGTGTACTATTCTGATACTTCTATTTTAAGCGCAGACGTTTCCCTGATATTCCCACAACCTGCCCAAAGCTGGCAGAAGTACATACTGACGCCCTTCCCTTCCCATCATATAGTTCTATGAGTTGAATCACAATCGTCAGTCGGATATTGATGTGTGCAGTATTCCAAAGGACTACTGGGATGCAATAACTTTAGTAGTCGTTATGTTTCCAATCAAATGGCCCTTACTATTAACTTATTCGACCAGTAGGGGTGAGGGATGAGGAAATTCATTGCAAACTTTGATATTTATTACAGTGACAATAAAAATCAAACATTTATTTGATTGCAAATATACCACTCCACACAGTCAGAGACTCAAACAACAAATTAAAATTTTTATCAGATGGCTACTTTTCTATACCAATTACGTTAAATAGTGCAACTGTACTACAGAGTCATAATTCAGTCTTTTTGAAAGATAACTGAAATATGTCATCCGTTTCTAACTATTGGAAATATAGTTAGAATTGGATGGAATCCAGCTGGTGTTTTTACCCACAACCAACCTGGATCTTAATGGCAGAGAGGCTAAAGCTCAGGGAGAATTGTAGAGAGATCTTGATGGAAAAGGTACAACTGAGGGAGTTGCATGTTGGCTTAATCTCAGTCGATGTCATCGCAACATTCAAGTTAATATTGCAATGACACGTTTGTCCAGTTTTTTGCAGGCCATGTCTACATCCTACACGTGTACTGATCAACATCAGTACATGTGATTGATCGATAAGAGAAGTTCAAGTGAGGTAGTGTTTCCTCGTTCGGGCAGAAAATTCTGTATTTGTGCCTTTACATTAATTCACAAACCAGGATTGTCATGTAATTTCTTTATTTTCTATTCTATTAGAAATGGTTACCTCCATCAAGGAGCCTGCAAACCATTTGTTTTTCTTTTTGTGGAATTGCTCAAAGAAAACAAGATCTGAATTGATCATAATCAAAATAAATTTAAAATCTTTGTCAGCCTGGAAAAAAGCTGGATAAAAGCTCACAGTAGATCCAGATAATTGCAGCAGCCACTGCTACTAGGATAAAAAAAACTCCTACTACAAAGAAAATCAGCCTGGTCAACTCTGATTGGTTCGTCTCTCCTAAGAACTTATCCAAGCACTTATGTTTATGTGTTTAAAAGCGTGATGAGAAATTTGAAGAGTGAATCAATAACACTTTTAGCTCGACAGAAATCTCGTCCTTTCCTTTCCTCCTTCATTCCCCTTCTACGTTATAGCCGGAACAGACATGAGGAATTAAAGCGACGAAGCCTTTCTGTTTTAAGGCACTCTCCCTCAGCCAGCCTCTTGTCTTGTCTCTCTGCCACGGCTTTCATGCTCTATTTCCCCCCCATCTACGTCCAGTCTGTCCCTTGATCCGTCTAACCCATCGTCACCCCGCGGTTCCTTCCACAAACCTTTTCATTTCATGTCAGCAATGGGGATGCATGTGCCTGCTCTCTCTGGCACACACACACACACACACCAAAGACGACAGGCGTTTGAGCAAAGTATATTTGTGGACTTGTCCTTGATGGTGTCCTTGTCTGGAAACGAAAATCTGCAGCAGCACGGCCGTTGAAACGGTCTCTCCATCAGGAAAGACAGTCTCTGATTGTTTTTCTGCTTTACCTCGAGCGAAGGTTTCACACAAAGGCAGGAGTTCCTCAATCGCGGTTTATTTGGTCTCGCCATGAGAAGTGAAGTTCAGTATCGGTTCGTTTGCCACACATTTCTAGGGCCGAAGCCAATGATTAGTTTTGAAATCAATTAATCTTTCATCCAATTATTGATTAATTGGATAAAAGATTTTTCATTTACCCACTTAAGTCTTTTTTTTAACTATTAGTAGTCCATTAAAATATTCAAGTATACAAGTTCTTCATTGTTCTTAAAATATAAAATGTAACAACAGCATTCCTTTAGTCTATGCTTGACTTCTGTCAAAGGACGCACCTGCAATATTATGAAAATCTCAGCCCTTTCTGCTTAACTTTTCATCAGTAAACAGCGGACAGGATCAATCAATTGGTTTCTGTTTTGATAAACCAATTGGTCATTGGATGGAAATGCTAAAAATAGCTAAGGTTTTAGCAAACTTAGCTATAACACCTGAGGAGTTTTGGGTTGAACATATTTACAAAGTGATTTTTATTCTTACTTTAAATGCAAAATGTGTATTTATTTATTTATTTTCACAGTTTTGGCTGAATTGCTGTTCTTAGTATGTTGTTCTTTCAGCTAGTGACCTTTTTTATTGATTGTGTTCTCCAGTTAACGATTAGTCGATTACTAATTAGTTGACTATTATTTCAACAATCGATTCATTGCGATTAATCATTTCAGCCCTACACATTTCTGATACTGCGGTGAATTTTTAATGTTTGCCTGGACCTGTGGGGTTCAGGAAACCAGCACCGACAGGATCAACATCCTCCTCCTCTTCTTGTGTTGCTGTGTCCGTTATACTCAGCGGATCTGAACGATTACTGCGGCCGCTGGCCTCAGGATCAGCCTCCATCTAATCTGAAGTGTTTACTACATATGCGCTTCTGCAAATGCTGCTGGGAGTTCACAGAGATGCAGGGCCGACGTTCGATCTGTTGTCCCTAATGTGGATTTCTTGTTTGCCCCGGATTTCTCTCTCCATTATTGATGACTGGCGGGCCTGGAGACCGGGGCGGCGGCCCCACCCGCTGCTCTGTGCAGCTTGTACGCCGGAGCCGCATCACGTTGTTAGCAGCGCCGCATCATGCTGACCTTGAGGAATCTGTTTGTTGAGATATGATGAGTTTGTGAATCACAAGGTTGGCCTGAAAAATGGCTTTTTTTCCCCACTTCCTGTCACCTCTCTCTAAATTGCATCGACACAGTTTATGCTCCGGTTGTCTGTTGCTGTGTAAATTCCACATTCTGGTCACTTTTTTTATCGTCTGGTATAAACATGGTGGTTTCCAGTTAATGATGAAGAAATAATTTTAAAAAAGGCTGCAATGTGCTGTCTGAATTTCATTATGCTTCTCTTTGTTCCAAAGCACACCGTGCTGAAATTTTTGCAGAGTCATCTGGGTGAAAGCGAATTCAGAGTCCTGAACAGTAATGCTGCTTTTTCTCTTTCCTTTTATAAGCAAATGAAAAGGGTTCTGCAGCCTGCCCTATTCATTGCTTTGTTTCTTTGAGGGCTCAGGGCTGAAAAGACGCGTGCTTTGCATACCCAATTTATAAACTTTAAAGTGGACGCCTTGTGGACACTCTAATACAAAGAGTGTGTTAGAAATGACCTGTCCACAGTTTGAGCACTGCAAAACATTAAGCAACAAATAGTATGTAGCAAGTAACCCAGTGTTACTACATTTAAATTTCTACTTGAACAGTTTAGTTTAGCCTTGGCTTGACTTAATGGTTGAAGTTTTTAACCAAAAACATAGTTAAAGCAGCTCCTTTCTACCCTCAATATGGCCAACGAGTAACAATTTAAGGTATTAAAATATTAATATTTGGGTCAAAATAAATTATTATTTTTTTTTTAATTCAGTTTGCATTAAAATAATTGATTAAATTTAGTCTAGTTTATTTGGTAAAACTAATTTAAATTAGAGAAACACGACTAATAAACGGCAAGAAAACCTATAATTTAAATAAATGCAGCTCCTAGGCTAAATCTAGCTTAAATGAACAAATTGGTTTCCTTGCGTGAAGAAAAGTTATGCAAATTATGTTCTTAACACAATTTGAAATGAACATTGTTATTCAGCATCATTGTACCTCTTTACTATTGCTTATGCTATCTTGCAGAAGAGGTTGAGTGATATCTCTTTCAAAGTGGTGCTTTTTAGTCTCCTCTCTAACCCAGCTTGCTGGTTCTCAGTTTTTAGACAACTCTCCGACCAAAGTAAATCCACCATTTGGGTTAAGGGAACAATCCAGGCGTTATTTGTAGTTTCTTCCTCAGGAAATATTATATACCTTCTTTTGCTGCTCATGTTCATCTGAGAGGTTTTTGTTGTAGCCTAGCTTCTTAGTAAAAAAACAAAACAAAAAAACTCACTAGAATTGTTTTGTTAAATGTGAAGGTAAAATCTGCCTATCTACCCTCTGAAGGCGTTGCACCTTTCATCCGAAGCTCATTTTTTCCCTCTCCTTGGTTGCAGGAACACGACATTGAAACTCCTCACGGCGTTCTCCATGTGACAATGCGAGGCGTTCCCAAGGGCAACAGGCCAGTCATCCTCACCTATCACGACATCGGACTCAACCGTGAGTTAGCCAAAAAATATGTTCACCCGTGACCCACCCTCCAGGATGGGTCATGGTTTAGTGTTAGTGGGGTTTTTTTTCTTATTTGTGAGTTGTCTCCATCTTGTTTGCCTCTTTTTTCCTTTTTTTTTTAGACAAGTCCTGCTTCAACACCCTGTTCAACTATGAGGACATGCAGGAGATCACCCAGCACTTTGCTGTGGTCCATGTGGATGCGCCGGGCCAGCAGGAGGGCGCGCCACCCTTCCCTAGTGGGTGAGTGGTGTTCTCCTTTAACACATTCGTTTTAGAGCTGGTGCTGACGCAGCAGGTTCATTTGCTAATGGAAACATTTTCACCAGTCATTTGTTTTTCAAATCGAACTTCCTAAACGTATAAATCTATAATGATCTCAATTTCTCTGATGAACTGAAAGATGAGAAAATGAAGGGGCTTTAGAAACTACTTGTATTCCACGAACCTTTTAAAATATTGTCACATTACAGTGTATTTAATTATGGATTTATATAATGGTCTTGCACAAAGTGTTGCACAGCTGTAAAATAGAAAAAATAATTTTTAAAAGGAAAAACATATATACAAAAATGTACTATACTCTAATGCCACTAAACATAATCCAGGGCAACTAATTGCCTCCTGTTCAAATCTGTTCTAAGCATACAGCCTGAGCTGCAGTGGAATGCGTTAGATGTGCATGTGTGAGAATGACCAATTGAAAACGATATATAATTCTCCTTCCACTTCTCAGTTATTCTCCACTTTGTGTTGGCCCTTCAGTTAAAATATAAATGCAATCTGTTGAGGTTTGAGTCTGAAAAAATGACAGGATTTAAACATTGTCAGTGAACAGTTTTACATGACAGTATAATTTAGGGATGCATTCATATAAAGATTTGTGCCAATATTGATATCCAATAATAACATTACTCGATATTTACTGTTATTTTATATATGTATAAATGGGTGCTACCATTTTGACACTTAAAAAAACGATCACTCCGTTGACATTACGGACCAACCTCCTAAACTCGCCCTCCAGAAACAAACAGCAACAAGATGGAAAGACATTTGTTAGCTGTTAATATCAGCCCAGTTTTATTTATTGGACCGATACGGTTTGGTTAAATGATGACTAATATTGCCAGATGATGCTGCTAGTACAGATATATTTTTGTCCAATATGATGTTTGTGCAGAAATATTATGCAGCCAATACTGACATGAATTACTGATATTAATATTGTGTGGCCGATGTCAATATTAGTGCCAATATGTCATACATATACGGATGCAGCGATACAGAGTGTTATCGAGATGTTAGCGCTGATATCGTGTATCCCTACTATAAATTACATGACCTCTCACCCGTCTCCAGATACCACTACCCTACCATGGACGAGCTGGCTGAAATGCTGCCCTCTGTGATGACTCAGCTGAAGTGAGCATTTTTCCTGCTGTTTGCTGGTGAATGTTTTGTTTTTGTTTTTTGTCGCTACAGTATCTGTTTGTTTTTGTAGGGTCAACAGTGTGATCGGCATCGGTGTAGGAGCTGGAGCTTACGTCCTCACCCGCTTTGCAGTGAGTCCTCCACATTGGTGCTTTTTATTTATCTTTGTGTGCATTATGCAACCCCCCGTAAACCTCCCCCAGAAGTTTTTCGGCCACACAGCTTGTAACATGAAATCCTCTTATCAAACCCACACAAGACATCGGGTTTCTGTTGTGGTACCGGCCACCCCATGATAGATCACCTTTACGATTGGCTCCTTTTTCATGTGCATTGTTTCTGCGCTTGCTTAACAAAGCTAAAATAAGCACAATCTAGCAGAAAGCTCTGGAGAAGAGAGGAAGTACTGACAGATTAATAATAAAACGCAAGGCTGGTAATACAGGGAGGTGCAGAGATGGAAAAGTAGCAACCGTCTCTCCAAGGACAGTCTGCTCCTGTTTAAAACTCAAGTGGAAACATTGATTGTGAAATATGTTTGGCTTTAACAGGCCAGAAAGAGAATCTGTTTACGCAGGATGGGCAGAGCGACTCACGGTGCATCGCATTCATATTTTGGCCAAACGCAGCAGCATCTGCAGCATCCACTCAATATTAATCAAGATGGATCCTGTGTTTCCCCAGACAGCCTCTGTTTGCCGTAAGGCAATTTTAAAGCCACTCGCATGCATTTAGAGTCCCAGCACTCTCTGTTGAATCATATCTGAGCCTCATTTGAACTGACAGATGTGCTTTATTTTTTTATAAGTTTCATCCGTGTCTTCATATGAGCATAAAATTCTTATGTTTTGCTATTTTCTTCATGTTCTCATGCCTTCAGCTTTAAAAACATGTTTATTTTCCCCTAACACTTATTTGTAAAAGAAGGAATTAGTAGTTATAGCTTCCGTAAAATGTTTTTCGTAAACTATTTTTGAGCTTGTAGCTGATGATGGTGATGGTCCTTTCAGCTTCTGAAACTGAGTAATATTTAGAGGAGCATGAAGGAAAAAGGCAACCAGCCAAAAGCGCTGACAAAGGTAGTGAAGAGTGATGATTTATTGTATGAATTATTAATTGCCACCCAAGATAAAATTAGAGATGGCAAAGTCTCCAGTTTATAAGGCAACCATTTGTTCAGTGAGGAGGAAAAAGTCAAGAGATATTTTGTCTGAGAGCAGCAGACCAGATACTCAAGCAACCAGTACTCTTCCCAGTGAATTAAAAGCTCTTTGTGAAGAACCCAGTCTGTCTGAAAGTTGTTGTATGTAGTGAATGGCTGCTTGTAGCTGATATGTTGATAGTAATTTCAACTTCTAAAACTAAGTAATATTTTAAAAAGCATGAAGAAAAAAGGCAACCAGCTAAATGCGCAGACGAAGGTAGTGAAGAGCGATAGTGCAAAGGTCGTGCTATCGCTGGTCGCTGTGATATGTTTAGTTTCATGTGTAACATTGCTGCCAAAGTTCCTGCCAACGATGCAGTGCTATGTCGGATTGTGATTAAAAACCCACTGCTTTTTATCACAGGACGCTTGTGATAAAACTTCTCATTCAAAAATTACAATTCTGGCAGCATTCTGGTTTGACATTGTTATTTCTGCTGGTTCTGACCAGCATTTTTACTTTTATCCGCCGTTCTATGCACCAGTGCATTCCTCCCAAAGCTGTCAGTGGTAGTAGTTCTGCAAAACATGGTAGCAGTGAATGGAAGCAGCTGGAAGTCCTGCTTTTCAGTCCCCATTTTATTTGAGGGGGTTTAGCTTCATACATGCATCAGCACTTAGTTTTTCCTCACATGTTTTTCAACAAGTAAATTCAAGCTAACATCATACTCATAGTGGATGGAACTGAAGATAAAATACTAAGATACAGTCAGATGCTCTCATTTATTAGAAACATTTTGTCACGACTGCAGCTATTAGTGCAGGTAAACATGCATAAGAAATCCACAGCCTGTTATTTGTCATGTCATCCGCAGAGTGACAGAAGATGCGTGCAAAATAAAAATTACATAATTTTCTTATCTTCAACAGTTTATGCCCACAAAGAACATCACCTCTGACCTCAGTGGCCTGCTGGCTGACGTACAATGAATGCTGTGTGCCCTTGCCACAGTATAAAGTGTGTGGTGGAGACTTCCACTTAACTTCCTGTTTTCTTTAAAATCAAGTTTTCAATTGTTTTATGACTCTGGAGTGAAAAGCACGTCTAGTAAAGAAAAAAACTCAGATGTTTCACTGATGCTGTGTTTATCAGAGTAGAAGAAAACCTGCTTCTTTGTTTTTGTTCACGTTCTTTCTTAGTGGGGCTTTTAAAGAAAGTTTATGGCCACACAGTCATTTAAAAATGTTTCCCTTTTTTATTTTATTAAAACAATAACATTTACAGGAACAGATATAGGTGCTTTGCTGTGGAGTTGTCGTCATCCATGTTATGTTTTTCTTTTAGGCAGGGTGTGGCCCCAAAGACTCTTTGTGTCACTTTTTATTATCATTATTCCAAAAGAATAATGATGGTGGAAAGTTGTTTCTTTTTTAAACTTTTCTATCTCTTAAACATAGCTGCTCTACTGCATTACGTTCACGTTTATCGCTTGCTTTCCAGCTGAACAACCCCAACCTCGTGGAAGGACTGGTCCTGATCAACGTCGACCCGTGTGCCGAAGGCTGGATCGATTGGGCCGCTTCGAAGGTCGGTGTTCCAACAGACAGAACCCAGAAGGAAGTTTTATGTGAAATTCAAGCAGGAATGAGAAATATGCGATCAGAAACGACCAGAATGCGATCAGAAAAATAAACTAACGAACTACAAAAAAATATATATATTTCTTTTCCCTCCGTTGTCATACCGGAAATCAGACGACTTTTAAATTATTGCTAGAGGAAGAGTATCCTATTGACAAAAATGATGGAACATTGGCTTACAAAAAAACAAGTCATGCATTTTGACGCTCATGTTGCTCCATAGTTCAGAAAATTGTCCTGATTGAGCAAAACCAGTGTGACCTTTGGATTGAGCTCATCAAAATGACCATAAAACAGTTGAAAAACCCCAGACAATCTTTTGGATTTTAACCAGTGTAATAGCTTTACAATATAAGATCTGCACAAGCAGAGCCCACTCAGTATTATTGGATGAGCGCTGATTAAAAACACATATCGTAAGTTTTTATCATAAAGCGCTAGATATGGCTGTTTTTCTACCAGACCTCATGTTAATGCAACATAGTGCTGCTCTATGTTCATTTCTAAAACACACAGTAGACGCCGTTTATTGTTCCATATTTATTTAAGTAGTAACTTAGCTACACTCTTAATTATGCCATTTATTCTGTTCATTATTGTTGCACAAGCTAAATGTTCTATGAATTTGCTCACCGGGTACAAAAATCAGTTCCCTAAGAAAACGAAAAGTGCACACTAATAAAATAATGACAAATGTGTTACATTGTCTCTGCTGGCTGTGTGTGTGCAGCTGTCTGGATGGACCAGTAACTTGGTGGACATCGTCATGGCTCACCACTTCAGCACTGTGAGTACTCACTGCGACTCTTCCTTTTTATAATTTTGGTTCCCCTGGTTTATTACCGACGCTGTGTTGGTGTCTGAAGTGAACTACTCGACTTCTCCTGAAAAGCCAGAGGTTCATCTGACTGTTAACGGCTAACAGACGTTTGTTAATGGCGTCTTTGATATGAAGAGAGGCCAATCATGACCCGCTAAAAGCAAACAGTCATCTAATAGTGCTATAAATGACCTCACTGTGCAAACATATGCCGCTGTTGGAGTGAGTCAATTATGTAAAATGTATTCTCATCCACTGTGCTTCTGTTATGTGACATTCCTGTACGTTGTGTATGAAATGGGTCATTCCTTGATGCTTTCAGCACACGAGGTCACGTTACAGGCACCGAAATTTGAAACATTGTGTTTTTGGTGTTTGATGTCATATGCAACTAAAGCAGAATTGTAAAGCTGAATAAAAATTACACAGGGTTTTATTTTACCCGTCTGAAAAGTGAAGCTGAGGAGATCCACAGACTCGATAGACTAGACAAGTAGGTGTGAACCGAAAAATTGGCCGCAATTTCTTCAGCCATTGTTCCCTTTTCCTCTGCAGGCTTTTTGTAGAGCAACGATAGACCAGAAAACTGTAAACAGTGCCCCCTATAGACAACTGCTGGGACTTATACTTCCTCCACAAAAGCAGACAAATTATGGGTGCAAGGACTTTGACGTTTTTGTAGCTTGTTCTTGATGCATGTTCATGGTGTCTAAGTGATATGAAGTGTGTGGGCAACAGACTACGAAGACTTTGTTGTAGTTCAGTTGTACTTTCTATAGATCTGGCATGTATGGAAGAGAGGCAGTAGAAAGCTTAACGAATTACTGTTAGCTGTTTGCCACAAGAAAACATGTGGGAGAAGGTTATTTGTTATGACTTACATGTAAAAGTCCAGGTTTTGGCTAAAAATGAACCGTAGCTATGTTTTCATCCAACTGTTTTGTAAATTTTGAGCAAGCCCCTAAAATGTTCCACAAAAAAACAAAACAAAATTGAGGGAGTTTTTTTCAAATGTTGCTGTTTCCATGAACCTATTTACAATGCTAGAGTTCAAAATGCACATAAAAAACCCTTAATGGATCACCCTGAGCACTCGTCAGTGAGACATAGCAGTGACGACATCATGCTAAGTGTGGCAAAACGAGAAAGAAGTACGATTACTGCAGCGCCTGTATTTATCTTTACTGGCATTTATTGAAGTATTTTCTGTCCGTCAGGATGAGCTGACAGAAAACCAGGAGCTGATCCAGACCTACCGCCTCCACATCGCCCAGGACATCAACCAGGACAACCTGGCCCTGTTCTGTGGCTCCTACCAGTAGTAAGTACAGAGACGTGAAAGCTGCACATTGTTTTGCTTTTTCTCCTTCTTCGGTTCTCTAAATTTTCTTTTATTTCTGGTCAAAACTTCAAATGAATCCCAATAAGGCCAGCTTAACCCCACAGGTTATTTTCTTGGCTTCATCTTCTCTTAACTTACTTTGTCTGCAGCCGCAGAGACCTGGAGATCGAGAGGCCCATCGTGGGGTTGAATGAGGATACGGTCAACACACTAACGTGGGTGTTGAGACTGAGGCGGCGCTGATCTGTGTTTTGGTTTTGCATCAGAGCGCAGCGTGACCTTTGATGTTTTTCTGGTCGTCCACTCCAGGTGCCCAGCCCTGCTGGTGGTCGGAGACACGTCACCTGCTGTCGAGGCCGTGGTAGGTCAAAGTTCGCCAGAAATGATCATGTAAATAATTTGCTGCTTCTTCTTTGTGTCAACATCTGCGTGTTTCAGGTGGAGTGCAATTCCAGGTTGAATCCCACCAAGACCACACTGCTGAAGGTGAAGAGCCGTTGCTATTTCAAATCAGTAGAAGTCAAATCAGTTTTAGCTTTGAAATTCATGTTTTAATAAAACTGATATTGATTCTTTAGATGGCTGATTGTGGAGGCTTGCCACAAGTTGTGCAGGTTAGTTCATCTTTTTTGTGTTTTACTTCTTAGAAATGAAACATGTCACGTTTTTTCTGAAGCTGAAGCAACATTCAGCTTCTGCACAACGCAAATCTGGAATAAATTTTCAGAAAACTCTAAAGCTGCAGAAACACTGACTGCCTTCAAATCAAAACTCACCTGTTTTAGAGTTGCCTTTGATTCATCATAACTGGAACATTAATCAGCATATTTGTGTAGCGATAATTTTGATGATAGCATTTGACAAAATGTAACGTTCGCTGCTTGTTTCATCGTTACTATGTTACGTTTTTATGATGTTGAACTCTTTGAACTGCCTGGCGGCTCCAATCTGCTGTAGAGATAAAACATGACTTTCTCTCCACAGCCTGGGAAGCTCGCCGAGGCGTTCAAGTACTTTGTTCAGGGCATGGGATACAGTAAGTAAACGGCTGTCATTTTAATGTGTCAAAGGTCTTTGAAAAAACATCTAAATATATGAATATATATATAGTAACTCGGGTTTGAGCCGGTTGACTCTGTGGTCACGATCAAGCTGCTTTTCGATGACGTTCTTGTGGTTCAGGTTCGCCTGTGTTTACTTCTTTGGCTTCCTGTTGACGTGAGCACAATTACAAAAGACTCCTGAACGTGGTGGGGGTTGGTTTTTTTGTTTGTTTTTTGTTTCTTTCTCTCATTGCTGCCTGTTGCTAAACAACCCGGGTGTTGGTGGAGTGGGTTGGGTTTTGTCCAGGAGAGCATGAAAAGAGGCCCCATCCCGGACGGAGCGGCCTTCAGGGGGTTCTGTTGGTGCTAATATTATTTCCTCTGTGCTCTTTGCAGCGTGTGCCTCTCACAGCTCTCAGTAGGTGAGGTTGGTGTCTGAAATCACACTCAGATGTGCTGAACAGCAATTTGCTTCCTGCTCGGCACAGAGTGGGTGTTGAAAATGACCCCTTTTTTTGTTGTTCTTGGTGTGCTTTTTTTTTTTCCTCTCTCTCCCTTTTAATGCTCAGCTGTTTACTGATGCGCTCTCTTTTGAGGGAGAGTCATAGTTAAACAGGCTTTCTGGTTTTATTGTTTGTAGTTTTGGGAAAAAGAAAAAGCGTTCAGAGATTCAGAGTGTGACCTCCGGGCGGATGACTCGGTTTATAAAGTTTTGTTTTCCTTCCTCACACAGATGGCGTCTGTCTGCAGTGGCCTGCAAAATTAGCAATGAGAGTGAACATTTTTACATTTTGTCACGTTACAACTACAAATCACACTGTATTTGTTTAGATTTCATGTGAGAGATCAACACGGGTCATCAAGAGAATAATAATGTAATTTATTGATCTCCAGGGGGAAATTGTTTATTTGTTGACAAGCTACTCCTGTTGAATATTAGCAGCATTTAGTGATATTTATAACACAAGTGTGAAATTAATATTTAGACTACAGGTACTTTAAATATGACCTGAATATAAAGTAAATTAAATAAATAAATGGAAATGTGTTGATCTATAACAAGTCCAGAGAGTAGTACTGCATAACAGGGAAGTGGAAAGAAAATAATACTTCTTTTTTTAATCCTATTTATGATATTTTTTGCAAATAAGATGAAAAATGATGAAAGCAAATGTATATTCAAACGCCCTAATTCAACATTTTGCAGAAGCACAATTTGCTCTCTGCTCACCTACACCATTCCTCTTTGCAGAAAAAAAATGTTTCAGTCTGAGTGGAAGGAAAGTGTCTTTGAGCTGTTCCAAAATATGAACGCGCTCTGAGCCGCAGCATCCGCCTCCAGCTCTAGAGGAAAGGATGGAGATTGTTGTCCTGCTGGAAGGTGAAGCTCAGCCCCTCTTTTCAGGTCTTTTGCAGACTGAAAATGGGTTCATCTTCAAGAATTATCCTGGATTTGGCTCTGAATGACTCGGCCACCGCCGTGTTTCACTGCAATGTGGAGATGAGTGGTGGTCTTTTTTTCTTTTCTTTTATTTTTTTGCCACATAGTTCCCTTTTGGTCTTCTCGTCACTTCTCCGTAAAGACTCATTTTGTAAAGACAAAATGAGTTATAAAATCGAGTAAAGACTCATTTTGTAGAGCGTTTGACGGATAATCGTCCTGTTGACCAGCTGTTGACTATTTTAGTAATCAAGTAATCGATCTATTATTCTCATGATTAATTGTATAATCAAATAAAAAACAGTACCAATATTATATTTTCATATTTGTGCATCTCCAACAGTTACTTTCCTATTTCTTAGAAAATTAACTTGTTACAATAATACTTCATGTTTATGTCAGAAATCCACAAAAATCTGAAATTATATTCAATGCAGTAACATTTTTTTATGTGTATACTCCATTTTTTCAGTCAATTTAATCAATAAACTCTCACTTGGCATTGCCCTTTCATAGCTTTAGCGTCCATGTGTGTGATGTTAGCTTCGTACATATTGCATACATTTGGTATGCATCTGTTTTCCTTCTATCTGCTTCACCTGAAAACCCAGGAAAAAAATGACAATTATTGTCATTGTTATGCTAACAGCATTTAGTCTTCGTTAGCAACTCATCAGCAGAAATAAGAGCATTACGCTTTGTGAAGCATAACCAATCAAAGCTTCACTGCAGTTAATTTGCCTCCAAGTATTTTTTGGGCTGCTTCATTTCAAGTGCACAATAACTTGAACGGAAAATAAATCCAGAACCACACTTTTCCGATCATTTCTTTTTTTTTTTTGCTCGCATAAAAGCAAAACGTTAATAATTTTTCTTTCCACTTCCGTTATGCAACTCTTTCTCTTTTCTTTTTCCTGTCAGTCTGCCACATTAAACCCTCTGCAGTTTGATGTTGCGTGACAAAAAAGTGAAAACGCTTCTTTGCAAGGTGTTGTGTGAGTGAATCTCTTTAATGTCACTTCTCTTTTGGTCTCTGCTGCTCTCAAACCCTTCGCCGTGGGAGGAGCTGGCGGGGCGGCGTTGCTTTAAAGGCCATCCAGTCCACCTATCGAGTAAATGTCACTGCGGGATTAGAGCAGATTAAAAAAAAAAAAGTCTGTTTTCACACAGAGAATGTGTGCAAAACAAAACCTGGGCACCTGTGTGTTTCCCCATCATTAACACCTCGGGGCAGTATAAAATGCAACAGGAAAACGGCCAGAAACAGCAGGAAGCAGCCCTCGACGTGTACCCACATGCTATGATTTCTTACCTCTTGTTGCCGGCCAGCTGCTGTTTGTCCTGAGCCACTGCCGAGCCTCTTCTATAAACAAAAAGATGCACCTTTTCACTCCTCTTCTCCTTTTTCTCTTGTCTTTTCTTCTTCTACTATTGCCCTCAGTTCCCTACGTTCTCCTCAGTCACCTGAGCAACGAATCAGGTACTGGACTCTTCAGCAGCTCCTCCACCAGGGGGCGCTTTGAACCAAAATGCTTCTGCGGGACATATGTGTGTCAAACTCAAGGCCCAGGGGCCAAATCTGGCCCACCTCAGCTACTTATGTGTCCCTCTGGTCTGCAGGGGGACACGTGTAATTAAGGTGTTTGCTGAAATATTGTTTCATCGATCAAAGCAACAGTTTTTATCTCTATATGGCCGAACTACATCAATCAGTCCCTCGAGTTTTTCGCAGCCGCCAAATCAACAGATCTTCACACTTTTTTGTGCCACTCAATAATTGTGAGTTTTTTGCAACTCTTCCACAGTGGTTGAAAAACATTGGGCTAAAGTGATGCTAACTCCCACCTGCAGGTGGCAGTAAGTCTTACGTCTACGGCACTGCTGCCTCAGCCGTAACTGATGTTAAATTATAGTTTGATTAGTACAGCGAGTCACATTTACTGAAATATAGGCTCAACATTTCGTGCAAATATTTCTAAATTAGCCTCTCAAAATTTTGATTGGTTTTGTCTTTTTATTTGTATTTTTTTTTGCAGTCATGAAATCCTGGAGGGACTGACCAGAGTGAAAAGATGTTTTACATTATTTACTTTTTAAGAAGTGCTTATTGAATTCAGACACTGCTGTTAATTAATATTTTAAAGTGGCAGTATTTTTGTAAAATTTTTGAGCTTCTTCAGCTCCTTCAGACTAGCCAGCAGCAATTAGCAAACACTTGTATAAGTGTAACGTCACATCTGCTGATATGGGAACTACTTCTCTGTGAACCACTGGTAGAAATGTTTTTAAGAGTTAATAGAGGAGCCATGTTGTGATGACTTCCTGAAGGCGGAGTTTCAGAAAAAGTAGGAGTTTCTTAAAGAGACAAAGGTCCAATTTCAAGGTGCTAAATTACAAAGTCAAATTTCTTTTTAGTCATTTGGTATATGCCGAATTTTGATAATAACTGAAGGCAACACAGTTAAGTGATTGTGCTATAAAATGTCACTTTGTGCCTCAAAAGCACATAATACTGCCTCTTTAACAGTTTGATGGGTTATAGTAATACATTCTAGGCCAAACGGCCCTTTGGGACATTCATTATCTTGATGTGGCCCCAAAATGAAAATGAGTTTGACACCCCACCCCGCTCCATTCTTAATGTGAATGTGTGCAGGAAGCTCCCCACAGAGCTCTGCTAGATGTTTTCCAGCAGCATTTTTAGAAGCTTCTGCATTACATTCTTCTTCTTCTCCTCCCTGTCGGAGCCCAGTGCTTCCCGTTAGCATGTCCTGGCTCCGGCGTCCAAATACTGCATGACCCGCTGCAAAATGCCGTGCTCTGTTGTGCCGCATTGCTTGTGTCGTTTTATTCTCCCCCCCTTTCAGTGGATACGTTCAGCAGTTCTCAGTCACACGTCTTCATTTTATTTTAGCCTGATTAGTCGTTTTATCTGAGAATGGCTTGCATGGTAAGCACTTTTCTTTTTCTGTTTTTCAGTCGTCTCTGTATTCCTGCTTCACTCTGGTCTCTGTGTGAATGTGAGCATGTGTGTGAGAGTAGAATATTAACATCTGTTGTTTTTTTTTCTTGCACCCACCTCCAACCTCCTCCCCGTTTCAGTGCCGTCAGCAGGAATGACTCGCCTGGCTCGTTCGCGCACCACCTCCTCCTCCAGCATCACCTCCATGGAGAGCAGCCGCAGCCGCAGCAATATCAGCGGCTTGCTGGAGGCCAACGCCGCCGCCACCGGGGCGCTGGACAACCAGGTGGCGCCCCAGACCATGGAGGTGTCCTGTTAAACCTCTCCCACAGTAATTTATACGCCACTCCCCTCCTCCCTCTTTCCTCTCCCTCATCCTGCTCCCAAGCTACTCGACGCCAGAGGGAGTGTGTGAGTGTGTGTGTGTGTGTGTGTGTGTGATTAGAAAAGGAGGAACTAATAAAAAATATATAACAGATGCATATTAGAGGATATGTTATATATACATATATACTGTCAAAGTCAACATACTAACATAAACCATGAGAACATTCAGATGTTGTATATTTAAATGTTTGAGTCAGCTGTCTAACCTTGTATTTATTTTTTGTTCTTGTTTTAAACCTCTTCAGACATTATTGTAGGAATCCTCCGTGTTTGCAAGAGCTTCTTTTATTTTTATTTTATTTCCTTAAAAGGATTTTTCCACAAATTGTGTTTCAAGTTTTAAACCTGCTGCTGCAATGCAGATGAGTCACGGGAGAAAGCGAGGGATCAAAACACGCGCAGATTCTGGTCGGGACGCAAAGTTTGGGATGTGAAAGATGAGACCGCGATGAGTCACTTTGAAGGTCCTTCCTGGACGTGATGTTTTTATGCGGTGCGATAAAACCGGAAAAGAAGACTCTAGCTTCATCTGCGTGTTTTCAAGGTTTGGAACGTGCTTCGTTTCATCCAAAGTGCTTGACATTAAAACGTCACCGTTTTGAAAGAGTCTATAGCGTTTTATTAAAAGTCTGAATTTGGAAAGCGTCATTTAAAGTTGAAACTGGATATTTAAACATAACAAACTCATTTTCTGAAATTAATTCTTGTTTTATGTTAAAATTAGCAAAATTATTTCAATTTGGTAAATTCCATGAAACTTAGCAAGAATTGATTTTTTTTTTTTTTTTTTCAACTTAACCCAGTCAGATGTATGAGATGGAGACATTTGATAACATAACTTCTTGCTATATTTCAGCTTGCTTTGTCTCTGCTATAGAATATAGAATACCATCACAGGTCATTATTAATAACTGTAATAAATGACATCAGAGAGTAGCAAATTGAAATGGTTTTTATATTGTTCTCATCTTCACAATCTGGAGCTGGGAAACTTTGAAAAGAATTGGTGAACCTTCTGCGAGAAAAGTGGGCGAACTGGAAAACAAACCAGACATTTTGTTCATCTAGCCTTTGAAGCCAGACTGCAAAGCATTAAAGGAATCTTGTTTTTTAAAGGTAGCAGTCAGGAGAAGGATCGCCAAGAGGCCAAAAGTAAGAACACAAGAGCAGCTTGTGTTCTCCATGCACTAAGAATGTGTTGTTGGTGAAACAGTTCCAATTGTCGGCCATGTTTGACTGAAAACCTAAACTTAATCAAGTAAAGAACTTTTTGTATTCACTTCCTTCCGTCTCACCAATGCATTGCTTTTCAGTTGAATCGATACCTTAAAGATGAGGGGCATAAAGTCGTAAGAATGCATCCGGGTCTCATATATCACGGACACCTAACAGGCACACGTTGGGCTTCTTCTAGAAAATGCCACCGTTTGGCTTAGATTTCGCCTCGTGATCAAACTCCACGCCTCCGTCTTTTTTATGATTTCTCCGCACTCTGTGTTGATGTTCGTGTTCAGGCTGAGTGGACTTCTCACCGACGCTTAACAAGCGGGTCCGGGTATGAAAACTGTAGCAGTCCATGTCGCGTCGGGGCCAAGAACGGCTCCTCACTGTCCGCTGATTCAGCTCATTTCTAATACTACTGAATAAAAACCTACGAGACGAGAACGTGTCTGGTGTTTTTTTCTGTTTGCCCTTATTTTGTGTCTTTCTCCCGCCCCAATAAAGTGGAAGAGGAGCTCCTTCATTCAGCCGCCAGGAGAAGGGCAGACAATAAGTTCTTGCACTTTGCCTGTTGTGTTGGTGGAAAAGCGAGGTGACTGTGGTGAGATTGTTTCCAACCGCGCTTGTACTTATTTCCTTTGTGAGTGATGGCTGCTGCTGTCACAGATGAGGGCGTCTATTTTTAGCACCCAGCGAGAGATAAAAAAAAAACCAACTGATCAGCTGCTTTACAAAAGACAACAAGTTCAGAGGTGCAGAGTGGAACAAAAACAAAGTATCTGTGTGTAGAGGAATGTTCTAGTTTCTCTGAACGTTATGCAAGCCCCAGAAAACACAGCGTCATAATGTAGCACCGTTATGATTCATATATTTGGGAGGGAATAAAGCCACACCCGTCCCACATCTTAAATAGATTAAATACATATTTAATATGTATTAAATAGATTAAAAATATAAGTTGGCATTAAATGCGCTTGTCAGGTCTTAAAATTTGTTTTAATTTCTTATTCTATGTCGTTGTTTTTCAGGTAAAACGTTAGCTTAAGCTATGCGACCTATGACTCAAGGCGGTTCAGGGCACAAACATATTCATTTATATGGTTAAAGCTACTGATAACAAGCTGCTAAGGCTGGCTTGCTATGTGGTTTGCAAGCAAACAAACCGACCGTTAGCAGCTAGCATGCGGCTGTTTAGCCACTTGCTAAGTGAGAAGCACAAAGCTGCTGTCACGAGCCACGAAAAAGCCCCGGAAATGTCGGTTCTGTCCCCTTATATTTGCTCATCTCTTATGCTCAGTTTTATTCATAATGGTTTTACAAATGTTTAAATAAAAAATGGGAAACAAAAGTAAAAAATGTACTGGTGAAACTTCCATAAAACGGTTTGCGCAGCTGGTCTGAACAGCACAGCTTCTGCTCGACTTGAATCTGACGTCATCAGATTTTCTAAGATCCGCCATTCGACAATCTGACCTGTTCCATAAATGATGGAAGGTTTTTAATGGTGATGATAACCCAACTTTCCATCTGTGCGAACACAGATGGTGATTCAACTCCAGTCTGATCTGTTCTTCTCTGCAGTTTTTGGTTCTTAGAAAAAAATAAACTGATTCAGAACCTCCAGATTTTATCAGGTCCCCCAGTATCAGGGAAGATGCCTTTGTGATGCACAAACAGAAACAACACCCACGTTGAATTTCTTCTTCATTTTTCAGAAACTTTTCCATTTGGCCTCCATCTTTGTTTAATGTGCGGTAACATGGTGAACAGGTGGAACTGAGTCAGGTTTGCAGGCCGCCTCACTTTACAAGCAACGCGTGGTGCAGCATCAGACCAGTCTGAATACAGAAGACCATCATCCTTCCACATAACCATCCAGGGTGGGATTTAGGTCTTACTGTAAAACTTCCCCACTGCCTGTCTCATTAGTGCTAAATAAAAGCCTCCAGAACCTTTCAATAAGATGTTATTAATTATTTTTGCCAATGCTTTAGATTTCTTGCCAATGTTTTTAAATGTTGCGTCAATATGTCAATGTAATTTCCCTTTGCAGATAACTGGATCACTGAGAGATTTCAAAACAAAACGCAATTTCAGAGGTTCAGGTGAACCGCTTTACTTTTCTATTTCACAAATGGCCTTAATGGAAATATTTTTCACGACCCAATCTCAGAACAGTTTCTTCAGAAAACTCAGAGGTGGCGCGCCGCCCCTAGCTGCCATCTCCTCTGTAGCTAATAATCGCATGGTTATTAGTAATTAAGCACTAATAGGTTGGTGACTGATTAAAATAACATTGACAAATTCATTTACAAGCTTGGATTGAATCTTTTTACTTTTAAAGACAGTGAAATGCTGTTTTAATCTCCATCATGGACAGCTGTTTGTTTACATCTCCAGGACCAACTAGTTTAGACTCCAATAAAAGCAAAAACAACAACAACAAAGTCACTGCATAAGGCTTTAAAGGCCTCATCGCTAAAAACGATGAGGATTTAGTGTATTGCAAAGCAGTTGTTACTTTTCTTTTGAATGTTTTCTTTTCATGTTATCAAATAAAATGTATGTTGATAAGGCAGTTAACAATAAAACTATGATCGAAGCATATGAAAGATTTTGGATATATGAATGGTATATATACATTTTATATGTATTTGTAAAAAATATTTATATTTGAAAAGAATACATAAATATATGAATTATATATATTTATATCTATATATTATTTTATGTCTATGTAAAAAAAAATATTTATATGTAGGCTATATATAATTTTAATATTCTTTACCATTACTAATCTTTTCCATGAATTTCAGAGTTAAAGCTTCTGTAACATCAGGGTCATTGTGAACTTTAGGCTGATGGGAAATGATCATCAGTGCTGGCGGCCCGACGCGATTCCGCAGAGTTCCGGCTCTTTAATCAGAACGTTCCCGTTTAATCAGCGGCTGGGTTCCAGTGGGCCGACGGAGAATCGTATAATCCGATTCCAACGACTGCTAATGAATTTCTGTGTGTGTCACCAGATCAAACCACAACGGCACCGCGAGCGCAAACGCCGCTTACGCATGCGGGGCCGCTCATTCCATGGCAGTGCGGGACGTTTCAGAGATCTGCGCTGGATAGAGAGCAGCGTCGCTGCAGGGCGACGCGCTCTGAGTCGAGATGTTCGAGCGTCGCACGTCACAGGAAGCTGGAGCCGGGGCCGTGGTACATAAAGGCGAGGCGGGAGACCTCCCCTCTCTTCAGTCGACCCACGTCAGAAACAGCTGCAACAACACAGCCGCCTCCAAGAGAGCGCACAGTAGCAGCACCAGAAGAAGAAGAGGCAGAGCTCAGAGTCACTCATACTTTAAAGGATTTTCTTGCAGAAGATAAGGATTTATCTGCAAGCACTGTCTTTGGATAAATTGCTGGAGCAAGTAACAAACTGGGTGAGTTATGTTTAACTGGACATTTTTACCTTTTTCCTTGTTTTTTTTGTTGTTTGTTTGTTTTGTTTTTTTAATTGCATGCATTATTGAACTCTCCCCTCATAAAAAATAGACAAACAGCCTTCAGTGCATTTTGCAGTCCGTGTCATAAGAGGAAAATCTCTTTTCTAGCCTTTGAGAAGCATTGAAGTCTCGCTCGTTCCTTCGCTTGCATGGAAATTTAAGACAGGATATCACAGGGCTTCTTGTTGTGGTCGGGCGCCTTCCTGTGTCTTGCGTCTGTTGCCTGCTTACACTGAATGTAGAGTCCATGCAGGTGGCCGTGACTTGCTGCACAGTCATAGCAATAACTAGTAGGACGAGGAAAGTGAAATCTCCATGTTTCCCAGAACGTCTCACTAAGTTCTCCACTTCTTCGTCTGCCTCTGCCTCTTCTTCCTCTTTGTTCTTCTTCTTATTCTACTTCTTCTACTTGTCCAGTTGGAGCATGGGCACCTGCTACACCAGATGTCAGTGCAACCAGACAGTCCTCGAAAATCAGTTTGGATCTGCGATGCCACGTAAGCTCCACTCCCCAAAACACTCAGCAGGACAACAACAACAAAAAATTAAATAAATTAAAACATCAACAATGCCTGAATCTCGTCTCTTGCAGGACAACAGGAGAGCGTGATCGTCTCTTTGTACGACTACCCAGCGTTTGAGCGCACAGAACTGACCATGCGCACGGGGGAGAGGCTGACCATAGTGTCAGAGTAAGTGCAACTTCGATTATCATGCGATCTGTACTTGACGGCAGATTAGTGACAGACGTCCGTTCTCTAACGTCGCAGTGACGGTGATTTTGTGATGGTGAGGTCCACGACCACCGGGCGCGAGAGCTACGTTCCCACCAACTACACGGCGAAGGTGACAGACAAGTGAGTGACGTTGAGATTTCACAGCCGTACAGAGAGCAGAGGGAACACGAAGAGAAGAGGGGAGTTCCGTGAGAGGAGGTTCTGTGTAGGTGCACTGCGCCTCGGTGGAGACAGACGTTTGGAACAAGACGTCCGCTCTCTCTGGTGACACAAACAGCCTCCAACGGTTTCACTCCTCGTCATCCTGGGACTGTGGGAGGGGTCGATCTACTGTTATGGTGTTCCAGTGGATTTTTCAGACCTGGAAACATCAATCAAATATTGCTGTGTAGTCTCCTCTTGTTGAATATGTGGGCAATCCTTTTGTTTTTTTTCTCTTTTTGCTGCAGGTGGCTCTACACAGGGATCAGCAGGTATAAAGCAGAGGAATTTCTGAAACATCCCAGCAACCAGACTGGAGCCTTTTTGATCCGTGAATCAGAGACAAACACAGGTTAGAGCTTTTTTTATTAAAAAAAAATAGTAAATTGTATAACAAACATATTTAAGTCAATGTTGCAGCCTCTGCCGCAATGTATTTTATTTGAAAGTACAACTTTTTAAAGCTCTGTTACGGTTATTTTGCTGGTTGGATGCTGAGACAAATGGATTCGGACCTGAGTTGGTTCTACATGCAGGGATGACCCAGTGCACTGAATCGCTTTGAGGCTGAAAGGCTAATTAATGTTGGCTTAAGTTAAACTGGCTCTTGTATGTCAGTTGGTCATTATCCACTGACATTAACTATCATTTTCATAATCTTTTCTTATCACTGAACTCATCTGTGTGTTTGATAGTTTATTTAAAAAGTGCAACAAAGGGATTTCAACTCCAGGGAAAATGGTACAAAAGTCCAAACTTGTGTATTTTTAACAGCTGCATCTGTGTGTGTTTTCTCCATCTAGACAGCTATTCCCTCTCCGTCCTGAGGAGAACCGGCTCCTCAGACCGGAACCCCGTGAAGCACTACCGCATCTCCCAGCTGGAAAACTCCTGGGTCTACATTTCTCCAGGTCTCACATTCCCCTCCCTCCATCACCTGGTGCAACACTATTCAGGTTTGTGCTGAGATGCTTGCCATGTTTTCACACATCGTCGCAGCAAAATGCACCCGACTGACATCCTCGCGGTTCTTCCTTCCACAGAACTTCCAGACGGGCTGTGCTGTCGACTGACGGTCCCTTGCTTCATCCAAGGGTTGGATGAGCCCAGACCGGTTCCCACCACCGTCAGAAGGCCAACCATCAACTGGAGGGAAATTAGCAGGTGAGAGGTTTTTGGTGTTTTTGGTGGCATTGACTCAGAGTGCATTGGTTCAGTGCAAGGTCATTAAAACCAACAAAGTAACAAAAATTGAAACTGAGCCCATGTTGTGCATTTATAAAACTAAAACATACTGAAATTATAAGTATAATGTTCTTCATTTTTGTGTTTATGAATCTATTTCTTAGATGAATCTATTTCTCGAACTGGTGAGAAATAGATTTTTTCCCCTCACACACACACAGTTTACATCAGCTGGTGGCAAATTCAGACAGTTGTTTGTTCTGCAATAATTGATTTTTTTTATTTTATTTTTTTTCAAAAATGGTATCGTATTTCCCAAACGATGTATTCATAATCAAAATATAATAATAATTAAACCTTTTTAAGTCCAGCATCTAAAAATTAACCAAAGTATGAAAAAACTAAATCTAAAACCACGGCTAATGAAAACTAAACTTAAACGAGGCAACATTTAACTAATAATAGCCAATAAAGACTCGCAAGCACACACTAAATCTCACTTAATTAAACAAGCAGAAAGTCGCAACAAAACAAAACTAAACTAAACTATAATGAAAAACAGAACTATTATAACCCTGATTCTGTCCCACAGTGCTGCATGATTTAGAACTAATTTAGAACTGATTTAGAACAAACTCCTCCGATGCGGAGGAGTTTGAAAAAATTTGATCAACGGGGCAGATAAGGCTGCGGTTATATTGACTAGTTGCTATTTATGTGCTTCACCCTCATGTTCGTTCTCAAGAAAGTTTCCTGTGCTGGGTTCAGATGCGTGACTCGACGTTATTTGTGATAATTGTTTTGCTGCATTTTTTTTTTCTTGTCAAGCAAAATCGAAGTGATTCAGACCCCTAAACTTTCTCCTGTTTTGTTCCGTTAAAAAGGTCCGTGGTCCTCGGGAGGAAGAGAACCGAGTCGGACAACTCTCTGGTGAGCGACGGGCTGAGGGAGGCCATCAGCTCCTACCTCCAGTTAACAGAGTGCAAAGATCAGAGCTGGGACACGTGAAGGAAAGCCTGTGTGGTCAGTTTGGGGGAAATAAAAAAAACGACGACAAAAAAATGAAGTCCAACAAAGAGAGTGGAGGGGCTTGCTGCTCTGGGGCTGCTGCAAGCTTGAGCAAACCCCTGAAGAAGGTCCTCTGCACACCCAAACGTCGAAGCGAGACAGAGGCACAACACTGCTCAGAGTGTTGTGCCATTTTTAGTGCAAGGAGGACGAAGCACAGAGGCAGAGGATGCCAGCTGCGAAGAGGCAATGAATGTTTCACCTAATTTCTGAAGATTTTAACATAATATTGTCTGTTGACATTACAGCAATGTGATTGTATCTGAATGTTGTCGCTGTTGTCTTGTTATTTGAAACTAATATAATTTATACGCTACCAATAAATAATTTACACCAATAAAAATCACATATTTACAAGAGTTGGCACTTTTTTTTATTTTGTATGATTTAGTTTAAGGATTTCAAAAGTTGGGTTTGGGCCAGGGCAACCATTGGCCACCTTTGCGGCCATCTCTGTGAAGTGATTGGCTAATTCATGTGAGTCACTCATGAGCAGAGCAACAAGCAGTTCCCCTCCAAAACAGGTGGTGGCAGCAGTGATGAAACCAATGACATGAAACCAATTAATAACATAGTCAGATCCTCAAGAAAATATTTTCTGTCTTTAGTGAAATATTTTGAAAATATAGACGTCATGCTCCCTTGCGGCTCTGATTGGCACCAGATAATTGAAATGATAATTTCCCAGTTTGATATTAGTTTTCTCATTATATTACATCATATGCACTGATATTTGCTTCATCAATTCAAACTCAAGCAAATTTTAAAGCAAAAGTGCAAAAAATTCCAGCACTAAAAAATGAAAATCATTTGCTGTAAAATATCAGCAAAGTCTGTAAAAAAACCCCCCAAAAAACAAAGAAAACAACAACATAGAAGAATGAATGCATAAGCAATAAAATAAATCTACTTTGTCTCTCTTTAGCAAATAAAATTCCTCTTCACAAATATTATCGTATCTAAAAGTTTAGGTCCTGACACTGAACCTTGTAGAATACGACATTTAATGTTTGCGCTCCAATATTTTATTACACCACACAACTCACAACTGTCCCATTCCTCCTGACACAATTAGCAATAAGCTTATTCAGCTCTCCCTGCATGTTTTTCATACAGAGGTCAGGATTTTGTGATGACCTCACCAAAACATTGATCTTGTTGCCTTTCAGTCTCTTTGTTTTTATTTTGGTGACTTTCCGACAGACCTTGTCGTCGAGGAGATCCATTTGTTCCCATGCGCCAACTGTGTGGCAAATGTTGCTTTGATATGCATGGTTTCTTCTCATACCTGTAGTTTCTCATGCAGCAAAACACCCACACAGCATGATGCTGCCACCCCCGTACATCACAGTTGGAATTATGTTCTCAGGCTTGCAAGCTTGGCTCTTTTCCCTTCAAAGCTAATCTTGGTCATCGTTGATAAAATGCACACTTGCGATCTGTTTTATTTTTTTATTTTTTCCCAGGTTGCTTATGAGATTCTTCAAATTATATTCACAAGTGGATATAATTTGTTTTACTGATATAAACTAATTTTCATTTTTATGTTCACTATGGAATTAATAAAGCATTTAAGAATTTAATTGAATTAGCGCTTTACTGAACAAATCAAATGCTGTGACGGAAATACACTGACGTGAAACTAAACGTGCAGTGTCGATTTCGCTACCACCAGATGGCGCGCCACTCGTCGTTTTTCGATTTTGTTAAAGCTTTCCACTTCCTGTCCAAACAGTTGGGTTCAGGAAGAAGAAATAATGGCGACGCTTCTGGGGTCTGAGTTCTCTAGTAGTGGAAGAAAACGAAGAAATTGTAACAGCAACATAGTCACGAAGTTAACGTCTGGTAAAATAACCGGGAAAGGTTTCAGCCGAGGAACACAGGTGAGAGGAACGACGCCTGTGTCAATTGTGAACGTGTTCGAAAGTTAGACGAGTGAGACCGGGGACTTGCGCTTGGAGTCAAGCCTGAAAATGAAGACGTTATCCCGGAGAGTTAGCTGGGGAGGCTCCCGTCCCTGTCCGAGTGTATTTTGCCAATTAGGCAGAACATTTCAGAGTATATTTAGAGGCAAAAATAATATGTACGACTTGCATTGGAATGGCATTTTATCACTTGTAGTTGGGCAAAAATTCATACCAGTGCAAATGGAAAAGCTCCGCATGAAATGCATCTTTTGTTGTTAGCTCCATGTTAGCTTAGCATCTAGGGCTCCATTAGTGCGATATCGTCTAATAAGTCAAGCTGTGTAGATCAACCCTTGTTTTGTACTGCAATATACAACTGTTGGTAAAAAGCTCCGCTTTATTTATTTAATATGTAATTTTAAATTCGTTGCTGACGGGAGTTATAGCTGCTAATGTTAGCCAACGGGGCTAACGACAGCTAGTTAGCTAAGGCAGTTCAACAGCTCAGGTGATTACGTAACCACGCAGCAACCACAATAACGACCGTTTCCATAAATGGATAGGGAAGAGCAGCTGCCTGGGAAGGTCGACACGCTTATTTTGCTTTTCACGAGTTGACATAAATTTACTAGACATCGTTTACTTTGAAGAGTTCATGTGTTGAGTTGGTTAGCACGAACGGTTTCGGTTCCTGGTAACTGCGTTAGCCTCTCAACTGTCAGAACTGAACTAGGAGCTAATTAGATGCAACAAATCTATAAGAAACATAGATCTGTATTAAAATTACGAAAAGGTTTCTACCGAATATAGTAATAAATGTAAGAAGTATCCTGTGAGATATTTGCATCATCTCTTAAAAATGTCATTATGGACTCCTTGGCTCGATTTGTTGACTCTACAGTGATTTCTGAAACTGTAAAACTATGAAATATTTATTCTAAATACATCAAACATGAATCTTTGCAAGATTTCAGGGATGGGTTTTTAATCATTTCATATTCTACAAAACATAAGCATAAAGCTACATCATGGTGGAGGGTTTTGTAATGAACAGCTGTGGCTGTGTTAGGGAATGAAAACAGGTAGGATCAGGAAATTCAGTTTTACCCCCGATTTTGCAGTCAGGAAATGTCTGCATTACTCTGGAAGCAGTCAGCAGGGGGAGTTGGCACAAGGGCATCTTGTTATGTATATGTAGAATACAGCAGAGCTAAACAAATTACACAAAATGTAAATTTTTGAAAAATAAAGCTAGAACTCTAAATAATACATTCAGTTTATCAGCAATGAACATTTTATTTGGGATTTAGTTGCACTTAAAATACAAAATTTGAACTGTGCGACATCTTAGATGTCAAATACTAATACATAAATCAGTTGGTTTATTCACTCAACGAAACACATTCCATCACCAATGTACAAAAACATTGTCTTGTAACAATTCATCTACATGAGTGAAAAGGAGATGGAAGAAGAAAAACCTTATAAAAACCTGCCCCTTTCACAATAATTACAAATTAATTGCAATCTTGTACCAATGAAAAAAAGTGGGGAGGAAAAACAAAGGGGAGAGGCTGATATTTCAGACCAGAATACCATAAATAATGAATAGCTATTATTTCAATAAAACAATAAATCAAACTTCTTAATTCTTTATTGAACTGAAAGACTCACATTTTGAACACAATGGTAAAGGTTCCTTTTCATTTTTGTGTCAGTAATGTAATCAATAAACTGCTTTATTTAGTGCTTAATTGAAGGAATTTATCTTTCTGAATAAAATATGTTGTGTACATTTGTGCATTAAAACATATGACCCTAATATTTAGCTGCTTTTTTTATATTTGTTTGTTGGCGTGGAAACCTATCAGTCATAAAAACATATGATGATTGTGGTTTTGATGATGCGCATTTCAATGCTGTTTACGTCATATCAGCACGAGTGTTTATTCGTTGGGTTTGGGTGAATGCCCACAGATGGATTTGTAGAGGGTAGTTTCAGTTTTTATTGTTGCTGTGAACAGGTCAAAACAAAGTTGATATTTAAGGGAGATTCTTAGATGCAGTTTTTAACCGAGTTGGTAAACGTGCACAATAAGGACAAGTGGCCACGTTGAGACAAAATACTAATTTGGCTGAAGAAAAGTCCTGCTGTCCAAAAATGATCTCCAGCATGAAGAGCTTTCAGTATTTGTTTCCAGATTTTGGTGTAAATCCTTTGTGAGCTCTGACAAAATTCAAACTGAATTTACAATTTACATACAAGTGATCGGCTGCTTCCGACTGTTCACGCTGGTCCTGACCTCGGTGTGTATAAAGTTTGTAAAAGTCAACAGGTAAACGGATGCAGATTCCAGATTAAAACGGTAACAGAAAAACCTGGAGCTCTCTCACAGCTGCTTACAAAGATATCCGGTTCTTGAACCCAGAAGATTTACTTTCAGTGTCTCGTCCCTTCAAAAAAGTAATGAATGTGATTATTTCCTGATTAAGTTTTTACAACTTTCCGTGGTCTAAATCAGGTTGTTTAGTATTACGTTCTTTTATTATTATTTAGTATTTTTTTAGGTATATATCATATTTATATTTATTGAAGTTTATGTGTAACAGTGGAGGAAAAAAAAGCAAAATAACATTTCAGATCATGTTGTCAGTCTTGTTCTTTTTTTAAAATTTTATTTATCAATAACCAAAATATACTATGACAATGATAAATCCCCCAGTTCAAAGTGATGCATCCCGAAACAAGCAGCCAGTTTTATGCTGGAAATGTCATTAAATGCAACACACACTTGGTACCACATGGCAGACAAATATCAAACTGTGTCAGATACTTTTCCAGGATTTAGATTTTCCCCTTCGTTTTCTCTGCTTCAGCTGTCACATGTACAGTGAAGTCTTTATTCTTAGTGCTCGCTCACATACTTTATACACAATTTGAATCGCATGACTGCAGCATGTCATTTGTTTTGCAATGTTTTGTTTGTGTGGGTCTGCATGTGTTTTATTGACCAGCCTCTCTGGTATGTTGCAGCTCCCTGGAGGCTTGCTTCAGGAGAGAGATAAACCTGCTAAGTGGCATGGCATCCCTGACCTGCTCCAGAAGCTCCACGAGAGCAGCGACCCCAACAGCGACCTCTCCCAGGCTCATGGCTATCTGAAGGTATGCAGCATCGCTCTCTAGGATCACTGTCACAGTGGAGTTGCAGCCTTTTCAGTGATTCCCAGTCTGGTTATTAGAGATTTTATGCTAATTAGCCTTTTCTTTTTCGTTTCTTTTCTAGAGCTTATCATCACAGCTCTCGATGGAGGCCATGTCTTTCGTCACAGAAGACAGGAAGACCGCTCAGGAATCCACCTTCCCCAACACCTACACCTTTGATCTGTTCGGTGGAGTCGATGTACGTTTGAGAATTTCTTCAATTTATTTTTTATTTTTAAATGAAAGCTGTAATTTATTTCTGACTTCCTGATGTTCTGTTTCTTTGGCAGCTGCTTGTGGAAATCTTAATGAGACCCACACTAACTATGCAGAAGAAGAAACCCAAAAGTGAGTAAGAAAAATATCAAAATGTCATCTTTCTCATTTCTACTGAATATAGTAGAATATATTAATTAAACCCCTGCTAACGTCTGTTCCTTTATTTCTACAGTGAACGATGAGCTGGTCAAAGACTGCCTTAGTGTTCTCTACAACTGTTGCATATGTGTAAGTTTTCAATTAATTTTTTTTTAATGCAAGATAAAAGGAGAGGTGCTTTCAAGCTTTCATGCTGTTTCTTTTAAAGAATATTTTGTTTCTGACAAGTCATTTGCAGTGAAGTTGTTTCGTTTCTGACTGCAGACGGAGGGAGTGACAAAGAGCCTGGCAGCCAGGGACGATTTTGTTCTGTTTCTCTTCACTCTGATGACGAACAAAAAGACGTTCCTGCAGACGGCGACGCTCATTGAAGACATTCTTGGAGTGAAAAAGGTGAGCAGTGCTCTCAGGTTGAACCTGTAGATTTTGGTTCATGGGACTCTGGAAGCACCAGGGCTGAGGATAGTTTTATTGAATCTTTTTAGTTGTGTCTTTGTACTGTTAGAATGAAACCAGAACGATCATTGGTCAGCTTGCGTAATAATCGAATGCTGTAACACTAAATCGTTGGCCTTATTGAAGCAATGAAAATGTCCTCCATGATGGTTTCTGGTAGCTAGTCTTTGGTTCAGTGGATCAAAACGATGAATCAGTAAAAACCAGATGTTGATCTCCTCAGCCTGATCTCTGTCAGTAAATGTGGGATGTTATCCAGTGGAATGCACTCCCTGTGAATTTGACGGGAACACGTCTGCTTGCGTCTTGAAGGAGATGATCCAGTTGGAAGGAATCCCCAACCTCTCAGGTCTGGTCCAAAGCTTCGACCAGCAGCAGCTGGCCAACTTCTGCCGCATCCTGTCCGTCACCATCTCAGAGCCAGATATAGGGAACGACGACAAGCACACTCTACTGGCCAAAAACGCTCAACAGAAGCGCAACGCCAGCCCGTCCCGCGCCGAGGTCAACCAGGGTAGGATGGGTTTTATGTATAGATATCAGATTGGTCTGGGGGAAAAAAAAGCCTGATTGGTTCCTGATCTCTGTGTTCATTTCACAGTGACTCTACTGAACATCCCAGGCTTCATTGAGCGGCTGTGTAAGTTAGCCACTAGAAAAGTGTCTGAAGCCACAGGAGCAAACTTCCTGCAGGAGCTGGAGGACTGGTACACCTGGCTGGACAACGCTCTGGTGCTCGACGCGCTCATGCAGATGGCCACTGAAGAGGCTGAGCAGAGCAGCACAGGTCAGATTTTGGACATTTTGGGGAAATCTGGATTTTTAAAATTTTTTTTTTATACCCCATTTACTATTTTGTTTAACAGCTTCAGTTCAATCCCTCTAATGTTTTTCTTGTGATTATTACTAATTTTGTGGCACCTTTTTCAAAAATTTGTGGTCAAAGTTACACTTTTTTTAAAGCTTTATTGATATTTTCATATTTTCAAAAAAAAAATCCCCATCCCAACCTCCTACCTCCTAAATAAAAAAACAAACAAACAAGAACTTGGGTTAGCCAGATAATGACATTATTGGCATCACTTCATATCACTGCAGGTTTAACATATCATATCCACTTTCACTATATTCTGTAGAAAGTGTCCCTCTCACTGTGACGGTTTTTTTCTACTGTACAGACTCTCAGATGGTCTGAATTTCAACTCGTTTCCTCTTCAGAGTCATCAGACGAGAGTCCTCTGGCCACCAGCCCTCTGAGACACAGGCTGCCCCAGTCCATGAAGACCGTCCATGAGATCATGTACAAGGTGGAGGTTCTGTACGTGCTCTGCGTCCTGCTGATGGGCCGACAGAGGAACCAGGTACCGCCCCGCCGTCCGGGGTCAAACGTGTCGAGGCCGAGCCTCGTCTCATTCCTCCTCATCGTTTTTGTAGGTTCACAAGATGCTGGCCGATTTCCGTCTCATCCCGGGGCTCAACAACCTCTTCGACAAGCTCATTTGGAGGAAATACACCGCGTCCAATCACGTGGTGCACGGCCAGAATGAGAACTGCGACTGCAGCCCAGTATGAACCTCTTCACCTTCTGCTTTCACTGAGAAGTGAAAATCTTCAAAGAATGTGAACATTTATATCATCTGTCCAAAAAAAAAAAAAAAAAACCTGTTCCTTGTTACTTTGCAGGAGATATCCTTTAAAATCCAGTTCCTGCGGCTACTCCAGAGTTTCAGCGATCACCATGAGTACGTGTCCTGAAATTCACCTGCTTTTGTGCTGATCTTTAGCGTTTTGGTGTCTTGTTTTTTAGACTCTGCTGTCCGTCTTTCAGGAACAAGTACCTCTTGCTCAACAACCAGGAGCTGAACGAACTGAGTGCCATCTCCATGAAGGCTAACATCCCAGAGGTGGAAGCTCTAGTCAACACAGACAGAAGCTTAGTTTGTGACGGAAAGAAGGGTCTCCTCACGCGCCTCCTCACCGTCATGAAGAGGGAACCTCCCGACTCATCCTTCAGGTTCAGATTATATATTATTGTCACTGTAATTCTAATCCAGAAAGCATGTTGAACTAAACCGTGTTGTTTTTCCTGTTTGTTTAGGTTCTGGCAGGCAAGGGCAGTGGAAAGTTTTCTAAGAGGAGCAACATCTTACGCAGACCAAATGTTCCTCCTAAAGCGAGGGCTCCTAGAGGTACAACACGTTTGTCCTGCAACATTCATGTAAAAAAAAAACGACAAAAAAAACAAAGTGATTTTTCTACTTGAGTCGCTGCTCATTTTGTGCTTCGATTCTCCATCAGCACATCCTGCTCTGCATCATAGACAGCGGCTGTACGTCTCGAGACGTCCTTCAGAGCTACTTTGATCTGCTGGGGGAGCTCATGAAGTTCAACATCGACGCTTTTAAAAGGTTCAACAAATATGTCAACACACCAGAGAAGGTTTGATAACGCTCCGATATGAAAATGTTAGAACATACGCATGATCCAAAAGAGTACAAAGAGTGTGACACCATCTGTTGATCGGTCTCTATAGTAGCAGAGAGACTGTCGCTCACTCTCTCCGATGTGGCCGACTGTTTTGAGGGAGAGAGCTTGGTACATTTGTGTAACATTTACCCTACAAAAAAAAAATTCAAGAACAAAACTTTGTTTCTGAAGAAGTAGAGTGAGTTTTTCTTTTTACTTTTTATCTTTAGCAAATCAACTGAAGCCGCAAAGAAAACTTCTTATCACTAAATCATCAACAAGTCCTATCAAAACCCACAAAAAATTGACTACCATGCATGTCTGAGTGCATTTGTGATCGGAACATTATATTGTTGCACCGTCAGTATTTTACTAAATAGTCTTAATAAATGAAGTTCTACATATTTGGATTCTTTTGTCTTTTTACAGAAATATTTTAAATAGACACATTTTGAAGCGCTTCACAGAATAATTTTTAGTAATTTGTGTTGAATAATAAACACTAAAAGAAAAATGAAGTGTATCTCTTTATTGTGGTTGTTGGTACAATTTAGGTTAAATTTGGAATCAGCAAGGCGTAAACATAATTCAGGAAAATATGCAGTAGAAACCATTTTATCTGTACAGAAATTGCATGGCCACTGTAGCTGTTGATTTAGCATTTAGTGCTTAAATTTAATAAGAAATTGACTTGTTTGGTTTTAATAAAGAAATTTCTGTTTGTTGTTTCTACCCAACAAAATATCACAGCTAAAGCTGCAGTACTTTTACTCTCTTTACGTTTTAGTGCCAGTCTTCTGCTTCGTTGTGACTGATCAGTAAATATGACGTCATAGCTGATTGATCCTCAAACTGCTTTAGTTTCAGGCCTTCCTGACTCAGATCAACAGCTCCTTGGTGGACTCCAACATGCTGGTGCGCTGCATCGTCCTCTCACTGGACCGCTTTGAAAGCCAGACCGAAGATGTCAAAGGTAAAACAAGTCTTTAAGGAAGGCCACATTTTTCCACCCTGGTATGATTCTGTAATATAAAATAGTTAGTAGTTTTATTTGAGTATTAAAAAAAAAATCTATGCTTTTTCTGTCCTTGTCAGTTATGGAGGTGCTGTCTGATTGCTGCCTGCTGTCCTACGTGGCCAGAGTTGAAAACAGATTGTCCTTCCTCTTCCGACTCATCAACATCATCAACGTACAAACGCTTACACAGGTGAGGGTTTGCTTTCACTGCGGTGAGCGCGTACAGAAACAGGCGAACCTGCTGGACGCCGAGTCAAGTGACCCCTCCTCCCCCACCTCGCCTCTCTTTCTTTCTGCAGGAGAATGTGAGCTGTTTAAATACCAGCTTGGTGATCTTGATGTTGGCCAGACGAAAGGCGAAGCTGCCCTTCTATCTCAACGCCCTGCGGGAGAAGGAGTACACGGAGAAATACCCCGGGTGCCTGCTGAACAACTTCCACAACCTGCTGCGCTTCTGGCAACGCCACTACCTCAACAAGGACAAGGATAGCACATGTCTGGAGAACGTGAGTCCCTGAACACAGTTAAACCAGGAGTTATTGGCGAAAATGTACTTTTTTCCATGTCGCATCAAGATCACTTTTTTTTTTTGTTTGCTTTTTTGTCAAGCATTCAAAATAATTCTGAAATTTAAATGCAAGCTTGTTGGTTAAAATCTACCAACAGTCTAAACCAAAAGCTTAACGCAGCAAGAAAAAAGGAGTTTATGGAGTCAGTGGAAACTCTGGTTCAGTTTTCCAGTTTAAGCAAACTAACCTGATGCTCGTACTTTTACTCATTGAGAGCTTCCTGTGGTTTCCAGCTGTTTGATAAATCAGCCCAAAGTGCTCAAACAGACCAGTTGTGCAACAGTCAGTCTGAAAAGTTGCTTTCTAACAGGCTTGCTTGGATCGACAAATCTACAAACACGAGCACACAAACAGAACACAATACAACCTGGCACAATAATCAATAAAACAATTAATTGTACAATAAATTAAAACAAACTTAATAATTTCCATTTTTATGATTTATAATTTTCTATCAAAAAATGGATGATAAAAGTGTTCAGTCTGAATTTTGGTCTCAACTAAACCTTTTTTTGGAGGATAATTTTATTTCGTAAGTTGTTTCTTTTGTTGATTTATTTTGGACATTTAAAATGTCTTCCAGTGTTAAATGTTAATTAGAATTTAAGTTCATTGATCTTTCAGAATGTATTTTTGCATTATTATCAACATTTTACTGGCAAATTATCTCAAAGCAATATTATCATTTATGACAATAACTCCTGAGATGATTAATCGTCCAGAAACTTTAGTTATAGTGACTCAACAAATTCTCCTACTGTCACACCAGAAGATCATCAGTGGAATTATAATTAGTCAGGTTTATGACGAGTTATTATTTTTGATTTTCTGACGTAGCAGATTTAGGTTTGATTGTTAGAAACAAGTTCAAGTGACTTCATAAGCAGATTTTAACCACAAACTGAAAGGGAAAATTTTAGTGCAATTTTACACAATTCGGTTGATCTGGCAGCCTGTCAGCAGCCAGATACTGAAAAACAGTAAACATTAAAAAGTTTAATGTTGGTTGCAACACTGAATTCATAAATCTAAACTTAGACTAAATTGGCAAACAGAACATGTTCTTTTTCTATTTACAAGTGCCGTCACTTGTAAATAGTGGTAATCATTTTCCTTTTTATAGTTGGCTAAAAAAAATTCTCCATACATTTGAACAAAATAAAATTGGGTCCTTTAGGTTGAAAAGAGAGAATGACATTAGTGGCAATAATTTAAGACATAAGAAACTCATTCACAAGTCAGATCTTTGTGTGGGCTAACATCGCCTGATGGTTAAGGCTAACAAATGTTTTGTCCAAATATGTGTAATTTTTTTTTCTTTTTTCTTTACTTGTTCTACTTTAGTTAGACTGTAATGCCATTCATATAGTTACAAACTCGGTGGCTTTAAATAACATCTTTTATTTCAACACAAAACTAAGTTGCAGTAAATTAACACACTGCATGATGTGTTCATTCACTCCTCACTGACATCCCGAACTCTACAATATCGCTTTTCTCTCCAGTGACAAATATTTAGTTCCATCAGTAGTTTCTTCAGTACAACTACACATTTCTAAAAATAGATCTGACTCTGTATGCACGCCTGCAATCTGATAGTCAGGTTTTGCTGATGTCTTTGGTTCCATTTTCTCTCTGTTTTGATCTGACTTGTTGATGATTTCACTGAAAATGCAAGTCAACTTGGGTAATTTTTCTTTTGAAACATGATGGTGAATAAAAATTGTACTAAATGATCAGTACATGTAGCACAACGTCAAAACAATCCTGTAATTACTTTGACGTTTGAAAACGTCAAAGTAATTACAGGATTGTGACCAAATACTAATTTTACCAGGATGAGCTGGATGTAAAAATTGAAAGGTGCTATTTATTTACTTTTATAGATGTTTCTATAATAATAATAATAATCAAAAAATAATCTTAATCTCTTGTGGACTTTTCTATGACACTGCTGCCCCCAAGTGGCAGAAAATGATCAGTGACCCTTTCAGAGTAACACTATTTGGCATAAACGTCAGATTGATGTTTAGCAGCAGCTAATTTACTTTTAACCATTCCAGATCAACAAAATGATCTCCCTATTTAGAACAAACAGAAGTAAATATTCCTGGATTCCTCCCCCCTCAGAGCTCCTGCATCCCGTTCAGCTACTGGAAGGAGACGGTGTCAGTACTTCTGGGCTCTGACAGAACTTCTCGCTGTGCCATTGTGAGTTACATTGACGAGCCCTTCATGGATCTGGACAGAGACCTGCTGGAAGATTGACCCTCCGGCGGGCGGAGGCGCTGGGGCTCGGAGGCGACCTGTGGCTCAGACTCCTCTGATCCGACCCCTCCAGGTGTTTTTGTGACTGCGTTCAGGATCTAAAGACTCACCCGTCTGCTGTCCGTACCTTCGCATGGAGGCCGTCATCACAGTTGAGAGCGGATAATGGAGTTCGACTGACTGTCATCTTTTCACAAAGTTAAAATGCTTCTTTTTTTTTTTTTTTTTTTTTTGTTTTTTTTTTTTTTGTTTCTTTGAAAGGAGAACTTAAAGCTACAGGCCCCCTTTTCCCAGCGGTCTAATAGACAATAATAGACTTTGGAAAAACGACACCCGCATTGGTTGTTTGCTTTATGTGAAATTCAGATAGAGCCTTTTATATAGCCTATACAGAATTCTATGGAAAAGTGTGAATGAACAAATTATATGTAAAAAGAAAAAAAACAACAACAAAAAAGCAACCAGTTTCTTTTCACATGGACTTGATTTAGAAACTGGGCACAGATTGAGCCCACGTGTGCAGGACGGTAGCGTGTCGTCACCAGCCTCACTCTGTCACTACTTTGACTAACTCTGTCGACTCCATGCCTCACCGCTGCTTCACCGCTGCCTCGCCCGAGGTGAACAAAATGCTAATGGTTGAGCGTTTGCAGGGTGGGTAGGGGGGACTTCTCATCTTCCTGTTCTCTGGCTCTGTTTTACTACGTGGCTATCTTTGGTTGGTGCTTTCTGGCTCTACTCGGCCCACTTAATCAGCAAGACGGCCCGGTTCTCATATCTTAAAGGATTCGTCTTGCTTAAGAAAAAACTCATTCTGTTCGTGGCTTCAGAAGCTTCACCCAGGGACTCATGATTACTTTATTTTTATTCTTTTCTCTTTTTTTTTTTTTTTTTTTTTCTTTTTGAGGTTTATTTTTTGTTTTGATCGATGGCTTTTAATTCTGGATAAACTGTAGAATAAAACATTGCACAGGTTAATTGTTTTTATTGTTTAATATATATATATATTAACTCATTTGTTCATTAAAGTGTTCCCATTCTCTAACAAATTCTTTCAATGTTGTGAGAGATGCTTTAGAAAGAGAATAAACTATGCAGGTGCTAGTATTCAGAGCAGACTCTTCCTTCAGGTTCCTCTACCTGGTTTTGAAACTCAGAATCGGTTGGTTCTGGACAGCAGGAGTCCAGATTCATTTCCAATCGTTATTTTGAAACTGGGTCAAACTATTGCTGACGTAATTTCCTTGTGTTGGAGAATGTTGAGTGCAACTCAAAGTTGTCGTATTTTTACGACTAAACGTCTCTAATAAGAAGAACCAAGTCCATCCAGAGGCTTTCGCTGCAGAGCTGACGTTGCTGCACCCAAATGAGCTTTTATCTAATTTACTAGCTCTAATATAGAAAGCGTTTTGAAAGAAAGTGACTCAGATTCTGTTTTTATGACAGCAAATAAATTTGTTCGACAAAGCCCAAAAGAATTTGAAAACTGGACACCATTTGTTTGATAAATCTGCAAAATCATTTCGTCATTAATTTGCTTGATTTTCTTGTCGAACGAATAAATTTGGCCCCACATGGCAAAATGTTTTTACACTCCTGCCTTACCTTTTCTCTGTTTCCATTTGCCGTCTTCACTTTCTGAAGACGGATTAAACAAAGTTCAGTGTGACGTCTGAAGCTTTGGATCTTTTAAAAACTGTTTTAGGTTTCTTCACACCTTCCTCCCCGACCTGTCTGCTCTGTTTCTTGATCTTTATGATGCCGTTTGTTTTCTGAGGCCTTCACAGGACAGCGGGATTAATGCGTAGATTAAACTGGAGTTTGCTAATCAGGTGATTTTATTGCAGTGGATTTTATGTTTTCAATGTCAAAGTAAAGGGCATGTGCTTTTTTTTCACTTTTGAGATCATCATTTGTAGAACTTTTGGAAAACATGCAGTTTTCCTTCTACTCTACCGTTTAGTGATTTTCATTAAAGCCGACCGGACAGCAGGTTGGATGACTCCATCGGTTTTTGAGAAGCACCAAGTACTAATCCACCTCATTTGCTTTTTGCCGTTTCTTTTTAAATATACAAGGCCGCATCGCTAGAAAGCTGTGTGGTGCCTTTTGTCAAGTTACACAGTCAAATATGAACAGCAATAAATTAAATGTGCCTTATTTAGCCTGTCGGAGGGGGAAAACATGGGTGTTCCATTTTTCAGTGATATTTCACTGTTAGCAAGCTGATGATTTAGTTTGTAAATTAAATATTTAGCTTTCAAATTAAATATTTAGTTTGGAACAAAATAATTAGCAAAAATAAATGCTTATTTTGGAACAAAATATTTATCTTCAAAGTAAACATTTGGCTCCAATTTGTTTGAGAACTAAATATTTGGCTTTCTAAGTATTTAATTTGAAAGCCAAATATTTATTTTGTAAACTGAATATTTAGCTGGTAAATTACATATTTTGTATGAATAAAGGTGAAAACATGACTTTGGGAAATTTGGATATATATTTTTTTGACAGGCTAAATAAAACAAATGATTGTTTTTTAACTTTGCAAATGTCCCGCAATGAAAAGCCGACCAGAGAGACGTTGGAGTCGGGGAGCTGACTGCTGCCCATTATGACTGACCGGAAGAGGTGGTTCGGACTTCCTGAGCTTCATTTTGGATCCGGGGTTCAGGTATTATTGATTTATTTATTTTTTGAGTTAGGGCTGTTCAACTCCTATTAACTCTTTGGTTTAATGTCGAGCTCCTGCTGATTGCAGAAAGCAATGGTTGGCCAATGTGATGAAGCTCTTCTTCGCTCACAATCTTGGAGGAAGCTTCAAGTCCATCTTTCATCTGAGTTTTAAGCCTCTTCTGTTGTCTCTCTCTTCTGTCTCTGCCTTAAGGGGAACTTTAGAAATTATTAGACATTCCTTGAGATACAAACTCAGCCTCAGCATTTGTTTACTGGTCTGCTCCCTGAAAAGCCTCCTCGTCGGTGGCTTTCCAGTCTGAATTTGGGTGTGTCTGCGGCGATGAAATGCCTGGCCGAGGCCTTGCATCACTGGACAAACTGAGCTCCGCCAGGCGGACATGTTTGTTAGCAGCGGAGTACACGGTCACCCGGGACCACAGGAGACATCACATGAGACGGCAGCACCGTGCGAGTTTGTTTTCAACAGAGGATTAAATCCAGGGCTCGTCTAAATTTAGGCCTTGTTCTAAGCCCGCTGGCTAATTTTAATAGATTCCTCCAAAGGTCATTCAGTTCCATTCTGAAGCGTCATGAGCCGAGTTGGTTGTAGACGGTTTACCGAGCTGGCTGCTCTGCGCAGACAGGAAGCTAGCCCTGTCTTTAGCTAGCCCTGGCGTTAGCAGGGCAAGCTAATGACAGGGATAGCTAATGACAGGGCTAGCTAAAGACAGGGATAGCTAGCCCTCACACTGGAATTGCTGGTTTTTAGTGATTTATTTTTCGCTTTCTGTTCTTTTATTTGCTTGCTAGTTTGTTTGTTTTTTTCTTCTCTTGTTTTTCGTTGGAGGGCGAACAAGAATCTATATGTTTGTCTTAATTTGGGCAGAGGGATGGAGCGCGCGAGCCGTGAGAGCAGGTCTTATGACGTGGCCTTCACAAGTTCAGCTTCCGGTTCGAGTCCCGGCCACGAGAGCCTAAACCAAATCCTGTAACTAAAGCCAAGCTCCGATTAGCTTTAAACTTAGCATATGCTGAGCTACAGCGATATGGACTTAAAGTTTTGCCACAATATTTTGCGGTGCTGTTGTGATGACAATAAGTTTAGAAGTTGTTTGTAATGCTTCGTTTGGACACCAGTCACATAAAGAAGTGATTTGCACTTAACACCACACACTAGCCATGTTTAATCACATGTTGAAATTTATTGGTATGTCTTGCTACTCTCATAATACAAATAATCGTAAAAGCAACAGCGCAGATAATGTCTTTTGGGGGTTTTAAACATTATTCATTGGAATTTATTCTGACAATAAATCGAAATTCTCTTCAGAAATCTATCACGATAAATGATAAACGATACAATAAATGCTCGCACAGATCCTTAGACTCAAAAGCCAACACACTGTCTCTCTGCTTCACCATAAAGGAGCCTACAGACGGAGCAGCCAAAATAATTAAAATTTTCAGTCACATCGATGAAAGTCTACACACCCGTCCAGTTCCTGTCCTAGATATCTCCTCGCCGTCCTCTATGGGACCCTGCTGCTTCCTGCTGAGGTGTTAGCGTTGATTTGCTGCTCTCAGGATGACCTGCCGCCTCCTGCAGCTTTTTCCACTCGACCTCAGGACCGTCCTCCGGCTTTCCGCTTCCTTCCTCCTTCACAGAGATTAGCTCGTTCTCAGTTGCAGCGGTCGTCAGCAGGCGGTGTAGGTTTTATTTTCTTTGGAGACACAGCAGAAGGTCCACAAATTTCTGAAAATAAGGACATAAAAATAAGAGCAGAAGGAGGATTTAAATAAAACTTGTAGAATCAAGTGAAGAGAAGAGAATTTGAGCTTTTTTAGTTTTCAGGCCTGCTTGAAATTAAAAGTACATTGATGTAATGGTAATAACGTCGAAGGAGATTTACTGAGGTCACTGGGAAGTTTGTTCTAAAACATAAAATTTTGAGATGTTAATGACGCATCTGAACTGACATTTTACCAGGATAGACTGATAGTACACCTTGCAACTTCTGTGATTATTATTATTATTATTATTATTATAATTATTATTATTATTATTATTATGTGTTTTTCTTCAAAAAGTTCCAATTCAGAAGAAATTCTTTTGGGTGTTAAAGAAAGAAATGAGTCCAGAAACCTTGGTGGTTCCTGGACTCATTTTCTGACCATGAACTGGCCAGAAAATGTAACATCAACTGAAGAAGGACCAGAGAATAATTTGATGTGTGACTTTCAAACAACAGACCCTTTTCAAATTGTCAAGTATCGTGGCGATGGTATTATTCTGTTGGCCTTTTAGCTTACAGTGGATGATTGGTGGAATAATGGAGAGAAATTGCCTCCAAATTCTTCGACTCCACCTAAAATCAAAGGCTTTCTGATGGAAACCTGAACCCAATGATCGTTCTAAAGGGATGAAGATCAAAACTCGTCTCAAACAGATAACAGGAGGTAAAAGTAACACTTTTAGAAATGATCCTGAACTCGACACAAATTAAGGCACACGGATTGTCCAAAGTGCAACCTGGGGGCCATTTATTTTTTCTATTTTTACAGCCCAGAAACACAAAGAATCGACCTGCAAAAATGTCAAAGTTTCCTGCCTGTCTGCTCATTTGGCAACATCTTTATGTTTCAGACCAACAATGGTTTAGAGTCCTTCTCGACAAAAATTTGGCAACTTTTATATGTTTCATTAACACTTTGCATTGTTGAGCAGATTACATTGTCACAGGGGACGTAGTTTTTTAGTTTTACACTCTAAAAATGCGAGTGACCGTTCTGACCCTCACAACAAAAGTTTGAACTGATAACAAAAACAAATCCCCTATTTGATGCATTCCATGCCAATGATGAGTTTGTGGAACCGTCTGACCGCGGCTGCAACGAAAACCTTTCATAGTGTCTAATGAGGCCGTTAAGGTAACTTCATGTTCGGTTTAAGAAGCTGGGAGCAAAAGGGTGAGAAATTTTTATCCGGGGACTTCCCTGTTTATTTATTGCCTTCTCCTTGGTTCCCGATTTTTGGCTCCCGCGCCGCTGCGACCCGCTCCGTCATATCTAATCCTACATATGAAGTCACACACCCATAGCTGGTTTTATGTGAAAACAAACAGGGTTGCCAGGTTGAGTTGGTCCCAGATGGAAGGGCTCTCACAGTTCCTAAATAGGAACCCAAAGAAGATTGGTCAAGAACCTCCCATTGAGGCCTGGACAGTGTGTGTGTGTGTGTGTGTGTGTGTTTGTGGTGAGCTGATTGCATTTCTAACATGGCTCTGTACCCCGCACCCCTCAAAGGTGAGAGTTTGTGGTTATTTAGGAACCAAAGCCCTCTGTCGGACGGGCGGCTTTAATCCTCCGTCACCCACCACTCATCCCATCAATGTGGCCGCTCAGAAATACAGGCGCTGTGGACAAAAGGGGCCGTCGGGGCATCCAGGGAGGGGTTAGTATTTTTAGGGAGGGCCCCGAGCAGCTGCTGCTTGACACATGTCACCACCTGGCCCTGAGGACACCGTCCGCATTGTCTAAATTAGAAAAGCAGAGGAAGAGAATGGACGGAGACCTGCGAGCGTAACGTGTGTGAATGGGACCAAGAGGGTACAGAGGGGGGTCTTGTTAACAGTGGGGCCACACGCACGCCGGGTAACCATACAAGGGCAAGCACACGCCTCACACACGCCGATAACATTGCCCTTGCATACCGGTCATTCTTCAGCAGGAGACTGAATGCAAAGGTGTAGAGTGTCACGGAGGGCTCGTGGCGTTTCGCGGTGTTATTAAACCTGTTCAGAGAAACAACTGCGAAATGAGACAGGGGGGCGTCCCGCCTCGGAGACAGGGAGTCAAGGACTTTCCTCTGCATGGGAATGTCAGCGACCAAGAGATTTTAAATCAAAGGGATGGAAAACATACGTCTATCATCGCTATAAGTTGTTTTTCTTAAGCCTTAATTTGCATTGTGGAGCTCCTCAAGGTCCCTGTCAAGTTACCCTGAAGATCTTTGTAAAGCCATGAGGAAATAATTCTGACAACAAAACAAAACAGACAAAAAAATATGACAAGATTCAGTCGTTTAGCTTCTAAATTAAATGCAAGAATGCTATTTACTCTAATCACAACGCTCAGATTAAGTCCATTGTTTGTTTGTTTGCTGGGGAGAATTAAACTAAAACTTTTTTGCAAATAAATGACACTGAAATGATTCAAAGCTTCTTTTCTCTGAAGAGTATTGAAAATTGCCACTGAAAAAACTAATTAATACAAATATTAACATTTATTATAGTTAATATGCCTTACTGATAATTTATTTACTAAACTCGTTTTAGCAAATTTTGCTGCTTATGTAAATTGGAGATGCATCAACTATCTGCAAATGAGATCCTAGAAAATCTGATTTTTACCCTTTTCATTAAATTCATTAAAATTGAGTACAGTTTAAAATGTATCATTATTATCAGTATTATTAATAGAGACGTATACGTCGATGAATGAATTGTGGTAATGATATAATTCCCTCATTATTCCCTAAATTAAAAAAATATCTGCATCAGTCAAAACTGCAATTGGCTTCTCAGTCCTCAAAGAAAAGGGAAACTGTTCTCATCCAGAAACGGTCTGATCTCTGTCAACATTTCAGTCTTTATAATTGCATTTGTTGGGAATGTCACATGTATGAATTTGAGCTACACACACACTTTCACCTTGACTGTGTCATGGGCACCCGGAGAGGACGACTGCTGAGTCCGGTTGTCTTTCTGCAAGAAGAAAGAAAAATCACTGCAAATGAACACAAATGAAACACGCTGAGTACAAAGAAAAACTTTACAAACTGCAACAAGATCATTTCATGCTCCATTGTGATCCTTATTTTTGTCGGCCACCAACTGGGATCCTCGACGTTTCGGAGCGGAGCCAGCACAGACTTAAAGTGATGTTCATGTGATCATTGCCCTAAACATCACTGCAAGTCTTAACTGCCTCGGGTCCATCCGACCGCTGCCCACACGATCCCCGTTAACCCAAAAACACTGACAAGATTTAAAATTAATCTAAGACTTGAAGCACAACACGCATCAGGCTCACCTTGTCAAACTAAAAGGAAATGAATGCCTCCATCTGCCGGTCTTTGGGACAAACGCTGTGAGAGAGTGAGAGGAAACTGATTAGTTTGACTTCCTTTGATTCCTCCAGAAATGTCTGGCTCCTGTAAAAGCAAAAATAATTGGAATTGGTTCAATTTTTACATTTCCTGAATGAAGCCTTGAGGGAAAAAAAATGGACCTAAAGTTTTGTTTAGGTCCATTTTACACAAAGAACTTCAGAAAGCCAGGCTGCCACATCCTCTTTGAAAAGAAAGAAAGGACAATGGAGGCAAGGAAAAATGTGCTTTCATTAGTTTTTTTATCTAGATTTTGGAGGGTAGTCCATGCAGGATAAAATATAAAAACTCAAATGTTGACAACAGAAGTGGGTTTGCTTGGGGAATCGCCGACTGTTGTCCAGATGAGAAAACTCTATTTTATGGGGAAAATAATTTTCTACATCTTCATAGGAAGGTTACAGAGAGCTGAGACAAAGTGATTATTCTTCATTTTGACCTGCTCGGTTGATAGACACCCAACATGGCCACCTTTCAGGGATAGGTAAAAATGCTATATTTTACAATATTTTGTTTTATTTTCTTTCTTATATATATTTTGAATAGCAAATGTCTTGTTGCTCTATTAATCTGGTCCTCATAAGCTTCTCTACTTGATTAAAATTTACAATTTTAACACTTTAATAATAACTGCATTGTATTATTTCTATGTTTGTCTGCTGTCTACCAACAATTACCAATTGAGTCGATTCAAATTAGTTCTCTAATTTAGTTACTAAGCTTTGCTGTAAAATGAAGATGAGAATCAGAATTATATTAAATCTGAAGAAATTCTGATTAAAAACAAAAGGAAGGGAACAAATTAAAAGCTTCGATGTAAAAATATTGGTCTGTAAAATCAGGTGTTTTAAAAATGAACAATGACAAAAAACTACAAAAAACAAAAACATACAAGCAGAAAGAGGGATGATAATAAAAGGATTATTATTTCTAAAGGACATAATGACATTCAAACATTTAAAAAACTGCTGAAACACATGATGTAATGGACAGAACTGGCTGGCCGCGTCCTTTTGACAGAACAACCGGCTTTATGAAAACCGAATACGAGATCGGCAGAAGTACAATGGGGGTCTCAATGTAGTGGAAATTAGCCAAAAGTTTGAATGAAACTTATTTTAAAGGAAAAGGTGCAAAGACAAACATTCATTGGATCACGGCTCCACTGATATATTTATGTTGATGCAGTCTGGTTCTACCAAAAACCATGTTTGTTTTTTTTTATCAAGTCACTATTAATATTAATATCTCATTCTAGAAATAACATTTATTGTTCTAATCTACATTTTCTGTGCATTCTGTTTGGTTGGGTTATGGTGGGTCTGGTTGACACACAGTGTCAGAGCAGATCCTCTCAACAAAACTTGGGAAAAGGAGAAAATCCTGTTAAACATTTGCCTTTATGAGGTCAGCTGTGGTTTTTCTATTTTTTTATTTTCTAAATCAAACAGAAATGGATGAAGCTGCTGTAATTGTGGTTTCCATATGTACATGTTCTCTGTGTGTGTGTGTGTGTGTGTGTGTGTGTGTGTGTGTGTGTTTCCATGCTTATGCCTGGTACTTAGGTGTACGTTTGTACTCACTGAAGAGAAAACCCTGACAGACATCGACTGTAAGGGTCGGAGCTCCGTCTCAGTGAGTCCGGGTTCAGTTTGTGTGGATTCGCCACGACAACAGGGGAGGTCAGAGATCCGAGGCCTGAGAAGGAACAAGATTATCGTCCTGCTTGACCTGTAACCCCGCCCTGAGTCCATCTCACACCTGACCTCTTATTTTGCTTAATCCTGCTTTTGAAGGAAACATGGAAGCAGAACGGCGAGTTTTCACTAACATGGAGCGTCTTGAGCTGCTTGGCGTTAGAGTTCCTCTGCGGTGAACCAAATGGTTTGCCGCAGAGGAACCATTCGGTTCCTCATTCAGCTTTCTCAGTTGAGGAGCTGAGGAGAGATGGAGTGATAGACCAGGATGCAGGCTCACCCTGTCGGTTCCTCTGGTTCCTCTGGACCCAGACTTGTGTTCAACCTAAAAACACAGCACAGTGTTGTTATATTTTCCACTGTCATTAGAAAACATATTGAATGTTTTAAATGTTTTTTTTTTCTAATTTAATGTCACGATTCAATAAATAAGTCAGCACCAATGCAGTTCAAAGTTCTTTACATCACAAAAACATCATGAAATGAAATGAAACTGCTTCAAATATGTCATAAAAATGAGCAAATCTATGTAAATGAAATATGCTATACATTTAAATAATATTATAAGTGTGCACAATTAAAACATTTTGCCTTTAAACAAGCAGAAGTTTGATTTCTTTTGGCTTAAATCCTAATTTTGTCCTACTCCTCTGTAATCTCTCTTCGCATGTCATCAGCTTTCAGGGTTTGCATTTCTAACTCACAAATCTCTAAAAGCTCATTTCAGACCACACACACACACACACACACACACACACACACACACACACACACACACACACACATGCCTTGTAAATCTACCGAGGTCTTGCCTGTCCGGGGCCCACCGTGGGAGGCGCGCGCCACCAGCAGCTCCACTTCAGTCGTGCGTAAAAGCGGCGCGGCTTCCCCCCCTCACCATCACCATCAGCCCCACCCCACACACCCACTCAACCCCTCAAAGTCCTTCACCTCACAGCGCGACATTAGAGACCATGTGGAGACGACTTGTGGAAATCCTTTGGGTGGGAAAACAAATCTTTGCGCTCGGGCCTTGGGTTTTATTTTAGAGTTCATCTCCATCATCACCAAATGAGACCGTGCTATAAAAATACATACAGATATATATGGACTAAGATTAAAAGAGAAATATAAAAAGGCTGAGTATTCTGCTGAAGTTTCTTTAAAAGTGCGGCCGCTCCGCGCGCGCGCGACAATAACAAAAAAAAAATATATATATAAATAAAAGCGTCCACACAGCGTCAAAGACGCAGCGCGCTGACCTCAGCACGGCCGCCACTCAGTGAAACCTCCCTCAGATGTGTCCCGCTTTATAGCCCGCTCCTCAAGGTCACGATCATTGGACATCTGTCCCTCATTAGCATATGCCACCTCCTCCGCAGCCCATTGGTGCGGAGCCTCCGTCTCAATTGACACAAAAGGAAAGCTACGTTTTTGTCATAGCGCTAAACCCAAGCCGGCTATTTTTGTATCCCAGATATTTCATGCACTGTACACACTGAGAGGGGAGTGTGTGTGTGTGTGTGTGTGTGTGTGTGTGTGTGTGTGTGTGTGTGTGTGTGTGTGTGTGTGTGTGTGTGTGTGTGTGTGTGTGTGTGTGCTGGGAGCATCTCAGCAGAGGAGAATTGAACTTTTTTCTCTTCTTCTTCACTCTGACGGAGCATCATCCTCATTTTTTAGACGATGATTCGCGTCCGAACCCAGAGCAGCTCGGTTCGGGCTCCGCTCGCTCTGGGACCCAAACGTGAGGCTCACCGGGGGGTCCTTTGACTTTGATGCTGAGGAGCCGCTGCCCTCTGCGCCGCGCCGCGGAGGGTCAGTGATGTCAGGATCTGCCAGGGATGTGCGCTATTGTGCGGCCGCAACCTTAGGAGAGATTATTTCAGGAGCTGCGTGGCATTAAACGCGCTGCTATAAATACCCGGGCTTTTATTAATAGAGGGAAACATGGCGCTCGGAGCGCTGGCTCCGGAATCACCACGGGATGAAGCCAACACCACAAAAACACCCAGTTTCCACTCATTTATCACCACGATCCTCTTGTGACGCAACATGCTTGTTCTGCTTTGGTCCAGCAGAGCCAAAGAAAGAAAGACGACAGCCACGTTGGATTGATAAATCAGAAGAAACTTGGCTTTTAATGGAGTGGTGGGTGACGTTTGAGTCCATAGTCGACGTAAATGTGTGTGTTGGGTGATTTGTTGTGACCTTCAGCGCTGCGTGGGGGGTTGGAGTGGGAGGGAAGAGGACCAGAGGTTCTCAGAATAGACAAAGCCAGAGTCCAGCATTCCTGATTGGTTCTGTAAGTTGGTCCCAAACGAGATTCACACACACACATGCACACACACACACATGCACACACACACACACATGCACACACGCGCCCAACCGAGCAAAAGTATTCCTTGAACTTCCAAACGTTGCAGCGTTACGACCTTAAGCGTTCTTTGATAGACCAACAAACATAGAGGATAACTGTGAAGTGTAACAAACAGAAGCTGCACGGTTTCATTTTTCTCTTTCTTTTTTCTTTACAATTAAAAAATATGGAAAGTGAGACAAACCTCAGTATTTGGTGCCACTTTATAGGACCACATTTTGCTTCCAGTGCAAATGTCCTACACTTGAAATAAGACAAAGCAAACTTACAAGAAAGTTTTTGTCAACATTGAAGAGTTTTAAGTTCATAATTCCTTAATATTGACGATAAAAAGCACTAGTTCCACTGGCAGATTGTTTAACTTATTATAAGATATTTGCCACGTTCCATAAGTAAAATAATCTAATGATAATATCAATGAATTATTGACTTTATGCAAAGAAATCTTACAAAAAGTTACTTGTAAGCCAGTTTTGTCTCTTTTCAAAACTGGATTTTCAGGGGTTTTTTTCCCAAAATGGTTCAGATTCAAGCAGGTTTGATGAAGAGAGGATCAGTTTTAAGTTCTTACTTAATATTTACTGAGTCATAAATCCCAGAGAGTTGAGCCTCAGACTTTCCAAAGCTCTGGAAGATTTAGATCTAAACTCATTTCAAAGTTTGTTTCTGATTGGAAATCAGAGACACATCACTCAGAAGAACATAAAAGTATTTTTAATTCACCTTTTATTAACAGTTCTTTATTTTTGCACAATAACATCAAACCTCTTCTTGTAGTTTCTGATCGTTCTTTCATCTGTTTCCACGGTATTTTGATGGGATTCCTGTTTAGCAGGGACCCAAGATGGCTGCCGGAAAAAAAAAAGGTTTGTTACCACACGGTGACAAACATTTCATCAGTACGTTGACGCCGAATGTTTTCTTCTTCAGCAAGAAAAAAAGGTTAGAAGAAAAACTTGACATATTTAAAACTACTGAGTAAAAACAAACACAACATTTACAAAACAGTTCAGTTCTGGTTTCATCTTGAGCCGATTTTTAAGCTTCGAAGTGAATATTTTCAAGTCAGACATGGCATTTAGTGAAACGGTCCTGATCATTTTCGTCTCACAGTCATGACTCGTGGTTTTATTGCTCTCCTGTCTCTCGACAAATGCAGGGTTAGAATGATTCAGGTGACCGATGCGTTCCTGCAGCAGCTCAAGAAAACAGCAAAGACTTTATTAACAACTTTTACAATAAAGTTGTGATGATGATGATGATGATGATGATGGTTCTCCATGAGATGTTTGAAACTTAGGATGTTTCATGAGCTTTTAACCCTTTTAAACTCCTCCACTTCATTTTCTCTAAGCTCGTCTGATTTGTCTTCATTGTGCTGTTTGTTAAAAAAAAAAACAACAACAAAAAAAACCCCAACAGAAATACAGAACAGCTGCTTTTCTACTGATAGTAATTTACACACAGTTGCTGTTCATGACTTCCACTGTAGAGGCATCAAACAGAGAAGGGCTACAAGTGCGTGCCGCACTTTTTAGATTTTCATTTGTTTTGTCAATTTTCTTCCTTTTCACTCTTATGCTTTGCGTGCATTTTGCACACTGATTTAAAAAAAAAAAAAAAGAAAGAACCATTGCTTGTGTTTGTGGAAAACGTTGCGGTCGTGTGTGAGCAGTTGGTCGAGTGGCGTGGGGGAGGGAGCGGAGGGCCGTGTGATCCCGGTTGACGCCGTTATCTGTCGCCCTGGCAGGCGGGAGAGGTGTTGCCGCGATGGCTGCAACTTTTCTTGGGCATCAGTGAGATAGAGCGGGCCGGGCCGGGCAGCTATTCTGGGACGAGGGTCTCTTCAGAGAGGCAGCGGCTGGTTTGTGTACCCTGTCACTCGGTGTGCCGTCAGAAGAAGAAAAAAAATGGCATGTTGATAACACGCGAGGAGGAGACGAGTTCCCAAAGTCCCCAGAGCTGCTGGCTTTAAATAAGTCAACAAACACGGACGCTCCCGCCCCGTGAAAACACACACACACACACACACACACACACACACACACACACACACACACACACACACACACACACACACACACACACACACAGAAAACAGAAGGCAGAGTGAACGCAAGGCTCCGGGCCGCTCCTGACTCTCCCTCTGCTCCTCAAAACCGTTTCGGTCTCAACGCAGTCAGTCACCCACTGCGATGTTTGTGTATTTAATTTGGAAATGAGGTCTAAGAAAGAGAGCTGAACTGAGTCAAAGTCACAGGACATGCAGGCAGAGACATCAGGCGACCTGATGGGACCCGAGACGGCCTCGCTCTTCGCCCGAGTGCTTCAAATCAAACCAAGTTATTGTCAAATGTTTGTTCAGCAAAAAAAAAAGTAAAAAATAATGACAATATTTTTTGTTTGTGCTGCTATCATTTTAAAGATATCCCTAAATGTTTGCAGAGGTCATCGAAGGCCAATCAATTCCAACACATTTAGAAAATTAAACAAATTTTGCGGTGGAGATTTAGTTTTTCACTGCACCAGCCATCACAAGCATAAAATCATGTGAATGTCAGTTTTGCTTGATTTCGTCAACATGTGGTGGAGAGAGGGCAGGTTGACCTCTGGTGACCCCTGGAAACTTTTTTTTCCATCTTAGAAATTATAACGTCACAAACAAATTTGTATTGCACAAATGTTTGACACCAGTTCCATTTATTCTGAAGAAGACGGGGCCTAACTTCACACGGGTCAGTTTGGACACCGGACCCCGACCTGGCGGGGTCGGCTGCGGTCGTTTCAGGTCATCCACCCACAGCTAGCAGGAGAAATTAACTGCAGTCGGACTGGGATTATTTACCCCAGATTTGTATTTTCACACAAGCCACAGGATTGGGACCAAATTGAGGAGGCAAACGTTTTTAAAATTCAAACAATTTCTTTCTCTTAAAAAAACACTAGAATAAATTGCTAAATATGCTATTGTTATTGTGATATTTTTGTTTTCATTTTTCTTCTGACTGGCAGTGATAATATTTTGGAGTGCCGACCTGAATCAGATAAGATAAATGGTAGCGCTGGTACCGTGCAGCAGGTTTTCTGCATGTTCTCCTCCCACAGTCAGAAATCATGGCTGCTGGGTCAGCCGGTCTCTCTAAGTTGTCCAATGTGGCATGTTGTCCTATTATTATCCAAAACGTCAAACTTAGGAAAACAACTTTCAACTTACAGCTGCTGGGAGAATAAATAACTGTACACTGATATAAAAATACTCAGCTTAGCATTATTGTTTTTATTTCAAATTAAAAAAAGTTTTTCAAAACCAATAAAATACATGGATGTCTGTGGTGTGAAAAAGTAATGGATAGGAATATTTTTACAACAGCAGTTCTTAGTCCTGTTAGCAGCAAGGTGACTTGTAAATACAGCCATATTCAAGAGTAAAGCAACAACAAAAAAAAGAGTTTTAAATAGTTTGGATTTTATTTAAACATACTATAGTGAGTAAACTAAAGGAAGAATTTTAAAGGCTGGTGAAATTGCCGTCAGTGGGTTTTGTCAGAGAAATATGTAAATGTTGTCTGTCTGCAGAGCAAAGATTTTAGTCTGAATTTATTTTTCCACAGTGGAGCTGGGAAAACACATCACTCATTAAGTTTTATGTTCAAAATATGGATCCTTAAACTTTGCTACCTCAAAATGTTTTTTTTTCCTTAAAATGTATTGTTGGGAGACGGATATTTTTTGAAATCTAGAATTCTGTTAAAATCTAGAAAATATGTAAATAACAATAATTCATCCTCATTGATGCTTCGCCCTGATTCTGACGGCTGATTTTCAGACCAGTTTGTGTCCAAACAAAAGAGTTAATATGTGACAATTAACACAAACTGTATCACATAATTATTGAGAATAAAGATACACTTTATTCCTCTGGTGACATGTGGTTTTGACCTCATGAGGCCCTTCAGCTCCCTCGCACATTTCCTGCTCTCTTTCCGCTGTAAAGCGGCTGTTTTCGGCCCTCAAAGGTCGCCGTTTCATTGCCGTCGCAGTAACCTAAACTCGGAGGGGTGAAGCAGAGATTCGTTTTGGATCAAAGCATTCATCGCTGGTGGATATTTCTGTAATCGCTTCATGCCTGCCCACAATACCTTGCAGCAACTGTGTGGGCTCAGGTCTTAGCCGCCAGCTCAGCGGCGTGGAGACGGGAAGACGCGTGGCACAAACACACTCTAAAGCCCCAATTACCCGCTCCCCCACCACCACCACTACCACCACCACCACCCAACCTCCATCAGCCTCTCACACACACAGCCGATAGCAGCAAGAGTTAATCAGTCTTTTAGCGGTTTGGGGGCCTTGGGGGCCCCTGACATAGCGCTCTGGCTCCAGACAATGCCCCATCTCTCATTGTGCTGCGTTGCGGTGCGGGTCAGAGGAGCTCGGCCTGCGCGGCCAGCCCTGCCCTCGGTATGCATGGCAGTCCTCAGCTGTCCGTCTATTTCAGGAGCATGGAGCATACCTCGGTCCAGCTGGGGCATCGGAGACAATGGACACACGGCCTTATCCAAACAGAGGCCCGCAGACAATCCGACGCACTCCAGAACCCCGGCATAGCCATGCCGCTGCAGCTCTCCTGTCCAATTAAAATGAAGGAAAGAGTTAACAAGGCCCTCTGCTCATGTAACTCGTGAGGTGCGACCATTTTAAAGTGACGGCGACTCGTCCTGTCCTCTACAAACCTGTGGAAAATAGCGAGAAGGAAAACGTCTTTACAGTCTGCAGCTGGCCGTGTTCAGGTTACATGAACAAGGTGAGGCGAGACCAAAGTTGAACTTTTTAGCTGACATGCAAAACGATGCGAGTGCAACAAAGTTAGAAATGCATCATCAACATGGTGGTGGTAGCATCATGATGTGGGGTTGCCTCTCTTCAGGAGGGGCAGAGATTCTGATCACTGATTCGAAACTCAGACTCAGTTTAGTTTGGGGAATGTTGGGGGGAAATCTGTTAGAACGTCCCAGTCAAAGTTCAAACCAAAAATCTTTTTATTTTATTGTCCCGTTTAGCAGAGAGGAACTCAGAATTATTTCATGAGTGTCAATATGAGTGTCATGGTTTTAGGTCTGTGCAGAAAATGAATGTAAAAACACGACTGTGTGTGTGTGTGTGTGTGTGTGTGTGTGTGTGTGTGTGTGTGTGTGTGTGTGTGTGTGTGTGTGTGTGTGTGTGTGTGTGTGTGTGTGTGTGTGTGTGCTGGATACACTGCCCACTGTGAGTAATGTCACTGAATGAAGAACAAATATTGTAACCACAAATATATCAGATGCAGAAACAAACCTGAAGTTTATGTTTGAATCGCAGCCGAAACGATATTCCATTTTGATTTCAGCAAAGTCTCGGTTTCTAAATAGACCTGGAAGGGAAACGCTGGCAGCTGCTCGGAGAGACCTTCAGCCGGTGACCAGCAGGTTTCTCGCCGTCAGGATCGCCATAGCTTCACCTAATTTACTGTCAGCAACGTTTGAGGGCCTGCTAAGGATGCCCAGCCGCGCAGGTGGTGGCGCTCAGCATTTCACCGTTGATTGTTGTTTAAACAGAGTTGCTGTCACAATGAGAGGTATCTCAGCGGCCTCGCGGTTTACCCGGCCTCCCTGCCCTGCTGTATTTCCCCTGTTTTAAGTGCACAGGTTGCACCTCCGCCGCAGAGAACTGCTCGCAGGACGGGGGGGTCACACGCTCACGTTGTGGGCTCAGCCGGATGTCACCTCGTCTGAGACAGGAGGAGAGCCGGGTGTGTTCAGGTCCGTGTGGGGAAGAGAAAGTCCTGACCAGGTTTAGTCATCACGCTGGTAAACATCAGAAACAAATTTAAAAAAGAAGAATACATTTAACTAAATTAGAATTTTTAGTAAAAAAGAAACAAACAAAAACCTGCTGGGTGATATGGACGTAGAATTTTATCACAATATTTTGTAGTTCTGTGGTGATAACGGTAAAATTGATGATAAAACAAACGATTTAGGTATCTTCATGGTACAGCATTCAATAGCACCACTAACTTAGTTGCTGGTCTTTAAGAACATATGAAATTACGTCTATGATCAGTTTTTTTTCCAACATTTCAAATTTATTGACAACAATCAAGTAAACCTTTTAACGTCACAAGAATTAATTTTTTTTACCATGAATAATAAATGAGGCTCAGTAAACTGAAAGGAAAAATATAAAGTTATTATTTGCACAAACAGAATTACTAATAATTTGTGTCTTATTCAAATAACTTGGAGTTCGTGTCATAAAATTCAAACTTTGTTTAATTCTGGAGTTTAAAGTGAAAAAATGTCAAGGACAAACAAACCCACGTTTTGCCAAACATGACCACAAAGTTAAATCAATTTTGATGGGATTATTTTTGTTGTTGTGACTCACCGGTACAGAGCATCACACAATTGATCCAAATCATGCAAAGTCTTAAGGATTTTTACAGGTGAAAGTCAGAAATCCTAACTCTGTGGCGACCTCTGACCTCTGACTGCTTAGCTGCCTAGGTGAGCTAAGGGCTCAGAGATTATGTGCTATACAGTCACCATCTGTTGCTGACAAACTCTGCTAATCCACCACATTTGCTTTTGCCACTCCTCTTTTAATCTTTCTCTGCCAGAATAGTGAGAAGCAAGCTGGAGAAATCGATGTGATCGTTTCACGTTGTGATTGATGAAGAAGATGGTTTGACTTCCTCCTTCGCGCTCTGCATCCATTAAGCCTCTCTGAGGATTTGGGGTCATAGATCAGGTTTTATTTTACCTTTTGTGACGCTAATCACGAGTAAAAGAAATACCTTGTTGTCAAAGTTGCACATCATAAAACCTCTTTGTGTAATCACAACACAACATTTTCAAATGATTTTAATCCTCAAGACAAAAAGCAATGGGGAAAAAATGCTTCTCCCTCATTTTTAAACCATGAATTAAACATGATTAAAACTTCTTATTTCTTTCTTTTGGAAAGCTTAGTTGATTTTCACTCGCCACACCAAGAAACCGTGACCGACTTCAAATTGGATGTTATTTAACTTTATTCAGCAGGACAGTTATTTAAAAAAAACTAAAAAGAAAGTGCAAAGCAAAATAGCATAACCATAACCCTGTTAAAATAAAAAGAAATGTCTATATTTGACCAAAAAGTCACATTTTGATTTGTTTCAGAACTGCACATTATTTCCCAATCTTTTTAAAAAAGAATTATTCTTGATTACATATGATAAAGATATCTGCTGTAAAAAATACATTTCATTCTCGGGTTGGTAACCTTGGATTATAATTTTATAATAATTATATCTTGCAGTGCTATTATGATAATGATGAAAATGGCGATAAAAAACATTTATTGCTTCTTTTTAAGTAATTGCATGATTGTGACTGGGTGCTGCGGCATTTATAGCGCCACAAACACAAATACTGCTTTTGAGAAAGGTTCCCATTTGAAATAGTCTTCTTTAGGTCACTTAAACAAGTGTGATTTGTGTCACTAAATTGCACAGAGTAACTGCAATAAATTACATTTTTCGATTTATTTCTATCTATTGACGCTCTGGTGGAACAAACACTGGAGAAAATATCCACATTAATTATTTCAGATAGCTGCAAATTACAATCTAAAAGCCAGCAGTTTGACCTAAGCACCGGGTTTTCCGTCTCCACTCGTGTTTCCAGTATCCCTCTGCGTTTTAACTCCACACATTCCGGCGCAGAGCGGCGCCAGATTTTCAGCCCCACACTCTCGATCCCGCCTCGCGTTTAGCAGCTTTCGTGCGGTGCGCGGGGCCCCCGGCTCGGGGAGCGCAGAGGAGCCGGTGAGGCAGCAGGTGAAGGCGGCCCCGAGGGAAAACTCCCGAGTCTCTGCTTCTCTCACGAAGACGCGACAGAAGGATCAGCTCGGCATCCGGAGGAGTGCTACTTGCCGGCAGCGGGCCAGGCGCTTGGACAGCTGGCACCGCGCGGACGTCTCCATCCTCCGCGCTCCGGATCCAGCTCCCTGTTGTCCGGCTGGTGCCTCCCGGCCGGCGGCGCCAAGGGACACTTCTCATCTGGAGACCAGAGGGAAGAGAGGAACTCGAGTTGTAAGTTTTCCCCACAGAGAGAAAGGTCAAGGGTCATTATTTCAGCTGGAAAAGTGGAGACACTTGCTGCAGCCCGTTGGTAAGAGCTGTTAATCCAAGCAACGCTGCCCTCTACCGCCACAAAGCATGGATCGCATGAATCACAGCAGGTCGTCACTCCACCGTCATGGCAGAAATATGAATGCGGATTTTTTTTTTTAAATACAAAGAGTCACGCTTACGAATCTACATGCGGATGATTACTGATTTGCGCTTCTTTTTTTTTTTTTTTTACTGTGCTTTGCAAAATAACATTCACACCGTTCAAACCTGTCCACATTTTGCCGCTTTGCAACCTCAGGCAGTGCAGTCAGTCTATTGAGATGTTCTGTGGAAGATCCACACAAAATGTCCCATATTTGTGAAGTGAAGGAAAATGTGTTTTTCAGACTTGAAACTCTGAAAAAATGGTCATACATTAGGATTCACCTCTACTAGTCAGTACTTCCTGCTCTTTCTGCTGAGAAAGGATCTAAAAATTAATTAGTTTGATATTATAGATTAAAACAACCATGTAAATATGACAGATTTAGCTACAAGAGTTCATCTTCATTTGTCGTCATCTGGCAGGTTGATGGTAGAAAATAAAGGAAAATAATTGACACACCCCTACAAAGGCTCACATCATTTACTGCAAATGACAAGAAATGGTAAGTAGCAGTACAAGTTGTTGATTATGAACAAAATCAAGTTTCGTCCATTAAAGACAAACTGAGCTGGTACACGTCACAGATGGACTTGGTGAATACTGGACACTTTACTCCGGTTCTGTTGAGAGCCGGGGGCCAAATCTCCGGCACATTGTTCCAAAAAGGTGTTGAAAAGGTACCCAAGTCATACAGTTTGAAAACCATTACTACCAAATGGTAACAAAACTGGTACATTTCCAAAAGTTGAAAACTTGTGAAACTTTTTGTTCCTAGAAAATTTAAATTTTTTTTCTCTTGTTTTCTCTTGACAAGTTTCTTTAGATTAATTTAACCATTTCTGAGTGTCTCTTTTTTTTTTTTTTTTTTGGTTGAAAACTACCTACAGTGGCCCTAATACATTAGTGTTTGCTGTCTGATTAAACCACACTTTTTCCCTTTTTAATAAGAGAAAAACATCAGTTTGATTAAAGCAAACGCCAACTCCTGTCCATCAGAGTCGAGTTCCTCCTCTGCCAGCAGGGGGAGCCATCCCTCTGCTGGCACGTCAAAGCGTGACGTGCTCAACATATGGTCAGCTGGGTCAAAGAGGAAACACAAAAGGAACCTTATTATGAGTGAGCTGTTCGGCACCTTGCAGGCAGCTGGCTCCTGGTATTCCAAAACAGGAAAACAAACTAACACGTTTAAAAATTCACAGAGGTACTGCGGCGTTTCTCTGACATGGAACTTCCTCCGCCTCTTTTGCTGGTCCTCCTGGCAGAATGGAGGACATTTTACACCTCACATTTATTAATATGATGTTTCTGCGTGTTTTCTCAATGACAGGAAGAGGCTATCTCATAGGAAGTGGAAGTAGGAGCGTCCCTCTCTCTCACACATGTACCCCCCGCCCCCCTCGCTCCATGGACAGCCCATCCTGTAGCTGGAAGCTTTGTGAGCCAGGAACTCCCCCGTTTTTGCTAGTCCATCGCTGCCTGCTTGTATTTTGGTACTCGTCATCCTTTCTGACCTGCTGGCCCGATCCTGGCGCCAGGAGTCTCCACGCCTCCCCACCCCTATCCGTCCCCCCCCCCCCCCCCAGACCCCACGGATAATTCAGACCAGCTGCTGCAAGGTGCCTTTCCTCCCACCCACCACATACTCACACTTGTCTCCTCTACAGCCTTGAGTCAGTCTCGGGGAGAAAAAGAGCTTTGCTGAGGGTTTTTCTTTCTTTCTTTCTTTTTTTTTTTCTGTTGGGAGGCCTCAGTCTTTGCATGGGGTCTCACACTGGTACATAAAATAAATCCAAGTCAATCACAGTCCAGCCCTGCGCTCTCATGTTATTCCCGCGTTTTAAGATGCTTATTGTCCCCTGGCTCAGACTCAGATGCTGATATTTGCTCTTTTCTTGGTTTTCCCCCAATCCAAATTCCTCTCCCTTTTTGCCCAACAGCTCCTTCCTAACGATCTGGTGTGTGGGACGAAAGCAGTAGCCCGAATTGAGTTTTGCAGCGCTGTGCCTCGGCGGGGGCCATCTCTTCAAATGGAGTCACATGAAAAGCATGTGCATCCCCGACGATCAAGTGATACCGTGAGGAGATTGGACGTTATTGCAGAGGAATGTTTGACGAATGCGCCGCAGATCGTTTGTGTGCCGTGTTTAATTTCCACTCGAAGCGCTCTTAACAGCATTATTGTGCTCCTTGGTGTGTGTTGCTGAGTGTTTTTGGCATTCAGGGGCTCTGTGTAAAGTAAGGTGCCTCTCTGTCTACGGCCTAACCACAGTGGGACTTTGGACTGAGATGGAGGGGAACCCCAAGCGTTTGATCCTGGGTTTTTTTTTTCCACCTCCAGTACTGCTGAGTAATGGCCCCGCTAGTGAACTTACAGATGTGTGCATGACAGAGGTTTGGATTGTTTTTTGCCGAAGTGGTGCCGGTTCTGGGGTTGGCGTTGCGGTCGCCTCGCAGAGCAGCGGCGAATCGTTGTCAGAAACGGGGGCCCGATAGAGGTGGGCGTGGGGGCTGGCGCACAGAGCTGTTCTGGAGGAACTATGGAGGAAAATAGTTCATGCTGCATTGGGATTTCCTGCCTTTGCTCTGGTTAGCTCTCCCCCTCTCCTCCTCCCTTCCTCGCCTGCTCACTCGGCTCTTGACGCCCTTCAGCAGTATAGCAAATGCTCGGACCACATTACGGCTCGGGTAAAGTCGAGTGGGTGAGTTTACGAAAGGCAGCCAGGATCTGAGGGGTGTAAGTTCACCGGTGTTGAAGAGTTTTGCAATCAATCTCTAATATCCTGTTTTAATCCGAGCATCATCCACCGACCAGTCTTTCCTTTGTCTTTAATCCAGAGAAGTCTGTCAATCTCTCCAGCTGATCTGCATGATATCTGAATTATTTCCTTTTCCTTCTCATTACACCAATAAAAACCCTGTTAGAATTTAACTGATAATATTAGTGTAAGGAAATACTAACATTTTGTGAACCAATATTTACAAACTACGTACATTTTAATTGCTAAAATTGGTGTAGTTACTTTCGGTAAGTTTGAATAAAATGCTTACTTTTTTATTTATTACTTGTAATAAACTTTTTGATTCAAATTAATTTAGTTGCAACCAAATAAATTTGACTTGAACTTTAGTCTAAAATGATCTATTTTACAACTCATCAATCAGTCCAAACAGTCCATAAACATCAGCGTAACAGATTGTATGTATGCAATTTCTGAAGAGTAATTTTATGCACACAGCTGCTGTGTTGCTTTTTAATATAAATGTAGGATGTGAACAGTGGCTGGGTCAATAATGGGTTGTAGAAAACACCAAAAGGAGCCTCGCGTCTTTACAGGCGGCCATTTTTAACTGTTCTGACGTCACTTAACCTCTTCCACAGGATGAAACAGGAAATGACAACAGAGTAAAATGCTGTTTAATGGTCATATTAATGTCAGTGGATCCAACTACAGACTAAAGACAGTTTGTTCCCTTAAGCTAACATTAGCCTTTCAGCTTCTAAGCGGTTGGCACCAGCTAGTCCAAGCTGTGTTCAGTGTTCACAAAGAATTGGTCATAATGTTATGGACAGCAGGCAATACGTTATCTAGTGTTATATACTGAGCATTGCTTTGTTATCCGTCTTCAAAAATAATTTTTTGTACTTGAATATTGTTTAGATATGATCTATTCTTTTCAATCCACTCCTTGATATTTGTCACTTTACTGTATTTTTGCAGTTTAAAACCTCATATAGAAACATGCAGGCTCATAATTCGTAGCCTAACCAAGGCCTGGCTCGGTCCATATGACACAGAAATGAGTCCACAACGAACCCAAATCAGGTCCGTTTTTCACCCTGCAGCTTTCAGGGTGTAAATCTGAAGCACACAAGTTCAAATTGACCAATTCCAAACAAGTTGAAAATAATTAACATGTACTCAGTTTCACAACTGTAGATGAATCAGAGGACCTTCTGCATCTCAGCTGCTGAGCCACGCTTGAGTTATGAACGACAAACACTTCCACTGTTTAAATAATGAAGTCATCTGGTTTCCCCTCCATGTCTTAAAAGTGGTTCTGGGATTACAGCTTCCAGATTACTGCCATAGTGAAGCACTTTCTATCCGTTTCGACACGGCGGCGCGTAAACGCATCGAAATGCTCGATAGTCAAACTGCAGCATTTAACTTAAACTAAAGCTTTTCCTCCAACACGGAAACTTTCGCAATTAAAACTCCCCAGTTTTACTGAGTTGGTGAATCACTTCGTAATCCAACTTAAATAAACAATCACATTCTGACAAAGTGTTTGGTGGGATTCTTCTTACCAAAGAAGGACAGCGTTGTTGCAATCTAATGAGTAATATTAAGAAACCACTGGAATGAATGTTTGTGCGCCGCAGGAAGAAACCGAAGTACCTGGAGAAACTCACGCAGACACGGAGAGAGTCGACTAACTCCTTGCAGAATGACCCATAGCCCAGATTTAATCACGAGGCGAACATAATTGTTTGAACAGTTAGTCCCAGAATCATTCATATTTAGATTTTAAATGATTTATCCGAGACGTTTGTTTTTAGCAGGGAATGAAAACAGACATCAAAGCTGACAAATCCTTTATTTTACTGCTCATCCAGCTTTTTGCCTGTTTCCACTGATGTTTTGATGATTTATCTTTGATAATGAGCTTTAGGTGCCTCCTTGTCATCACCCTGACCTTTACATCCCACCTCATATTCTCTGGTGCCTCCGACACGTATGAGCTTCAAGTCGAGACCCGGTCGCGCTAAAACATTATCATTACTTGCAGTTGGTGAAATCGCTTGACACCTAAATCCACCAGGGTTGTGAATTTGAAGAGACAAGAAAATGAGAAATGATGGTTTAGTGTTTTAAATATGCTTTCCGTCAAAATAGGAATGAAAAAAAAAAGGTGAAAGTATTAAATTCTGTTGTCTGACCTCATCCTTTTTCTAGAAGAAACTAGGAAATATCTTCAGGTCAGAAGTCAAAAACTCAGAAATTCTCTAGAAAAAACTTTGAATCAAAAACTTGATCTTTTTAAGGTCTTTACATTTTTGACAAATATCAAAATTGTTCAACTTCTGAAACTCAGAAAATTTCCAAGCTTCTTTCTTAAAAATTTCATGGATCAATCTAAAATTTTCTAAAATTGGCTGAAATGCACTCCTTTTTCCTACACTAATGCCCTATCATAAGACGGCTACTTTTTACTTCCACGTGAGTAAAAATATGTCAAAGCAGTGTTGCCCAACCCATCTCTGCTAACACCCTACAATACGTTTCTTTTTATAGTGTTTTTCCAGTCAGGATGCAGGTCCTGTGACCTCAGCCCTGTGAATTAACAGCAGTCAAACTGCTGCTCGCGTTAAACGCAACGAGGACAGGTGCGTCTCCATTTGGCGGCACCCAGACACGTCGCATTGGTGTTAAAGAGGAGGTGGATGTGGCACATTGGGGGCCTCGGGTTTAGAACCCCTCTTCCAGGGCTTTGATCTGGAAGTGTGAGCAGTGGAGCTCAGGGCCATGTGTCACTCATTAGCGGTGTGGTGAGAGCATGCAGGCTGGCAGGTTTCTCTTTTTTCTCTTTCTTTCTTTCTTTCTGGTGAGGATGCTGTGAAAATGTCTGCTCGTGGGGTGTCCCTGCTAATAAACCCTGAGGGTAGCGTAAGCATTCGGGGGGTTCGGGGGGTGGAAAGAGAGCTAAAAATAAACCAGCTCTCTTTAATAACTCAGCATCGTTTCCATCCCCACCTCATGGCGCACACATTTATGCTAAACAGATTGCACAGGAAGTGGAAGAGACGATCTCGGTGAAAAAGCCCCGCTGCCCTCGTTCGCCGTGTTGGGAAAGGAGGGAAATGGAAACCAGATGTCTGAGATCCACCGTGAATATGTCAAAGCTCTAAGACTGTGTCAGTTCCTCCTCGTCCTATTGGTGGACAGCAGCTTTTTCTGCGCTGTCATCAGTAAAGTCTGCAGTGCTCCCTCCCTCTCTCCCTCCCTGCGGATGTCTCCGCAAGGCCTCGGCTGCAGCGAAGAGCCGGAGATTCTGGGAAAAGAAGTCGCGAAGCCTCTAATAGATGATCACTTTTTTTTTTTTTTGTATTCCTTGGGTTCCAGTCCTCACCACATTCCTCAAATTTCAGGGTAACTTCCCATATCCCAGGACTCAGCTGGGTGGCAAATCTCTCAGCGCTCCTCTGTGGATAGATTGCTTTCTCTAGCTTGAGAAAATAACAAGCTACAGAGTAATGACTTAACAAGCATCAGGATAATGGCTTCAACATGTGCAGGGCTGTGTTTTGCTGTGTGTCTGTGCGCGCGCACGTTTCTGGACCGTGTGCGCGCGCTCCGCTCGCTTGGCCTGTGTGTGTCTATTGTTTGGGGGCCGACTTTGCAGAATCGACTGGTTTAAAAGGCTGGGTGGCTCTGCCACGACTCCGCAGGCTCCAGGCCTTTTGGGGATCAGGAGCTCTTCGTGTGTCCCGATGACGAGACGCGTCTGAGGGGGGTGTCGGTGGGAGGGATGGGTGTTTTTCATCACAAACAGCTGCTTCTCAGGCCTCCCACAAGGAACATGGCTTCTATGAAAAGTGCACACATCCCTGCTAAGATGTCAGGGTTTTGTCATGTCGCCATAATAAGCTTCGAGAAAACATCCCAGTTTATGATAAGCAGGTCATTATTTTTTTGGGGGTGGGGGGTATGGATTGATGAAGTTGAAACTTTGCACCAACAAGACAACAAGAGCCAAATTCAAAGTGAAGCATGTAGTTTGAGGCATCTTGATTTGGGATTGCTTTTCCTCATGTGGAGCGGATTTTTCCCCTCGCCTGTGAATGAAGTTACTAATCTTCCCAAAAACCTCTCAGGTTTGATTGAAAACCTTTCAGAGACTGCAAATTCCACTTGATTCTCATCTCCCTTCAGTTGTCAGTTTGGGATTTCTCCCATTGATCTGGATTTCTCTGATAGGATTTTTATATGCGATTGATTGATTTTCTGCGCTGTGCTGTTTTAGATTTGTAGTCTGCTTGTAGTTTTAGCGAAGTTTAGCTGAGTTCAGAGCTAAATCTGGCAGAAAACCTGCAAGAGGATATAAAGACGTCCGTTCACTCCGTTGGAATTAGGAAACTCTTCCCAGGTAGAATATCTAGCCGACCTAACTGACTCAAGAAAACTTGATAATAAAATCAAGTCGTGTCAGTGAGAGAAAATAATGTGACATATTGAAGGTAGGCCCGTTCACTCGACCGGGTCATTGTGCCTTTTTCTTTCAAACCGATTTATTATTGGTTATTTCCATTCAATAAATCTCACGTAATACACGGGAAATGGTTTGAAACGATTTGTTGAGGTCTCATTAGTTTCCATCTTACAAAGCCAGATTTTAAGGGGCGTGTGCCCTCTGTGCATTCGTCCGTCTGCATGGCGGCGGAGTTGTCTTCTAGCTAATTGCTGGGGTCGACTTTGTCCAGAAGCGGTGTCAATGCCACACATCTGCTTCCCCGGAGGCACCGCCTCAAATCTGAACTTTCTTTGATCTCCGTCGGACCAAATGTGGGAGTGGACATCCTCAGCATCTAGCGTCACACCAAACACCTGTTCCTGCTCCAAACTCATCCTGGTGCGAGCCTGTCGGCTTGTTCATGGGAAACTGGAATCCCAAAACCCCGTCCTGTCAATGACACGCTGAGGTGCAGCGCTGCCAGCTGCCTCTTCGTCTGGCTTGCCCGAACAAGCGCGACGCTGCTTTTTCACACAGGGCTTCCGAAGTGCTCAGCGAGTCAGAATCACGGGCGGCGGGGGGTGAGTCTTTTTCCCAGCATGGTTCCTGACACTGTTTACATACAGTTACACCGCGACATGTTGGGACGTGACGAAATCTATCAAACCTGAGGCAACAGTTCAACGACAGCTTTGCACCTCGCCTGGGAAAGAATGCTCAGGTGTATCAAGCAGGTGAAGTCTGCTCCCCTGGCAGGTGCAGGTCCAGGAAGGAGGCACCTGTTTTACTTGTTTGTGGGCTCCGATTTTCATTCGAGACGATCAACAAGTGCAGGTTTATACGATTTTTTGTTTTATGTATGATTTCAGCATCACAGATTTTGTTGATATTCTGAGAGTTTTCTCTCCTTCTTAAATGGTCAGTGTGCTCTGATTGGTCAACTTAAATGAGTGAGATTAAAATGAGGCATTAATAAAGAAATGGGGGATTGAAGGTGGAGTTTTGCAAAAAAAGAAAAAAAAATTCACAGGACTTCTGACAGCAGCAGGTTGGTGCAATAGTGATTACCACATCTTTAAAATGAGTTTTATATCCATAGAAATTGTGAAATCGGCTGAGAGTAACACCTTGTAATCACAAACCAAAGACACATCCATCTCCTTTAGACTCTTTTAGTAGTAGAATATAAATAAAACACTGACAAGGATGGGTTTGCTTTGCCTGACAAAAGTATTCACAACCCTTGACCCTTTTCACCTTTAATAACAGCAATAATTTAATATTAAATGCAATAATTTGATAATAATGTAAAACCCATTTATAGGATTATTTAGTTTGACAGATCAATACAAACTTGCCAGTGACTGAATGACCAAAGTAGATGGAAATGGATACATGGAAAAACATTTTTTTACAAATGAAAACCTGAAGACTTTGGTTTTACCTTTCTGGATTATTGCTACAATTACAGCTGCAAGTCTTAAAGAGATGTCTTCTTATTTTTATCCTTCTTTGCAAAACATGTCACAATTTGTGACCAACGACTCGCAGCTCGTTCAATGGCCTTAGACAGATCGATCCAAACTGGTATCAGTATCGGATCAATATCAGAGCCGTCAGATCTGTGCTTTAATTTCCTCTTGAACTTTTATTTTACTTTTGTAGTACAGTTTCTCAACTCTCCCTCAAAATGATTTTTTAAAATTTGTTCTCAAACTATATATATATATATTTTTTTTTTGCACCTTTCAGGCTTTTTTTAATGTTACTGATTGTCATATTATTAATTTTTATGTATTTTGTAGACACCTCTAAACTTTGTGGTACTTTTCTTGTAGGTTTGAACAAAATAACCCAAAGTAATAGCTCAAATAAACACCCAAAGGTCATAACTTTGATGAGATGTCAAACTGAAAAATTATCTGTATCGCGATTGGTGTCGGCAATACCAGTCCGGCATTTACTTGATATCCAGTAGTTACTAAAATATGCAGTTTATATTCAATTGGAAAGGTCTTAACTTTGACTGGACCTTTCTAACACATGTATAGTCTTTGCTACCAATTTCACTTTAGCTCTAGTTGGCTGAGCTTCTTGTTCTGCTGGAAGGTGAACCTCTGCTGCAATCTCTAGTCTTTTGCTGCTACCAAAACCTTCCTCTTTCCTTTTGGTTTGTCCTGGTTTTGTATTCAATCACCTTCCCATCAAATAGGGCCAGTTCTCATATTCCTTTTGAAGAGATTTATCCTCACAGCGTGAGACACAGTAGGGGTAGCGTCTAGTGTTAGCTTTCTGCCCCTCATAGTGTTTTGCATTTAGGTCAGAAAAACTTCAACTTTGTTCTCATCTGACCAGATCACCTTCCTCCACAGATCTGCTACATTGCTTTTGGAGAACCAGAACATCTCTGAACAATGTTTCTTCTCTTCACAGTTCAATACAGGCCAGGTTTGTGTCGATTGCTAGCTGAGCTACGGATCTCCGCAGCTCCTCCAGAGTTACCGTGTGCCTCTTGGCTGCAGCTTTACCGAACGTTTTCCATTCTCAGGTAAAGTGGCAGTATTACGTAAACTTGACTTGTTTGAGCTCTACATCATGTTATAATGTTATTCCCTGGAGTTTTGCCTTGATTCTTTTATGCATGTTTGAGAAATCCTTCAACATGGTAACCGTTCAGCTGTGCGAAATACCTGGGTGGAGTTAACCCCGCCTTTGAAGGCTGCAGTTTCCAAGACTCCGCCTCACAGAGCAGCCATCCCCACTCTGCTCCTTCAGACTAGCCAGCAGCAATTAGCAAACATCTGATGGAACTGGGCATCAGCTGAGCTCATTATAGGAGCTACTTCTCAGTGAAACGCTGTTAAAAACATTGTTAAACGGTAAGTAAAGGAACCATGTTGTGATGACAACGGAGTTTCAGAAAGAGTGGCAGTTTTAAAGAAATTCAGTAAGAACTATTTGATATATACCATTTTTATAACAACTAAAGTAAACATAGATACTTGCTACAAAAGGCACTATGTCTCTGGAAAATACATAATACTGCTCCTTTAAAGCTTTTCATAACCAACCCTGCTGAAAACTTCTCCACAGCTTTGTCCTCAATCAGTCCGTCTAAAGACAAGAATAAAAACAAAGGTTCTTCAAACATGAAAACACATTTTCTTTAGCTGTCTTTTACCTAAATACAATCTGCATTTAGCTGGACCAAGGGCTATAATATATACTATTAAAATACATTGAAGTTTATGGATTCAAGGAATTAATTTGACATATTCTTCAATGTTCGTATCAATTTCAGAAAAATAAAGCTCACTGTAAGGTTTCAGTCACTATCATTAACTGTAACATCATCACTTTCATTTTAAAAACATGTCTAAGCCCAAAACGTTCGTCAGTAGTGTTTGGGTTTTCTGATGAGTTTGTGTTTTCTTGGTGAAGCAGTTTATTTTATAAAACTGTAATTGTAGAAGGCTGCACAGGGCTCAGTCGCATGATAAAAGGTGATCCTGATGTGCCTCAGATCGATGAAGGCGTCATGTTTCATTTGGACAGAAAACCAAATGTAACCCTCTGTGACGTCGTTCATTTAAGAAGCTTAAACAAACAGAAAACAGATCCGCTCAGCTGTTTTCAGTCACAACTGGTCATTTCTTTTGTTGTTTTCTTTTCTTTTACTAAGAAACTGAAAACTTGGCATTCAAAATCAGTTGTATGCAAATATAATAGATATGATGCAAAAACACTGTGACTTCTCCACAAATTTGAAATAAACTGTGAAAACATGAACTTTATGACTGAATGTTTGAACCAGGATGAGGGGGAAAAGATCAACTTTCAGTAAGAGTGGTAGAGTAACCTTTAGGCTAATAAAATACAAAATAATATTCAAACTCTGTTACACCTACAAACTGCATCATCAAGGCAGTGAAATATAGTGGTGGCAGTATCATACTGTGGGGAGGCTTTTAATCAAGCAGGGAAAGAGAATTTGATCAGAGTTGGTGGGAAGATATTAAATACATGGACACGAAGGGCGGAAAACCTGCCAGCAACTGAAAAAACACCTGATATGGGTTTGGAGGTTAGGGTAGAACGGCCTAGTTAAAGTCCACATGTAAATCCACTTAAATCTACTGCGATGTAGCCTCTTCCAGTCAGCAGAGTCTGCAGTGAATGCTAAGGCTAGCTAGCATAGGCACGGCAAATTGTTTATCCGCGCAGATTTAGCAGCAAGTACACAAAGTTGATTGACAGCCTCCTCCTGGTTCTGATTGGTTGTTGTTGTTTGGGAGTGGTGCATTTCGCCACATAGCAACAGCAGCTCTGGGAGGAAGCGAATGAAATTGATCTTTTCACAGATTATACCGTCATGACATAGTGATAGTTTTAACAAATATGTGAAAACTTATGTTTTTTAAAAAATAGGAGTTACATACGGCAGCAGCTTTAATCAAAAACTTCTTGCTGAGATGCTACACACACACAAAAAAAAGAAGTAGTAACATCAGGATCTTTCAGAGACTTTCTTGTTTCCTTTCCCAGAGTATAAGTCAACTTTATTGTCCTCTTCTCATCTCCTCGCCAATCCCATCAACCCCTGGGTGATCGAATGGCCCTGAGGACGCGCAGAAGAAGCACAGAGCTCAGGCATCACCCGTGGTTCTCCTCCTCCTTGTCTTCCCTGCTTCCCCCCCCCTCTTTTTCTCTTCTCACTGGCATGGAGTCCAGAGCAACACATGTCTCTGATCAAGTCCAGCCTGCGTCATCAGTTAGTAAACTCCAGGCTCCAGGAAAACCAACAGAGAGCACATTCATAGCCGGCGACCCTGTGACTGAGTGTGTGATTCATTACTTTTTAATATGCTCCCTCACCACCCCCACCGCCCCCCAACCCACCCAACCACTTCTTCTCCAATCCGGCCGAGGGGCAACTCCACACAGCCTGATCGAATCCATCATTAAGCATACTTGTGGTGTTACCGCTGTTGGTCTTGTTTACCAGATGCTGTAGCCGTCTCAGCTCGGCGGAGACAGGAATTAGCTCTGCATTCTGAAGTTCGAGAAAGAGACGGCGACACTCGATGAAATCAAGCCCAATCACATGTAGGGAGGAGTGATGAAGCCGAAACACAGGAGGAAGGTGGTGGACGTTGGACGATGTGAGGCGAGGGCCGTTCCGGGGAGAGTATTCGTCAGAAGTGAAAAGCAAGTCTATTCCAAAGAGTAAATTACAAAGATGACTTTGTTTCTGATCCCTCAGACAGCTGACACAGATTAACATCGCTCAGGTCAAATTTTACAATGCCTCGCAGAAGCATTCGTTCCCCTTGAACTGTCCCATATGTGGTCACTTTACAAATGTCAACACTTCAGTGGGATTTTACGTAACACTAAGTCGGGCCTAACTGTGCGTTACTGTGTGTTATAATAAGCAGTTCCAAACAATTTTTAAAAAATGAGAATGTGGTAAAGTCTTTCTGAAAAGCCGTCAGGAGTCTCCATCAGTTTTCACGCCTGATCCTCCGGTAGACGCGGTTCGATTGGGGACCAAAGTTGCATCGTTTGTTTCTTTTGAAAAACGTGTTCCCTCTTTCCCCTGTGGTGGCGCTGCTCCAAAAACTATGGAGGGAAATAAGAAAAACAAAGAAAACATTCAACATTTGCAAAATGTAAATAAAAATGGACTAATGTCCAATTTTAGCTGTGGTGGAATTCTCTTTTGTTTTTGTGAAAAGACCCGCAAGGCATTTCACCTACTAGCGAAGGACTCGTTCTTTTGCTTACCCAGAATGCCCTGCACTGTAGTCCTCTTACTGCTTTTGGAACGGCCTCAGGTCCGCTTGGCGTTCACATATGCATCTGAACCACACCAGAGTTCACTTCAACTGAACCGAGACTGAGGTTTTTAGGCAGACCAGAGTTTTGTTTGGGTTTTTTTGGTCCGCATCAGAGTTTGATTACCCATTCTCACCTCCTCAAACTAACTGGACTTTCAAGCCAAACAAAATAAAATTTGATTAAAGTGGACTAAACAGGTCTGGTGTGAATTAATAATTAATAATTAAAGAGAATCCATATGTGTGTAATGTCATCTGTTCTGTATAAGGCCTCAAAAGGTAGTAGAGCCCATTGCAGGACAACCAGCCTGTGGAGATGTGGTAAGGCCAGGCCATCCTCTGAAAATGGTACAACTGCAAACCCACAAAGACATGGCAAATATTATCCATCAGTTGTTCTCTCTAATTGCTAGATGAATGCAATTTGTTGCAAGCGCCGAATGGAACACAGCAAACATGTAGACGAAGATCCTACGGTTGAGACCGAGGCTAAAGATTTCTGTACATGTCTGGAAGAAAACCAACCATCCTGGTGAACGCACAATGCCCTTAAAGAAGCATGGTGGTGTCTGTGAGGATGTTTCTTCACTTTGTTCTGAAATAGCCCAAAGTTCAGACATAAATCCAAATGAGACAAAATGACAACATTTTGTTCAGTGTTACCATTTTTGTTGCGTGATGCAGGTTTTCTGCCCATTTTCTCTTTGTAAATGAAGAAGTTGATCTCAAAGGGATTTTAACCGAGCCTGTTAAAAATCAGCCACAGGGTCTACGCTTCGGAACCTCAGCTATTGACAAACAGTTGCTTGTTGGAGGCGTAGACTGTTTTAAATTTTACCCAATTTGCTAACGTTTCCCCGTGATGTTTGTAATGCGGCTGTTTGATGCTGTGAAACTTGCCGGAAAGTGCCTGTGATGTAAACAACCATGCGCCTCTGCTAAGAGAGAAGCACTGGTCCGAACGAGGCGGCTCTTGATGTTAATTCAATATTTGGAAGCGTGGCCAACGCGGCCTGAGCAGTGTTGTTCACTTCCTCTGCAGCTATAGCTGAAACTACAGGCAGCAAATCTAAAATGGTGCAGAAAATCAACGCTACCATTCACAACTTCTCCTTCTGCTCGCTGATTGGTCCGGTAGAAATTCTACCAGAGAAATCACAGTCAATGGGAGAAAGCCCAGACTGAGCTGTGAATGGAAATGAGAATTGAGTTGGATTGCATTGTAAGGCCAGTTTTAACCTGGTTAAATAAAGGAAAATGAATGACTGACTTAGTTGGTGAACTTGCATTTGAAACTACAGCAAACAGCGTAGTTCTTCAAATTTTTCAGATTTGCCTTAGTGAAAAGAATAAATAAAAATGTGTCCTGCTTCGCTGTCGCAGATACAAAATGCTCAAACGTTCCAACGCTTATTACAGTGACACGCTGTGAGTAGACCAGTACCTCCCCCGGAGATGATCAGCTTACCAGCGGGAGGCTGTGAAATTTTTGCAAAATGAACACCGACCCTCAGATGACGGTCATATGCAGCATCGGCTACGCTTCATACTTTTCGCTGCAGTCAGCCTGCAGCCAAGGCGAAGGCCCTTCCCCAGGAGCGCTCTCACCAGGCCTCAAGTATCATGAGAGCAGATGACTGCTGTTTACGAGATGCTGACAGCTCCTTCCTGTCTCACAGATCATGAGCCCTGACTGCTGCTGCCGCTGCCCCGAAGGCCACTCTTTAGTTCCCGGCCACCCGGCTCCACCCTTGAGACGGAGGGTGGGATGAATAAAGACGTGAGAGGAGCACGGAGCCAGTTCTGTTGCTGGCATAGTGCAGCAACAGAACGAGCGCTTGATCTCAGCAGCTCTTCCAACCCAGAGATGCAGCTTATTTGTGGGGGTTAAAGTAGGCCAGTGTAAACTCCCACTTCCTGTCGGGCCTCTGTTTCACAGTAGGGGCGGAGGGCTGGGACGGGGGGCAGGCAAAGAAGAGATGATCCTCCTGTGAAGAGGGAAAGGCTGCTGCTCTGTAGGGACCATTTCCACTTAAAACACACACACACAAATAGAAATACAGCCACAGAGACAACCAGAGAGTGAGTGGGAGAGCGAGTGAGCGAGGAATACACAAACACAGTGGGGTTCAGGAATGTTAAACACATGCTTTATGGCATAAATAGCAGCCACTTTTGGTAAATTACAGTGAGTGCTCTGGCACTGTAAAGCACACAGCAGGAAAACGCTCTCAGATTTCACATCCAGACCCTGCTCTCTCCCCAGGGGACAAAAAAAATTCTAAAAAAAAATAGGGAGCTTGTTGTGTTTTCAGTTCTGTTGAGGAACTCGGAAAGGGTACAACTCTCTGCAGTATCCCTTGCGTGCTGCGATAGCTCCGAAATCGGCGAACTTGGTGCACTTTTAGTAAACGCCGGACGCGTCAGAAAGGCGGAGGGAATCGACTTTAGCACACAAAGCAAAAAAAGTGAAGCGGTCGCTTCAACTGGAAGCTAGTGAACATGAAAGCAGCCGAGTGAACTGGAGAGAGTTGCCTTTTGCCAGCAGCTGACACCCCAGGACATCACAGCTTACATCACCAGCATAACCCTGAGCAACAGCTGAGCCTTTATTAGCTGTTCCCCAAAAGCATCTTGGCTGAACGACAGAGATAAACCCAAACAATCACGCTGATTTCTGAAGTCTGAACGGCTGCAGATTAGAAACTGCTAAAATGTTCTGCAGTTTAAAATGCTTTTATCAGATCCCAAAGAAATCCCCAGAGAGCTGGGTGGGAAAAAAACCCAACAAAAACATTTATTACACTTTTTCTTTGCTTCCAAGAATAACAATTTGGATGATTTGGAAATATTTTTAGTCCCAAAAACCAGAAAAAGTCATAGAGCGTAAAGTAAAGCAGCGTAATGCCACAGCTGGAAAGCCACCATCAGCATGTCTGTCGAACAGCCGACTCCTTACTCGACTGGTTGCAATTTTGATGCAACCAGGGTTTCTTAGGTAACTTCAGTTACCTAAGAAGCTCTTCATGTTTGGTTAACTCTAGAAATAACAGACTGGCAGAAATGTCTGATATCCTGCACAATCAGAAACTACTCAGGCCTATGCAGCTTCATCGACAGTAGATAAACATTAGCCTAGAAGTTTGATTTTTATAACCGTAATAATTCCAAAATTCACCTCCCAGTAACTGTCATCGGTCTACATTGAGCCTTGCAGCCATGTTAAAAGGGCAATATTTCATATTTCAACCTATTTGCTACGTACAACAAACAAATCAGCATCATAAGAGGTTCATTGTTTTGTTGATCTAAATATTACATAGAGCACGACGATACTGTTAAAACCGCGATATTTTTTTCACACCGTGAGACTCCAGCACAAGCCCCAATCCTGGTTTCAAGAAATCCCATTTACAGCAACTTTATATAAGGTGAGTCAGTCGGACTGCATGCTCACTGTGAGCACATAACCCTGAGTCAGAAGAAAACCAGGAACGACGCAGTGGAACAGTTTACCTCACTCCGCGCTGCGTGGCCAAGGCTCAGGCCTCGGCCCACGCACGGCGACTGACTGACTGACTGAGAGACACAGTGACTAGCAGCTTGACTTACTGACTGAGAGCTGAGGAGCCATGGGAACCTAAAGCGCCAGACTTTGACTCACTGTCTAGGAACATATGCTGCGCTCTCACCGAGAGGCGAAAACAAAGCACAAACACTCATCAATCGGCGATGGAGAGCGTCTAACTGAAACTCCACTCTGGGGTCGGTTCAGAACCAGTCCAGCACAGCTCAGTTCCTCTAAAACCCACCCAGCGGCCACGCCACGCGGCTCAGCGCTTGCGCCTGAACGCGCTCCCATTTGCATACGCGCCAATGTTTGCACAGCCAGAGAGAGAAGTAGATGGCAGCAGGTGGAAACTGGAAGCAGGTGCATTCCGTCGCTCTGACCAATCACAGCGCGCCGCTCGACCCGCATCTGCAACGTTTCGATGCAACAGCCGGTTTTCTCCAAACCGCTGATTGTCTTCCCGGTTAATGATCAAACGCGTTTTATGACTTCTCTAAAGCGAAAGCGGAGAGTCTTATACCCATCTCCTTGTGCTAAAAAAAAAAACACAGGGAAAAAATATCAATAATGCGAGTTTTAATAAACATAAATTACTTTATTGAAAATGCATCATTTAGCACATGTAGAAATTAAAGATGAACAAAAAGGCATAGTAGAAAAAACCAAACCAAGACAAAATAAAACATTTGCCCATTGCACTAATAAAAAAAAACAACAACAGAGCTGTAAAATATTTAGGAACGTGAGAAATTCATCTCAGTCTGGTCCACTTCCATGGCTTTAATCACATGTTAGGTAACCACGTTTCCATGGTGTAAACTGTTAACATCTTTGGTCTCGGCCTTCTGATAGGTCTTAACTTACACAAATTTTTTTCTTTCAATACTGAAGTCAGATTTTAAAGCCACATCAGCTAAATGAGGTATAAGAAGAAAAAAACATATATGCACTGTTTGTACGAATAATACAATTTCAAGGCACATTCATTTGAGTCATATGGCTTTGGCTTAGTATCAATAACACTGTAGTAACCTTGAGTGCATTGGCTTTTTTTTTTTTACTTTTTTCTTTTGTACATGTTTGCAGGAGAGCTGCACACTGAATCATCTTTGGAAAACAGCAGAATGGCTTTTCCCATTTCTAAAGCCCAACGGATTAAGGCAGAGGTTCTGGTTTAAGTCAAAACAAAGGCTTACGATGATCCACATCAGCGAAAGGAAGAGAAAAAAAAGAAAAAGCAAAAACATTAACCGGTGTCATTCTTCTGCGATGATATGCTTCCTCTTTTTCCCTTAAGCAAACCAAGGGCATCGGGAGTCACCTGCTATCAGCCAGCGAAGGTCATGGCTGCAGCACCTGTTAGCACCTCATCTATCTGCACCACAGCACCAGGGACAGCTGTGCATGCATTTGCCTTTGTGTGTGCGCACGCGCGCGAGTGTGTGCTGCTTCGAGAAGGGCCAAGGGATTTATCCCACCCACGCACCCCTACCTCTGAGCAGCTGCGTCTAGGCCATGATCCTGAGCTGACCAGCACCAGGGCGAAGATGGGAGGAGAGACGCCTCTTACGTGACCAGTTCACGTTACGCGTTATTTGGAATGGGCGCAGACAGCGGCAAGAGGCGCCGACGTTTAGTGAGTTTTGCTCAGTTCAGATAGTCCAGCTTCAAAAACTCAGTCAACAATAGAAGAAGAAAATATAAAAAAAAATTTAAAATAATAAAATGTCCCAGTATGTTTTGCCCCGCTTGCTCGCGGCGCCTCAGCCCAAAGTGGAGCAGCATCCCGAGGAGCTGTGCTTCTGCAGCAGCGACATGCGGCTGAAGGTGCGAGAACAGACGCCGCACTGGTACTTCTTCACCTCGGCGTGGGTCTGCAGGTGGGCCCTCAGGTTGGAACGGTCCGCAAAAGCCCGGTTGCAGTGGGGGCACGAGAATGGACGCTCACCTGGGCAGAGAATAAGGGAACTACATTAAAAACACAAGATAAAACAAACAACAACAAAAAATACTCTCGAGACAGGTGTGATTGGGTTATGATCGAGAGTTGAAGATGTGTTGTGACGCTTTGGACAATTATGAGAGGAGGAGGAAAGACTGAGAGCGAGGGACGTTTTTGTTGACGCACAAGAGTTCAGATGTGTAAGGTGCAGCAGGGTTACGTGGTACAGAAAGGGAAGTCAGTGAAGTTCTAGACGAGGCGGAGTACTATGTCGAAGCAATAAGAAGTTCTGAACTAAAGGAAGACATACGGACCAGAGATGGAGACCAAACAGAAGGGAGTTGCAATAATTAATAAGGTAGCTGACCATGAAGTGAGAAAATATGGAGGAAGAGAATGGTGACAAAAAAAAAGACAGAGATGATTTCCAATATATTGGGTAGACACAAGGTGGCATTATTTATGTGACCAGTTTAAGATGGAGAACTATTCAGAATGACATTTAGACTTTTAAGTAGGTAATCTGGTCCAGATTACCTCACTTTTGGGAGATCGGCCAATGCCTACATGAGAAACTCATCTTACTGATCTTATCTATCTCCACAAAGCTTCAAAAATTGTCTGCTGTCCCCTTTTGCTCTGGAGTGAGAGAGATTTGACTGGCATGTCTGCACGTAGGCAGTTAACAGCAGTCAACCCACTGTTGCCGACTTGGAGACTATGTTGGTGTATTTAGCCACTTTTCAAACAAAAACAAAACATTTATATCTTCCAAAATTGCCATCAGCAGGTCTGGCTTTTTTTTCCCTGGGGGGAAATGCTGGAATTGTCAATTGCTGAAAAGAGCTGGCCTTGTAAAAACGAGCACAATCTCAGCTTAACAGTTGATTTATTGAGGGCGTTTGAGGCGAATCAGTGTTTACTCTCCTCAGAGCAGGAGGAAGTGCACGAAGATGAAGGGTATTTTCTGCAAATCAATTTTAATTGGTATTGAATTCAAGGAAGACTCACAATATAGAAGCTAAGAGGAGGAGACGTTTGCTAAAGAAGAAGCCAAAGACACAAACTTGAGGAGCGCCGGTAGCGAATGGAATTAAATTCATTCTTATCCAAATTTGCCGAGTGTGAGAGTTGCACTCAATTCAACACAGCTCCCTTGAAATGCGACTACGACAGTCATACTCAAACAGGGAGAGGATTATATTGATGGGAGCTCTCTATTAACACCTCACACACAAGCCCGCAAACACACATGTATAAACACAGACACATTGTTAAGATAATGAGGATCACATGGCTGACTGCTGGGGTCAGAGTCTGACTGAATTAGCATGATTCAATCAGAACCAAATGAGATTAACATGCTAACAAGTTACTGCAGGTACTAAGTGCTCAGTGATAACAGCGAGCCTTCAGGCATTCTTTAAACCTTTTGTCCCTCCTCTGCCCCCACTCAGGTGCCTCCACTCCCCCACCCCGGGTCAGCTGTGATAAGATACTTAGTGGAGAACTCATTGTTGCTGAGACATTAAGCACAATGACTGATCAATGAGTCCACGGAGGGCTTCCCTGTGTGATAATGTCTGCTGATCAAGTGTTGAGTTCATCAGATAGCATGTTCTGACTCGGAACGACTGCCCCCGATTTCCACATCCAGAGACCGAGGGCTGTCTCAAGCTAGTCTGAGGCCATCGGGAGAACTTCATCTGGGTGCTCACCTTAAGCCAAGTCTGTGATTTGGTGAAGTTTAAAGCTTTGTCCATGGTAATAATTTGAGGGAAGGGTATTTGTTATGATCGACTTACAAACAGTGTGAGAATTGGGACCTCAACCCAGACAAAAGGAGTATTTTTCTTAGGGGTGATTTCTCACTAATTAACGATTGGAAATCCTTAAAAAGCTGCCAACTCCAGTTTTGGCTGATACAGATTGGTTTGTTGTTGTTGTTTGAAATATGGCTAAATTTAGCAAGAGAGTCGCTGAGTTGGCAACAGTGGGTGACTATTGTTAACTGCAAACATGCAGACATACCCGGTGGGCGGGTCTGTAAGTGAAAGCTCTCTCATGGCAGAGCAAAATGGCAAAATAGACCTTTGCCAAGGTAGATAAGATCAGCTTAATATGTAAGGATCAGTAGATTAGGGAAAATGGGGGCTGATTTACCTCTAATATGTTTACAGCCAGTGCATGCGAAAACTTGTCTATATGTTCTCTTGGGGTCTCCAGGCTGGCAGTGGCCCCAAAGCTAATAACAGATCCAGTGAACAGGGGAAAATCTGAACCATTGCGCAATCCTCTCGGAGCAGATTTCAGCCTCACCTGTGTGTGTGCGAATGTGGCCGCGCAGCAGCCAGGGCCTGGAGAACGCCTTCCCGCAGGTGGTGCAGACACAAGGTAGGGTGTGGGAGCGAATGTGCATCTTCAGAGCCCCCAAGCTGGTGTACTCCTTGGGGCAGTGTTTGCAGAGGAACGCCGGCCTGGCCGCCATCGCCGGGGTCTCTCCTCTCTCCTCCTCCTCTTCGGGGGGGCTGACGTGGGCCATGACGCCAGTGCACTTCATCCTCTGGCGAGGGGCGTACGTGATGACGGGCTCTGGGCTGGGGGGGTCCGAGCTGCGCCCCTCGTCTTCCTCGCCGCTGCTGCTGGCGCCGCTGCTGAGGCTGCAAGGGGAGCTCAGGTCCAGGGGGCCCGAGGCGCCAGAGGCTTCCGAATGGGCGGTGGGCAGGTAAAGGGCGGGGAGGACGCTCAGGTCCCACACCAGACCCGTGGTGAAGCAGGTGGAGGTGCCGTTGTCTGCTGATGGCACTTCGGCAAGAGCATAGGTCTCCAGTGAAGTATCTGCTGCGGAAAGAGGAGGGCGGTTAGGAGGCTGCAGTGAAGTCAGTAAACTACAACAAATTCACTTTAAGGATCAAATAAGGTCAGAAGAAGAAGAGCCACTCTCTGTTTTCTGTTCTTATTTGGTATGGTACGATGGCAAACTTCCTCATTTGTACAGGAGCATAAAATAAGGGCCACATGGGAAAGTTCCAGGGCAGTTTCCTCCCACGTATTCAGCTTGTAACATGAATGGAGCTCTGTCTCCACGCAGAAAGAGGGGGAAAGTGCATCTAACGGGCCCCGACTTGATCTGGGAGTCGCCTCTTGGAGGAGGAAAAGAAAAAAAACTAGCCAGACTTTCTCTCTCTCTCTCTCCATAATATTGAAACAGGTGAATTTCTTTCCTGTTGTTCGCATCAGAAAGTTCCGTTAAAAAGAGTAAACAGTCTCGTGACTCACCATTCTGACATTCCAGCTCGCTGTAGTTTGGCTTTTGTTTGGCGAAATACTTCTTTACCAAGAAAGACCGAGGCATTGTCCTGGTTTTTTTTTTCTCCTTTTTTTTTTAAATTTCAGGCTCCAAGATCTGTGCGTAAAAGGAACGCGCGGTCACGACGCACAGCTTCCAGGAGACGAAGAGAGCTGTAGTCCTAGAAGGAAGAAGAAGGCGAAGGGAAAAAAAAACAACAAAAAACGATAATAAAAAAAAGTCCTCCTTGTTACCCAAAACAAGTTGGGATGGATTTCACCGACGGAGTGATATGCAGAGCTTCTCTGCTGAGGAACTAAATGCTGGCCTCTGTTCTGAAACACTCCGACACAGGCAAGGAGGGGTGTGCTCGCCCTGAGGGCCCCTCCCCACGCAGCATATCGCAGTTTAAGAGTTTGAGAAGAAGCCTCGCACATTTTACATCACCAAAAAGAAAAAAGAAAAAAAAAAAAAAAAACACCAGCCAACAAAGTTAAGGCGCAGATCAGAGAGAGGGAGAGAGAGGAACTGTGAAAAACTTTAAGAATGAATCATTTGGCCGCATATGAATCATTGATCAATTTTGGTATTTGGCAAAGTCTAAAAAAAAAATTATTTGTATTAAAATAGCAATATAAGACGACTGTGTTAATTTAGAATTTATTTTTTTAATAAATAAAAAAAAGTGCTGTTTAATACGCTTCTATAAATTTATCTCAAAGTTTCACGCTGTATATTTTTTGGTTCTGGTTTTATTTTAAATCGTTCCCCGTCTCCATTTGTCCTGCTTAACTTCAATTGACATGGTTACAGACTTGTCCGTCACCGCTAAGCGTGATTTCAGTGGAGGAATTGCGCCACCTGCTGGAGGATTGTTAGCGCTGATGTTTTTAGTTAATTTTATGACACGCTAGGCGGCGCTGTTCTGCAGGCAGGTCGGGTTCAGCCCAGGATTTTCTTTCATCGAGGCTTTTAGACGATGCCTGATCTTTACTTTTTAGTAAATTGAAAGATAAAGTGAAAAGGAAAATGTGGATAATAACAGTGAGAAAAGATTTGTTACAGCTGAAACCAGAGATGTACACATAGCCTACTTTATAATGACTTATCGCACAGGTGATCCTAAATCACCAATGAGATAAGTCATTGGTGATTAAATAAGAACCTTTGTCAAAAATAATTTGGTAAATTTCAAAGGTGTATTACAAGGCAGCAACTTAAGCAGTCTGGATTCTTGGATGACAATTGTGGACTTTGTCCAATTAATCCTTTACATCCATATGATTTAAATGTTTTATTTATGGGTTCAGTTGTTGATTTTAAAAATGTTTTATTTCCCTTTTATTTATCGATTCCGGCTGTCATATTTTGCTTTGGATATTTAATCGAAATCTTCCGATTCCCGTGTTGAATGTTTTTCTTTTGTTTACACAATTAAAGTTCATTAGTGCTTGAGAGAGGCCGTACTTGCATTATCATAATATGCTACGTTATTTGAAAATGGTCTCAATGTCGTCGCTTATTGCGATAATTAATGCGACAATTCGATGTGCAGCAAAATGTGTTATTGTGAGGCCTTGTTGCAACCACACATTATGGTTATGCTGTTATTAAATTTTTATTGAAATTTAATAACAGCATAACTTAAAAGTGGTCCATAACTATCAAAACAACACATGACTTTCCAAAACGTCCAATCAAGAAAAGTACCTTGCTAATACTACGATTCCCTTAAATAAAATACATGAACTGCTCTCAGAAGTCCATGAATTAGTAACAAGAGTTTTTCCTGTGTGGATTTTAGTTCCAGTAAAAGTGAAGCTGTTCAGCAAAGCTGTCAGAGGTTTGTTAGGAAACATTAATTAATGAACCAACAGAAATAAGGATTGGAACTGTATATCGGTGAAGAAGGGATACAAGTTAACCAGGAGAGACACTGTATTTAATAACATGTCCATCACGAGTGATGTTTTTTTTTCTAGAAGTGTTTGGTGACCAACACAAAACACCCTAGAGGAGGAGATGGTCTCCTCCACTGCAGTTACGGTTACAGTTATAGTGTAACCGTAACTGCAGTGAAGTTTCTGTGGGCGTGAGGACATTTAGAACCCAGAATTCCGAGGGCACTGGAACACAGCGCCGGTTCACTCAAATCAAACGGCGGGCTCCTTCTGTGAGCTCTGATTGGCTCTTTGGTTTGGGTGGGCGGGGCTTATGGGAGGTGTTGCCATTGGCTTGATTCGGTTGAAGATTTGAAACACAAACCAGCAGCACAGCAGCGCAAGTTCATACGAGTTGAGTTGTGCGATTTTTGGAGGCGGAATTAGTGAAAGACCCCCTTCAAGTCAACCCGAGAAGGTAAGAAAATTGCAGCTTTATTTAAACACACGACTTCGTGGACGCAGCGGCTTCAGCGTGTCAACATTGAAACAATAAAAGCCACCCGTCGCCTCTTTAAAGGGATTTTAATCAGGCACAGCTGCGTGTCAACGGAATAAAAATAAAAGCAGATCCTCTTCTCCCATACCCGATCTGTGATCTGATTACAGCTGTATGTTTTAATTTAAAAATGTCTGAAGGAGGAGGAGGAGGAGGTTCCATTATTTCACAGAACAATAATTTGCCCCGCCTCCATTTATCCTGCAACAGATGGACACATTCGGCCTTTTCATTGGACATCCTCGTCAGCTGACACGACACTGGCTCTATTTTGAAAAGTAGTTAGTGGTGCTTTGTTTGGTTAAAGCACGACGTGTATTTCTTTGCAGTTGTTCTTTCGTGCGATCACGAGTCCTGCTGCAGAATAAAGACAGGAGGGACAACAGGACAGGAACAGTCATGCTCAGAAAAATTGTGCGTCTTCTGTTCGGGGGCGAAGTAGAGAGGCCGGAGGAAGTCAAGCCTGGAGATGCAGCTGAGGATGGATGGCTTGTTGTCAACCATCAAGGTAGGAGGAGATTCAAAACATTAAGATCTACTCAGATGAAACAGTGCAGAAGCATTAATGCCTCCTGGGAGCTTTTGAAGCTCGTGTCCAGCAATAACCACTGAGTTCAGGGTATGTTTTTGGGATTTCGTGTGGATTAACACTACATAGCACATGATTGTAAAGTGGAAAAAGAATTACACGAAATACTACAAAAATAAAAAAGATAAAGCATGTGAGGTATTTATATAAAGTACACAGCATAGTAAAAATACTCCTAAAAGTATTTTCTTTTTACCCAAAAAGTTAATTAACTTAATGTAACTGGTTACAAGCCAACTCTCTAAGAGTTAGTGGGTATAAATACTTCCATAAAGCTCTGCTGGCTGAATTTTGGCTGAATAATAAAGCAATACTATTTTGTTTCTGAGTGCTTTCAGTTTAGAGTAAGATTGTGTGACTTGTATTTTTTATTTTTTTTTTGTGTCTTTTGTTTAAACATAACACACCCTTATATTCTGCATGTTCGCTTCACCGCAGCAGGAACCAACGGTAAACAAGAGTTGCATAACAGCTTTCCTTGTGTTTTCACAGAGGCAGGTGGATGTGAGAAGCAGGATGCCCTGGTGGCTGCTGCACAACAGGCTCAGGCCGCTTCTCAGGGAGAAACGCCTGCCAACGCAGAAAAGAGCAGGTGGGACGACATTAACCCCTCCTAAGTTGAATCAATAAATTCTTCCATTCGTTTTTAAACTCAGTCTCACGTTTCCCCCGTTTCCGTTGTCTCCGTCCAGCCCGTCGCTTGTGAAGCCCACCGTTCCTCCCAGTCGGACCGTGGCGAGCTATGTCTCCCAGCCTAAAGCCGTGGCAGAGCTGAGCCAGGTGACCTGCGCTCAGAAGGCAAAGGCCCGGACAGACCGCCGCCACGCGTCCCGCAACGCCATGCAGCGCCAAAACCATGTTCACCAAGCGCTGCAGCACAACTCCTTCCACCTCCACCAGCCTGGGCATCGCAGCCTTAGCCACTGAGGATCAGCTCACACTACAAGGGATGAAGATCTGCTTCTACTTTTATACCCATATAAGCACACAGCTTGTTTTTTTGTGTGTTTTTTTACTTTAACACACATAATCCTAACTCACTAAGACGCTTGCTATGAAGTAATAGGCAGCTAGGTTGTTGTTTTAAGCCTATAAAGCACTATTTGTTATAGTAGGAATAAATATGTTCGCCTCATGAAATGAGATATAGTGTTATGTGCATGCATGGCATTGCATATTTGTGGATGGAGAATTGCAGTCTATATATGTTTGTTTTTTTCTTGGATATGTTATTGTGTATGCATTTACACTTTATGTGCTTGTATTGGAGCATTTATTGTAGGGTTAATAAATAAAGTTTTATAGATCTCTGGGACATAAGTTTGCCTTATTAAATCAAAAAGACATTTTATTTTCTCGACCTGGCAACATTTTTGCCACTAAAACGATATATGGGTCACTTGGTGTATTTAGCCAAGTTCATTGAGTGGGTGTTTGTACCCTGCAGAAATATATGCCATGAATGTATCGTGAATTTCACAAATTTATATTTTAAATGGAACGTGAATGACGTTCATCTAATGTAAGAGTTGAAAAGCACAAAATGTCATGAAAACCATGCAGGAACCACAAATCCACTCCTGGGTCGAGTCATTTATTTGCCAAAACATCTTGACAACTAAATAGTGGCCTGGTCAAAGTTGGCATGCGTAAATAATGGGTTTGAATGAAGCATGTGGGTTTTTCTCTGACTGATTTGAGATAGCATGCAAACCCCTCCACCAAAGTGGCCCATCATCCATCCAGCTGGATGAAAAATGGGGCGCACCCATCAGACTCCTCCCGGTGTCCAATGCTTTGTTTGCGTTCAAAGTAATTGTACCTGTTGTGTTCATTTCCTGCTAAAGTGGATGTGTGCTGTGTGGCAGACGGGTACAATCAGAAATTTTCTCAATCCAGATGTTTCAGTCGACTAGGTAAAGCAACAAACATCCCCGTTGTTTACCATGTGGTTGGCCCCCCTCATTATGGTTTTTGGTAAACCCATTTGGAGATGAGCCATCAGCCAACTCAGATGGACTCCCAAAACTCTTGTACCTGAATCTCAAGGCCTTGTTGAGTTTTGTTTCAGCAGCTACATTCAGTGTAGCTGCTGAATGTAGCTACAATTCATTCAGCTGATCAAAACAATTATTTTGATCATAAAAATTCATCTGCAGCCTTTGGTGCGTAAAGTGCCACACCTTCTTTGCAGCTCCAGCCTGACGGTAGCAGCAGCTTACCTTCAGTTTCTCCACAGGGGTTCATAAAAGGTGTGGTGTCAAATCATGAGTGATGCATTGCTTTCAGTGAGAAAGTACTTTGGGATCATGGGTCCAGTGTGGACGCAGCCGTGATGGGAGCTCTCTGCCTGGGTGTTGTGCATTCACACGTGTCTGGTGTAGGTGAGCATGTGATTGTCTTTCCAAAGATTTGATGTCAGGTGTGAAGCTGGACGCTTCAGGGACATCTTCTGTTTCTGCAGTTGTGATTGTCAAGGTTTGGTACAAAAAGAAGCCATCTGCCATCATGGGAGATTTTTATACCAACCATGTTTGTATACACTTTGTCAAGCATTTTCTTCAAGTTCATTTCTATGTTGTACGGATGGGAAATGTGTGATTAAAGGTCCCATGGTTTTTTATTTTCATGAGTCAACTTGCCATAATTGGATCAGAATAAAAATCAGCTATGGGGTAATCAGGAGCAGGAGATGCACAAAGGTTTGTCAACTGTAGGCTGTGCAAATTGACCTAGAGCTGATTTTCAAAATGTTCCTCAGACTGAATGTTTATGTAAATAATAATCCTTTAAATGATAAGTAATAATTACTGGATTGTTCTCTCGTATTTGTTTTCTCAACTTGAAGGTTCTGATAACAGCTTTAACTATGGCTGTTGAACTGGGTGATCCCAACTACAACTCTTCAGTGACTGACCTTCTTTCTGCAACCATTAGGTAAAACACATAGTTTGTCTTTTTTGTTTGGACTGAAGCTGCCAGTCTTTTGACTAATAATACACCCAGCCAGACAACTGTTAGGCCTTTATCTCTGATGATATTGGTCAAAAGACAATGGGGTGGGCAGATTGCCAGTTGATCCTTCAGCAGCAGAAACCAAGTGTGCAAAAATCAAATTGCCACGTGGATTTCGTTTCCTGCAGTAAAAGTCAAGTTAAGGAGCTGCAGCAAAGGATGCCTCATGCCTCCACCTCCATCAGCTGATGGGACAAGATGACCTCCTGGTATATTTCGCAAGGTGATGGTGTTTCAGCCGACGGTCTGATGTTGATCAAACCTACAGGATATGTACGGTATGAGTTGCAGGGCATTGTGACATTCTTCTCTTGTTTGTCACCTTGACAATCTTGCAGTTCCTTCAACAGGCCATTTGCAGGATCATTCGAGTCAGGGATCATTCTCAACAACCTCATTTTGGACCTCTTCTGGCCTAACCAAAAAACGGGACAACCCAGGTCTCACCAGGTGGTGCACCCACCTTGGGCTTCATCCATCATTGTATAATCTCATTTGTAGGTTTTATTTCATTCACTTTTTAAAATTCTGTTTGTCATTTGCGATTCAGAAAAACAGTCTGGAGCTGGGAAAGAGGCCTCTGACATTTCTCACGCCTTCAGTGATGGTTCCGACCTGGAAGCAGTGTGGCACCTACATGGCCCTGAGTAGCTCAGGTGGACCAGATCGCTTGAGTGACATCACACAGATCTGCTCTCAGATTTGGTTATCTTTCTGAACTGATCTGATTTAACAAACCTTGAAAACATTTAAGCTGTTTGCAGCAGATGGTGGTCGATCCCCTTTTCCTCCACAAGGAGAAAAATGACACGCTCTCTGGGAGGAAGGCCTCCTCAACCTCCTGACAGCAATGTGACATCGTGTCTGAAACCAAAATTCTGACTTGTTTTGCTTGTATCGTTCATTTCTAAAGTAATTATTTTCGTCTCTCTGTTTCCTCCCATCAGCTGCGTTTCTGGAAGAGACTGTGGAGCTTTTGCGTGCAACAAGCCATTTAGTTGTTAGGCTGAAAAAAAATTCAGTTAAATGGCAGTAATGAAAACAAAATATCAGTAACGCAAAAAGTTGTACCTCGTTTGATATTGCTGTTGTCTTGAAACTCAGAAACGTAACAGCTTCTTCGGTTTCACAGTGCCTTGGAAAAAGTATCCTTTGAACTATTTTCAGATTTTTATCTATATATCCAAAGACCAATATCGTTTCTGTCTTCAAAGTCTTCAAAGCTGGGGTATGTAACTTTTTATAAATATCTTTTTTTTTTTTACATATTTGTTAAAACTGTCACTATGTTGTGACAGAATGATAGGAGACCAATGATCTGTGGAAAAAAATCGGGCTCCGCTGCCTTCTCCCAGTCCCAACTACCGAAATACATCACTCCAGTCAGAAACAACCAATCAGGACCAGGAGGAGGGTCTTAGCCCTGTCAATCAAGATTGTGTACTTATCCCTCACTCCGTCCCCTGTTGTCTCTTCTACTCTACTGCAAGTTTATTACATCGCAGCCCGCCGTGAATGCTAAGGCTAGTTAGCGTGACCACCGATGACGTTGGGTAAACAGTTTTTTCTGGGATGGTAAATTGTTTCTCTGCCATTAACTCATTTAGCAGCACATACATGGAATCACAATTGACAGTACTAAGTCCTTCCTCCTGGCTCTGATTGGTTGTTTTTGATCAGAAGCGTGCATCTATTGAGACGGCAATAGCAGCCCAGGGAGGAGATGGAAGACCCCGGAGGACACCGTTTTGAATCTAGACCATAAATTGAAACGCATTCCTCCACCTGTTTGGAGCGCCCCCTGCATTGCTTATATTCTGACAGCAATGGTGTTTCAAAGGTATGCCACACTGTTCAGGATCTTTATTTGGTCAAAAAGAAAGAAATTCATGTATCATGACTACTTTTTATTTACAGCCTTTACTGTAAAGGCTTTGTCGCTATTTCATCTCGCACTAAAATCACCAGGACTGCCTGTTGAGAGTAATTACTTTCAATCACAAGAAGACAAACTTGCCAACTCACATTGTGGAGCAGGAACTCGTTGCATGTGACTCTTTTACACTTTTCAGACATGGCAGGACAGACCAAAAAAAGGAAACAAACAAACAAAAAATATTCTACCTTTGAAAAGCCATAAAGTGTGCACACCTTGCTTTGGGATGAGCTTTTCATTCAATATTTTAAAATAGAAAAAAAAAGTGAAATAATTGCATATTGAACCAGAAATGTGCAATTTTCAGCCAATTGTTTGTCTTCAATTGGCTGATGGCTTCTCTGTGGTAAGAATTTGATTCCAGTGCCTGTTAAGGAGATGGGGCCCCTATGTGTGCTCGTATTGGAGTAGATAAGGGGCCCTTATGTAAAACTGATCTCCAGTGGAGATTCTGCCACACATGCATGCTGACTGCGTCATAAGAAAAAACGCCGCTGTCATCCTTACTTTCTGACTTTTCTCTCTATAGATAAAATTTTTCTGAAAACATTGATTTTTTTATTTCTTTTCATTCGTCCAAATATCCATAAGAGCATTTTATGTAGAACAAAAGCAGATGAGAGTTTCAGTTTTGACCGTACGCTAGATCCAGTAACATTGTGGTCCTGAAAAGAAAACAAGAGTTATGTAAGATGATGGAGTCTTGGAAACATGTCTCTACATGTGTTCACAGAGCGAGGACAGCAGCTGATGCAAGAATATTCAGGAACAAAGAGACATTAATACCCAGATGCTGACTGATGCAAACAAGAGAGAAAATGTCCAACAGATTTCTAAATAGCCACTCAGATTACAACATGTCCTCAATGGCCGTATCATCCTCTTCGGCTTGTTTCCATACAATTTTATAAAAATGCATCTTTTTGCACGTACACAAGGCTTATGTGCACGTACATGTAATATTTAGTTAAATCTACCTCAGCAAGTTGCAGAGAAAGGCCATCAGCCAATTGAAGACAAACAATTGGCTGAAAATTGCACATTTCTGGTTCAATATGCAATTATTTCACTTTTTTTCTCTATTTTAAAATATTGAATGAAAAGCTCATCCCAAAGCAAGGTGTGCACACTTTATGGCTTTTCAAAGGTAGAATATTTTTTGTTTGTTTCCTTTTTTTGGTCTGTCCTGCCATGTCTTGTCTTCACTGGGCAAGGCGGAAATATTTATCAGAGTACATTCAAATGATCTCATGCGAGAGAGCCTCGTCATAAATCATTTTGCAGGAGCTGAAATCAGCTTCAGCTTTGTTCTGTGTCCTCTCCAATATTGTTGTTTTAATGCTTTAAAAAATACAGATGCTTGTGACTGAGAATTTGCACAAATAACAGTTTTCTTGTTTGTTTTTTTCACGCTGTTTTTGCCAGTGTTGGGCTAATACAATGATTATTATTATTTTATTTTATTTTTTTATTTTTTTTGTTGCCTCTTTAAGAATTGCATGCTGTGTTCATAAATTGACACAATGCACACTCCTGGAAGACCTCATTGATTTCCTTATTTTGATTGTTGCCCAGATAATCTCTTCTACTGACACTGAAACAGATAATCCAGCATATTAATTCTCTGTCAACAAATGGCGGCTGCCCTTGGACATGAGGCAATAAATATCAGAAACCAGGCAAATGTCCAAGAAACGAAATGAGAATTTGGCTCAGTAACTTTTACACTTTTGTTGCTGCAGCGATGGAAACCCAAGTGAATGTTCCGTAAAGACAAAATGGATCAGACATTTTTAAACGCGTTATTCCGTCTATCATCACCACAAACTCATGAGACTCCAGGAGCATAAATTTTGTCCTTCAGTTAATGCATGAAGCAGACAATATTACTTACAATGACACAGACATGACGTTTGCAAAGAACCTTTACATTTTGCATGAAAAAATCAACCAGAAACATTTAGTGTCTAGAAAGCAGGAGGTCGGTTCACATTCCTCCGCTGCTGCTCGTCAGGTGTTCTCGGGGGCGGGGGGACTATTTTTTTTCTTTTCTTTCTCCTCTCTCCAGCCGCTGTGGGCGGAGAGTTTGAAGCTCTGGAAGGAGGCGCTGTTGGCTCCATGCGGGTCAGGATGATTAATAACAGAGTTATCTCCTCCTGGGCAGGAGTCAGGAGGAAGTGGAGCCTCGCGTCTGGACTTCCCTGCCATTGAGTCGATTCGGTCCGCCGAGCTCACCTGGACCAACGCAGGCTGGCAGTGACTAAAGGTCGCTCTAGTTTCAGTCGTAACTCCTCGCCGAGCCGCTTTCGTTCGACAAAAGGCCGCTTTCGTCCTGTCAAACCTGCTGTTGTGGGGATTTAAAGGAAATTTTTAAAGCGCACACTTCCGCGTGAGCGTCATTTATTTGACCAACAACTTGTTAAGTGGGTTTTTTCTATTGTTTTTTTTATTTTTTATTTTGAGGTCATAGTCGCTCGGGATCCCGTAACCCCACTGTATTCCCATGTCTGAACTGCTTCCTTGAACTCTCGTCCAGATTCAACCTCCCTCATCGCGGAGAGGCGACCTGACGGGACCATGGAGCCCAAAGCAGCGAGCAAGGACCGGTTCTTCATCGTCATCCGCGGGAAGTCGCGGAGGGGCTTCTGCCGCGGCTGCATCGGGCGCGTGGAGGTGGAGACGGCGCGCGGGGAGCTGACGGGGCTCGTGTACGGCTGCGGCTCCAACGCCGGGAGCCCCAAGCACGGGGGCTCGGTGAAGGTGGAGGACGCGTACCCGCTGACCCGGCACCAGGCCCAGCTGCTGCTCTACGTCTCCAGCCCCAGCAGGCGCCTGGAGCTGCTGTGCAACCCGCAGCTGTTTTCGGCCATCTGCGAGCTGACCCCGGGCGACCTGGTGGTGATCAGGTACAAGAAGGGCCACGTTCCCGGGGTGGTGAAGAACCTGATGCAGATCGGGAAGAAGGAGAGCAAGGACGACCTGAACATGCTGGGCTTCCAGGTGGAATTTGTGGTGAGTTTGTCTGTTTATATATATTTTTTCCTCAATTGAAGCACAAATTGGTCCTCAGTTGCATGTTGACGAATCGCCAGCAAAGAATCCCTTATGGTCTTTCCAAAATTGTCCAAAGAACTTTGACCTTAATGTCCGTGTGCTCGTAGCGGTTTGCGTTGCAGTAACCGCTTGCTCTCCGTTTGTGTCAAAGGACTCCGAAGACAACCTGCAGCCCAAACAGCTTGGACCGCTTCCAATTTTCACCGCCTCAGACATCATCCAGGTGGTACCGTCTTACTCCGTCCCCCTGGGCCTGCAGTACAGAGACCTCAAAAGAGGCGGTGAGTTCAAACCGAGCTGAACTGAAAAATGTCTAAACATCTCGATGTTCCGGCGGGCCGTGCCTTAAAGAATCCCCGCTCTGAAAGTATCGGACTTTGATCGAGGACCTGTGACACCTGAAGGGAAGGGGATGCAAGCAAGGCGCTCATGCACATCTTGTCACATGTACAGCTGGAAGGACCGGTTCTGTTTCTCTGGAATGCACGACAGTAGATTTTGTCACATGATCTCGCATTGTTTTTGCAGCTGGCGTTCATGAAACTGTCTACATACCTTCACTGGAGGCGTGTAGATACAGTGCCTGGCAGCGCTCACACCCCTTGGAAATTTCTTTGCGATTTGTCACACTACAGACACAAACTTTATTTTTTGCTGACCTTCGTGAACTTAGCCGTCCTATTGGAGGCCTCGGTAGTGAGGGAACTACTTAAGCCTTCGTGATGCTGGCTGCATTTAGCATCATGAAGGCTGAAGAACACACACTTTGAGGGTCTCACAGGTACAAAAGTAGAAGATTTTGGTCTACAATGTAAAAGCACAATTTTTACAGGCTCTTCTTCCACTTCATTACGGTGTTCCACTTTATTTTGGCCTTCTGTATAACATCCTGATGAAATATTCAAAGCTTCTGGCTTTGGAGATCAAATTTAGGGAAAAAACTTCTGGGAATGGGGAACACACGCAGGACGTCGCACTTACGGTGCCGTGTTGGTTGTCAGCGTGCCGAGACGTCGTGATCAGCCTGGATGTAAAAACAAAAAAGTCTCATGACTCTTTCCCCTCCCTCTCACTCACACACCTGTCTGCAGGCTCACCTGGGAAAATGGTGATGCGCATCAACTCCATGCCAAGTATCGGGACGAGCAGAAGACAAGTCACCGACGGCCAATCGGAGCGAAGCGTCGTCGCAGACCGGACGCAGAGGGAGCCTCCAGTCCCTCTAGAGGTCGGCTCTTTGGTGGAGGTCGTCAACAACGCAGGGGTCACGGTGTACGGAGTGATCCGGTGGTTAGGGATCTTAGATGGGAAGACGAATACATGGGCCGGGGTTGAGCTGGTGAGGAATTCAAAGTTTGCATGAATGTTCGTCTGGTTTTGTTACAAACGGCGATGATGCTTATTTTAGTACGATGTGGTGGCAGGACTATGAAGTGACGGGCTGCTCTGACGGCGTGTACAAAGATCAGCGGTACTTCACCTGCAAGGGGAACTGCGCTTTGTTTATTCCCGTTACAAAATGCAGCCCGGACAGCCGGTTCCTCTGCTCCTCCACGGAACCAGAGACGTTCAAGACCACAGAAATCCCTCCAGGTTTGATAATTTGCTTCAAGTTACGCACACACAACTGGAACTATACACGTATACATTTGTATTGTAAATCTAGAGATAAAAAGCATGTTATGGAAAATTATAGTTGTTCTAAATGTAAGCAACCGCAAAGGAGAGTGTAACACTATGCCTGTAGCAACAAATCAATTAATCACACCAGGAAATAAAATAAAACTCAATCATTTTCATTTGCGTAATTTTTCTCGCTTTTCTCCTTCTACCAAAAACTGGACGAGAAAATTCTTCAGTCTTGAAGGACAATTTAGTTTAATTAACTTATTTGAAGTTTTTTTTATTTTCTTTTATTTTAGATATTTAAAATATCTTCCAAATTCAGTGTTAAGTGTTCATTAGAATTGAAAGTTTATTGATCTTAGGGAGTACTTGCAATATTATGTCATGACTATGACTTTGCTTCAAAATGGTCTTAAAACATTATCATTTATAACATTTTTTTATACTATGACAAGCCCATGTAACACTACATCATGTAATAATGTAGTGAAATCAAAGTTTTAATCTGTAATAAAACAAAATTAAGACCGCATTGCATAGAATTAGACGCAAAATGTAATGAAATTCTCTAATGCAATTTGAATTGTTTTGGCATACATTCTGACTACAAGTCTGAAATAGGCCTGTCACAATAAACTTGTCCCAAAATCTATTGCGATAAATGATAATGTTTTAAACTGGTGTAATGACACAATGATGCAAGCACATCCTGGCAAAAATAAATACACGCCATTTCCAAAAGAACTCTTAACATTGGAACCGGTAAACAAAATAAATGAAACAACCAAAAAACAAAATTGAAATGGACTCTCAGCCTCCGTTAACGAAACATGCACTTGAATGAAAACTAAACATGACATAAAACCAAAGTGGAAATAGAAACTACATTCAACCGAAAGATTATGAAGCCTGTATGCTATATTGCCCTTCAATAATCAAGACGGACACATACAACTACCTGATGCAATAGTTCAGTTCTCCATTAAGGAAATGAGGAAGGGAGGGTGAGTGGAGAGCACCAGAGTCGAGCCTTTTTTCATCCAGTGTCGGCAACAGAAAGAGAAAAAGGCCGAAAGAAGCGACAAACCCGATAGATTAAAATGAGGTGCATCATTTTGTTGTTTATCGCGAAAGGCCTAGTTTGAAGTGGCAGGAAAGTGACTGAAAGTTTGGCTTCCATTGATCAAAGTTTCAATTTAAATGCTTTCTGTGGCATCATCATTATTAGAAGTATATTGATCAGGATGACAGATTGTGATTTATTACAATTTAGCACGCAATGCGCCTTTATTTTAAATAATAATGTCTAAAAGAAAAAAAGAAAGAGAGAAAAAAAGACCTACTTCCACATTTTGTAACAAAATGTAATAATGTTATGCAGCTGAAAGTATTTCTGTCATGTTTGAGATTTTTACTACATTTTGCCTTGATTATTATTACATAATGCGATTTTAATAATGTTTAATTACGTCTTGAAGCGCAATTATGCAACATTATTACATAGTGCAGTTTTAATTACATTTTATGACATACCCCGGTGGTGCTGCATAATGCGGCGTTAGCGCTTTCACTGCAATAAAAGAGGGGCTGTTTAATTTCTAAGTGCCGTGCGTTGACGCCGTGCATGCAGGTAGCGTACTTTGCGAAGGCTGAGACTAGCTGCCAGGGTTACGACGAAGTGAAGAAAATGTGTCATTTTGTTTTGTTTCTTGCAAATGCACATCAAAAATTATTGCTGGAAAACATGTTGTGTGTTTGCCTGATCTTATCTGCAGCATAAAACAGAAGAATGACTGGAATGCCGCCTGAACAGCGTATCAGGGAGTCATTATGGAGAAAAGTGTTTACTTAAAGATCTTGTGTCAGTGACTTTACAGCTGTTTTTAAACTTTCCTGATTCTTCTTCTTTTTATTTTTATTTTTTTGCATTGAAGTCAGTAAAAATGAAATAAACTTCACTGATTTCCACAAACTCCATTTTTTTGTGTGTTTTTCTTTCCAGTTCCTGCATATGAAGAGTCGGAGGAAGACGCGCCGCCTGTCCCCGAATCGGAGGCAGCGTCGCTGTTCGTGGGGAAGATGAAGGGCATACAAGGTCATATCAACTCATGCTACCTGGATGCTACACTTTTCAGGTATAAAAAATACCCAAAAGAAACAATTTTATTTCATTTCAAGATTCACTTTATTGTTATTTATTTCAACTGAAGCCTCTGCACAGGTAAATTAGTGCTTGGAGAAATGCAGAACGTAAGAGATGTGTCTTGATCTCAGTTTGTTTAGTTCATCTGTGACTGTGGATGCCATCTGCAACAAACCGGCTGACAAAGAGCAACCAATAGCCTGCATCCTGAAATCCATAGTCAATCGCTTGCGCAGGTAAAACGCAGGTTTACCACTTCTCAGCATGACCTGCTGTTGTCTTATGAAAGACATTTCTAAACCGTTTCCATTCCTCGCAGACAAGGCTTCGTGCCAGCACAGAGTGTGATGAACTTCCGGAAGAAACTTGGCTGTGAGACTTTCAGCAAAAACGAAAAAGGTACAGACTGCAGCAAATCTGGAGCCTTACAAGGGTATTCTTGGTGTTTTTTTAAAAAAAACATATCTTCAAAGGCAATTCTGAAAAAGTGCGGTATGCATTTGTCTTGTACTCCTTTTACTCCAGTACAACAAAATTACCTCTCTGTGTGGTGGAGAACGAACACTGCACAGTCGACAATAGTTCAGATTTATTAAAAAGAGATGCAATTTGAGAGGGCAGGTGATTAAAAAAACCCACAAAAAAAAAAACCTCAGAATTAAACAAATGGTACCAAAGAGAGTAAATCATTTTTTACTACTAAGAAAATAATCAAATCTAATATTCTATCAAGGTACAAAGAAGAACATTGACTCAGAATACCTTCACAAAGATAACGTATTGCATAAATTCCAAATAAAATACACTATTGTGCAGAGGAAAAAAAGTTCAATAAATTCTTTTGCAAGTCAGAGTGCGGACATTTCCGAGTCTGACTTGCTAATGGTCGTTTTCTCTGCTGCTTTGTCCCAAAATCAGATCCAGAGGAGTTCATTTCAGTGCTGTTTCAGAAAGTGCTCTGCATCGAGCCGCTGCTGAAGCTCCGGTAGGTTGCTACGACGCCCAGCTTTTGGCGCATACTTGGCATGCGCCATATTTCTAGTAGTAAAGTTACCGAACACTGGTGTCTCCTCAGGTCGGAGGGAGGAAGCTCTCACGGAGCCTACACACTCCAGATCTTTCTGGAAAAGGAGCAGATTGGCCAGACGCCCACCGTCCAACAGCTGCTGGACACGTCCTGCATGTCGGGCGACGTCAAATTCGAAACAGTGAGCCCTCTCTCTCTCTCCTGAAAACCAATCCCAAAGGAGTTTATCAAAGCTTTCTTTTCATGGTTGAACATAAAAAAAAAAAATTAAAAATCCTTTCCCTCCCTCAGATGCCGTCTTGCCTCATAATCCAGATGCCAAGGTGTGGAAGCAAGTACAAGATGTTTTCTCACATCATTCCGTCCACTGAGCTGGACGTCACAGATCTCCTGTACAACTGTGAGGGACTTCTTGTTTGTTTTTCATTCACACAATCCCTTCATTTGTGAAAACATGCTCACGGGTCGTTTACCTTTTCACCCAACAGCTCCAAGAGAATGTTTCATCTGCGGAGAGATGGCAAAGTTCGAGTGTCTCCAGTGTTTGCCAGACCATAAACTGCAGCCAGGAAGAATCAAGCAGTACTGCAGCACCTGCAACACCCAGGTAGGCATGGAAACCATTTCAAAAGAGCAATCCGCTCACTAGGTTTAGAGAGCAGAATATTTAACTCTTGGTGACGTTTTCTCCAGGTACACACCCATCGGTCGCGGTGCAGCCACTCTCCCAAAACGCTGGCTGTGCCTGAAGGCGTAGCCAGTGATGCTCCTCTGCCGAGGCGCAACATGCAGCTGTTTGGTGTGCTTTGCATTCACACCAGCCATTTTGTGTCCTTTGTCAAATACGGCCCTGATTCCCACTCTTGGCTCTTCTTTGACAGCATGGCGGACAGACATGGTAAGCTGCTTTGTTTTTGTTTAACTTTACCGAAGGAAAAAGTTTTGTGGAGTAGAAGGCCTCTTTTTTTTTTTTTTTTTTAGCTCCTCCTGACTGGAGTATTTTTGTTAAAACGCAACCTTGACCATAACCAATAGAGAAGATGAGAGGAACTCTGACGTCTTCCAACTTGCCCTTTTTTTAAAATCTCGTTTCAAGCTGATCACTAATCTTGAGATCGCTCTCCTTGTCGCAGGCGACGACGAGAAGGGCTACAGCGTTCCCGAGGTCCGAGCTTGTCCCGAGCTTGGCGACTTCCTGGGCCAGCCGGAGGAGGAGCTGACCCGGGCGAATCCGGCTCTCTCGCCGGAGCTGGTCCGCAGGCTGCTTTGCGACTCCTACATGTATTTATACCACAGCCCAGATATGTCGGTCTTGTAGCCAAGCGACGAGGAACCGAAGATCCGTCTGAGCGCAAGAACGCCGTGTTCCACAACAACAGCCTGATCGACTTTTCTGCACTTTATTGCATCCAGGCAGCGGGAACTGAAGTGGATGCTTGGAACTTCCTTGAAGATGGAAAATGCAGTTCAGATGTTTGAACTTAATAAATAGGTCACGCTCGAAGCTGATGTGGAGTTTTGTTTGAGATGAAGTGAGCTCTAAAAGTCACAGAGCAATGTGACATTGTTTTTACCTTTTAATTGTGTCAGAGTTGTACTTTTTATCAGTGAAGATGCCTTTGGAAAATCCTCTTTCAGGCAATTGAATCACTTAAATGGCCTCTTCTGATGGGACCTCATGTTAAGTTACCCAAAGACAATTGTATTTTGTGCTGTTTTTTTTTTTTTTTTTGCCCACAAATGTACATAAGTGAATATAAGACTCTTAAAATTTGAACTTCTGCATTTAAGACTCTTTGTCTTTCATACAAAATCCAAGCAGGTACATTTTAGAAGTATTCCAGAATGTATTAATCACACTTAAAAAGCACTTTGCATATTAGGGAATGAAACTTTAGTGTTTGATGGACTACTCTTTATTCATAGTAGAATTATAGAGTAAATCGTGAGAGTTTTGGAGAATCAGAACAGAATAACTTTAAACTCATTTTAGCAGCCCTCTGCCTCCCTCTTGTGGACAGAATTATGTTTGCAAGACCGATTATTACCACATCCAACTGTGGATCAGTATTTTAAACCAGTCCTAATCATGATTCTACAGTCAAATTTAGTTTAGTTTGATAGAAATTTATTTAAAGATTGTAAAGTTTTTTGTTTTCAATTGCTTTGTTGAAAAAAAAAAAAAGAATAAAGAAACAAGGCATCTTGGGCTTTCATGGGCTTGACAAGGTCAGACACACCTAAACACACTACAACACCCGGACATGGATACGACTCACAGCAGCAACTCCACCAGTCAGAGGTCTACGTTCCCTCATCACTATGAAAAATAATAATAAAGCTCAAAACACATGTTTACAAACTCGACTGTGCACTTTGCACCCCGACTAAAATTTTGGAAAATCTTCCTTTGTGGAGGAAACATGCTTGTTTGCTTTATGTAGCCACCAAGTATAATTATAGCAGGATACCTGAGCAGTGCTCTTTTTTTTTTTTTTTTTTTACAAATAGTTAATTTAAACTAGTTGGTTTCCTGGCAATGGCCTCGCTTTTAAAAATAGTGCACATTTTTAATGAGCGCACAGTTTTCATGAGCTTAATGCTGCAGTTCCAGCTGTGTTTGGTCTCATATTAAAACATTCCAGTTTTAACCATCTGCTGTTTGGTCTGGGGTGAATTTAAAGAGATCTACTTATTTACTACTTTGCCTAGTTTTTGAAGAACAAGTTCCTCCGGTCGCCAAACAAGACCTTAGCAGGATGCTACCAGCTCTGTGCCAGACAGTGGGCAGAGGTTGGAAAGCTTCAGTTTGACTTCTCCAAACATTTATCGCTGCATTTTCCCCGGAGCTCAATTTGTGTAACACCTGACCATAAGCCAAGCACGCATCAAAACTGGCTTTGGAATGGAAATGGCGAGAAAACTTGCATTTCTGGAAAGCATATGGGGTTTAAAGTGTATATTTGGCCCTCTAACTTAAATTTGAATTAATGCAGTCAAAAATCTGCATTAATTTCACTGTGTGAACCCAATTCTTGTTTTGTTTTTTTAAATTATTGTATGTTGTAAGTTGCAATGTCGCATACGATCATCTTAGCCTGCAAAAACAAATCCGAAAGCATGGAGTCAAAATATTATTAAACCTTTATAAATCTCTGACCTGCGCCATTCACCAAGAACATTTCAAATTTGCGGTTTGCATTTTAAAAGGAAGCCTCATAAAGGAGACTAACAAATGTGTAATTACTTGTTTTCAGAATACAGTCTCATTTGTCAACATCCAAAGGGAATACAGTTCACATTCTGAAACATATCCCCCATAAATTTTGACTTAACTGGGCTTTTCAAAATTGCATATAAGACCATACAAATGTATATATGCATTGTGTTGTTGTTGATGCTGCTTTAAAGGTTTAGAAACCTTCATCTATACCATACTTTAGTTTAATACGTGTCCTTTACCTATTAACCTGAGTTTGATAGGGGGGTAAAAAGAAGTCTGGTAAAGTGGCCAAAGACTAAAATGGCGAGTCACTGTCAAAATAAAAAACATTAATGGATATAAAATCATGCAAGAGAGATGTCAGTAGTTGTCCCTTTGCTCTCGTTTTCAGTAATCTGAAGCATGAGCCAAAGAACACGGAGCACGGAGTGTGCTGGCATATGTTCCAGAGATGTGTATGTGGACTTCATTCCTCCTCTGACCATAGTGGGCCTCAGCAGGAACACGTTTTCTGAGGAGGAGGAGTCAAGTTGCTGAGTACCATTTAAATTAATACGCATGCGCACCAGTGTACTACTGGGACTTTACCTCTTACACAATCCTATCTTTTCTTCATTCTGCTTACATCCAGCTCGTGTGCAGTTATCCAGTCGTTTCTCACTTTTTACTTTTGTTTTTATACATAGAGGGCCTAGGAAATGAGTGGCGACCATTCCCATAACGAGGACCAGGTAGTGTTAATGTGTTTAGTAATGTTATTAATGGTATTATTAACGGCATGTTAGTGCCGTGTTTGTGCTTGGTTTGACAGGGTACATTGGCTAACTGAACTGTGCTTACTAGCTAGCAAAATAGCCGGCTGTGTTAATAAATGTCCCCCGTTCGTTGTTCGCAGTGTCTCGCATCTTTGTGAGGATGTCACGGAGTAGTTCTACCCAGTTAGCTGTTTGATTTATACGGGAAAGTGAACGCAGGGAAATAATTGTGTCGTTAGCTGAAGCCAGTGTTAATCGTAGCGGCTTTCAGGCAGCGAGCTAGGCTAGGCTGGCTAACTGTCGCTTCACCATTGAGCAAGTTCAAAGTTGGGTAGCCGGCTAGTTAGCCATCGCTCTCCCAAATTTAACGCCTATATTCTTTTCCATTTTTCAGATTGACTATGCCTCTCGGGTCAATGGTAAGTTTAACCCTCGGAGCTTGAGGGTAAAATCCAAAGTTTTCCTTTTATTCTGGTGTTTTAACTCGCCTCTTGCAACGCTATGTTAGTTTTCAGTAGAGGACAGAAATGGCGTCCAGAGACTAAGTCCGCTGTCTCACTCACAAGCCTCTATTGTTCAAAAGCGAGGCCTCGTAAAAGCCTTTCCGCTTATTATTTTCTCAATTTAAAACAACCACGGCAGACAACTTGAGGTGCTTTATCAGCCCCGCGTCCCAGAAATGAATGTTGGTGAGCTTTTAGTGGCACATTTTCCATCTGAAAGTGAGGGTTTGGGGGTTGAGGACTTAGTCTCTGCGCCATTTTCTTTTTTGGTTGTTAGCGGCCTGAACTCAGGCAGAGAAGAGTGTGTGGCTTTGGGAAGTAGAAATGCCGGGGTTAGGGGCTAAAAAATGACTAAGACCTGTAGGCTGTACCCACAGGCTGTAGCGTTCAGGTGCTTTGTTTTGAGTCTTTCCTTTTATGTATTAAAAGTGGGTCGTTTTAAGTTTGAGTCATATTTCACAAGTCAGTCGACTCCATTAAATTAGCAGTTGCCATTAAAGTAGTTGACATGTTTCCACTGTAAAGTGCAGTAATCAGAGGATCTGAAGCAGGTTTTTCCTTTATGAAAACTTGTGCTTGGAAACTTTTAAACACAATTTAATAACTATAGGTTGAAGAGCTTCATGTTGTTTTGACATAAGGTAAATTTGAACTGTTGTTCAAATTAAATGTGGACTGTCTTGAGTACAGATATACCCTTGCATTATTGAATAAAACTTCATTTTATAAACATGAGTAGACATGTATTTAATACTATATAGATACATTTTAAAATTTTGTTTACTTTATTGCCAAACAACTTAAAGATCTTTTTTGTTTTTTAATTTGCTTTGCTCCGTCTACTGCTAAGAACTGTGGACTTTCTTCCTCTCCTGTAATGTTGCTGATAAACCAGACTGCCTGCTGTGAGCTCTTGTATTCAATTTTGTATTAGAGTAGTCATTTTATTTTATGGGAGCGTAATCATAATACTTTAATTTAGATCATTGCCAATTAAAGTCTCTTAACTTCAAAGTGGTTTCAGGGAGAAATCCCTAAAGACATATATTGTTGAGCTGCAGGTTGCAACAACTTGTCAATTTGTTCATATCTGTCTACAAAACACGCAGGCAATAGGCGGTGCTGTGCTACAAGAAAGCTTTTTTTGTGCTATTATATTGAGGTGGGTAAATAAGGTTGAAATATCCTGTTTATTTTTTTATCACAGTATCAACAAAACTAAAGAAGCGCAGATAATGGTGCAAATAACACCTCTGAGCAATTTTCTTTGTTGTGTATTGTAATTACACTCAAGTGTAATTAGCATTTAATACAACATTTAAAGATAAATGTCAGCAATAGCAATAAGACTAATTTACTCTCTCGGAAAAAGCTGAATTAAAGACAAATTCGGACGACATCGGAAAATTTCTGCGTTGTCAATGTTCTCAAAGTACCGTTGAAATGCACAAAGTACAAATTTTATTTTACCTGTAAATTGTTTGATGATAGAAGAATAAAAGTAGTTTTTCTCTTCCTAGATTTCATCAACCTGCTTTTGCTTTTAAGTTTCACGTTAGTTGCACAAGTAGCAAATCTTTCCCGGTCCTGAACGGTACACATAAACACAACATGTCCCACTTTTACTTCAAAACGGCACACATGCTTTCAGCGTTGCACTAAATCTGGTTGCAGTGTCGATGCCAGAGTGACTTCTAGCACGGCGGATCACCTGCTCTGGCGAGCTGGGTTATCTGCATTTCATATAAAGTTCTGCTTGCATAATTAGTTTTTCTGGCAGTATTCTAAAATGATATGAGGGTTGTCGTCTTAGTTTATAAATCAATTATTTCTTTCAGAAAGTTCTCAGTTTTCCTCACCTTTGTCTCTTTACTACTGCAACTATTATGCACTTATGAAAGTAACCCAGTTTATTTCTTTTAGACTCCCATAAGCATAAAGACAAGTACAAAGACAAGGAGTATAAACATAAGGAACACAAGAAGGACAAGGAGCGGGAGAAGTCCAAGCATGGCAACAGGTAGAGCAGGAGTCCCTCCAAAACATCCATTTTCCAATAATCCATCTTGTTAAGACAGTCTTGTTGAACCACAACGCTTGAAACGTATTCCCTGCACTTCAGTGACCACAAGGACCTGGAGAAAAAGTCCAAGGAAAAGGAGAAAATGAAGCACAAAGATGGCAACAAAGACAAGCACAAAGAAAAGAGGAAAGAGGAGAAGGTAAGTCGGCCATATGGAGAGACATTTTATACGCAGGATTGTTTGTGTGGTGTAATGTGAAGTATGCAGTGTTCAGTTGTCTAACTGCGCTGTTGCATTTGGCCTGAAGCTGTTTCACAGAGTTCTTTTAGAGCTCATGTTTTCTGTATTTAGTGCCTCTAAACTGTAATTTTTATTTATTTTTTGCCAAAACCATTTTGAGATGTGCTGTAGGATTTACTTATGCTCTGTATAAGTAAATCCTTATCAGTCGGCGGTGCAACTGATACGGGGTACATGTTAGTTTTTTCAGCTGTTAAAAAGTCATCAGTCTGTTAAGATGTGGTAATGAGATTTTCCGAGCTGTCTTTAAAAGAACCACAAGTCCACACAAGCTGATGCCGGTCACACCTGTGGCTCTGATTGCCGAGGCGAAACGCTCTGTCATGTTCAGTAACTAGCCAGAGCTAAAAGACTAGCGGTTTTTTAGCAGACTGCAAGAGCTATAGCTTTTAGCAGTCTTTTAAATTTCAT